TTTTTAAAGTTAAATTAAAGTTTTAAAGTGTGTATATATTCATACGCACACATTTACACTGGAAGGAAGTATGCGTCCAACATGACACAGGACACTGGATCCAATAGTGACTACAACGTGTAGCTACAGCTGTGAATCCAACATTGGTTTCAATGTTCTGCGAACGTTTGCACGCCAATGTTGGACGCATCGTGTAGAATCGCCCCGTAAGAACGCACCCGTTCGAGCATGCATACTGCAGAGTATTCGAACGTTGCCGAACCACAGAATCCCTTCCCCCAAACTGGTATTCACCGACTGTACATAACCGATGACCGCCGTACGAGCAATACGGGTAGTGGAGATACCTGCACGAACTTGGATGTGTTTTCGTCTTTGAACGCTTGTTCGTCCCCTACTGAATACGTTCCATAGATAAATAAATACTTGACAATCGTAGCTTTGGTCGAAAAAGTAGTTTTCTTAAAGTGCATGAAATGAACAATTAGTGTACGAGTGTAAGGGTGCTAGATATTAAAATATAAAATATTAAATTATGATACTAAAAAAAGAGGGGTTTTTGTCTTGGATAAAACATTTATCTTTAATAAAATACATATCATATTATCTTTTAATAATAAATAAACGATATGTAACTTATAATTATTATGTAGAGTTTAAAAAAAAAAAAAAAATAAATAAAATAATTAAACAATCTTCTTTGGACATTTGACCATAATTTTACAAATTATAAATATTTTTAGATTCTGAGTAAAGCTAGGAATGTCCGAATATATTGTTTTTAAAATGCTGTTTATTTTAAATTCGGAGTATAACGAAGGATCTATTAGTTTACTATGATTTGTGTTTTTTTTTTTGTTTTCTGTTTGAGAACAACTCTTAGGTAGTTGAATTTTATAAATTGTCGTCAAAACATAGATTTTTTTAGGTGTAATTATTATTTTTATAATAACAGTGCCATTTATTATATTTGTATAAATAATTAAAAAGTTATAAAATCGTGTATTTAATTCTTGAGGTATAACGAGAAATGTTAAAATTAAAAATTTATTTTAGGAGAAGAAAAATATTCAATGCTAGAAGGTAAGTTGATTAATGTTATCAGTGATCAGTAAATTATACCCACCTTCTAATTACTTCATGTACCTATGTACCTATTTACTACATTATCTATTATATATATTGAAAAGTATAAAAGTTTTTTTTTATTATGATTGTTAAACAACACTTTTATCATATAATTAATTATATAAAGTACAGTATATTGAACACAGCCTATAAACGAATACATTGTTCGCTCCGTTCAGAATCTAAAGTAATATATAAATTGTTTAATACTATCGTCTAGTGGTATACTATTGCATGTGGAAGGTAAGATAAATAGAATAACTTAATTTATATTTATACGCAATTATAAAAAATTGTTGTTACGTTAAAACGATTCTGAACGAAGTTAAAAAGATAAAATAATAGAACTAAAAGACATAATAACTGCTATTGCCATATAGAAATAAGTTTATAAACATTATATGATTTTTGATATTAAATTATTAGTATAGTATTATTAGGTATTATATGGTTCATAAATAATCTGTAATGTTCATACCGCAGTGTTGATTTAGTTTATAACTGTATTGTAGGCTTACATTTTTTCCTTATTTGATAAACGATGGTCATGTATTTTTAGAATTTGGTCAATATGCTTAAAATTAACATATTATTGTTAGACAATCTTATAATACCTAATAGTTAATAAACATTATTACAATTGTATTACTATTTGTTTTCTTTTTAGGGGTGATTCTAAGATACATAAGTGAACTTATTAATGAACCCAGTAAGTATTACCATCCAGAAAACTGCAATGTATTAATTATAGTTTTTTGGCTTGATTATTATATGAATAAAATAATTAGATATACACATTTTTTTTTGGTCCAAATATGCGTCTATACGTCCGCGTCCAAATGGATTCATCTATTTATCCTTGTTCATATAATTTATAATTCACTATTGTGCGACCAGTGGCGGTTTTTAGGAGGATGGTCGATGGGGGCGATCGCCCCCCCTCCCCTGGATCTTAATTTTTTTTGTCAACTGTTAGATATGTTCTATAGGTAAGCAACGATAAACCATTGATTACGTAAAAACGATTCTGAGTGGAGTTCAATTGATAGTGATGGTTTGTCAACAATATACATGTCATATTAACGTAAAATAATTAAATAGGGTTTATATATTTTCTTTAATGATATTTATTTAATACTGTACCGATTTTCTGTTTTTCTCGATTTTCCCATTTTTTACCCCGGTTTTTCACAACTGGAAAACTCATAGGAAATCCAAAAATGATCTCCCTAAAGTACCTCTCCAACAAAATAATTTTCTTTGAGAAAAGTTGCTACATCGTATACATCGGAGCAAAATCTCTGGTAGAAAAGTTTTTCACAGATAAAACAGTTGTAAAACCATAAGCTTCTTCGTTCCACTCAGAATCTAAAATGAAAGTTATATGTAATTTTTGATAGGACCAAATACACATTTTATCCTTTATTTGATATAATAATATGTCATGGTATGAGGCCAAACAAGTTTAAAACCACCCTCCCACTCTTGATGTTTTATCAAAACCGCCACTGAATACGACATGTTATAAAAGTAAGGTATATAAAGTATCTAACACCCTAGACCAATTTTCTGATGTTAGTAAAAACACCGGAAAGCTTAACTTGTCCCCTCAGCTATAACTTGGCTGATATATTCGGATGTTTAGTATCCAAGTGATACATAGACAATCGCTGCCGAGTATTCCTTCTTGATGTGAAGTCCGCTCAGTTATTCGTTTCTTGAATTCAAGGAATTATACAGCGATATTGATCAATTAAATAATTTATTTTTAAGTTTCATCTGCTTTATTATTCAATCAATATGATAAATTGTCTATTTAATCAAAATATTAAATAAATAATAATGGTTTACGTTGTGGTGCAATAATAAAATATATGCTTTATATATATATATATATATCTACTTATAATACTTTTCTATGATCAGCTGATTGCAGTGGTAGTATGTATAACACAAATTAATTTTGTCTAAATAATAATATAAACTAAATAAAAAAAAAAAATGAAATGATTTGAAAAGTTATAAAAAATAATTGTATTTTTCAGGAGTGTTATCTATGCAAGCATGGTGTGACAAATGTAGGTAAAAAAATTAAAAAATTATCATTTTTTACATACAAATAACAATATTGTGTACAGGATGATCAATTTATCATAAGACACTCATTATCTCGGAAAGTATTAACTTTTTTCGACATTTTTTTGTAGAACATTTTGGAAACAAGCAGTTTTACATTTACGTTATTTTTTGTCCCCCTAATTTTTGGGAGTGAAACCATCCACTTTTAATTTTCAAATTGCAACTTATGTTAAAAATTCCATAAATAGATGAAGTAGTAGTTGAAATAAATATTGGTATATACATTTTTAATTTCTAACAATCCGTTGACGGGATGTTCCACTTTTAATTTTTGATCGGGAGAGAGTTTTAGTGGTACATTCATAAAACGCCTCTTGCTTTGTCGCCACACAAATGATGCCCACTACTCTTCTCCGACTCAAACTTAAAAGTGGGATATTTTGTCAATGGATTGACGGAAATAAAAAATTTAATTATCAACATTTATTTTAACTTCATCTATTTCTGGAATTTTTGATATAGGTCGCAATTTATAAATCAAAAGTAGTATGACCAACCCATTGGTAGGAACCGATAAGTGGTGCCACCGAAGTAGGGGGACACTACGACAGCGACCACCCAGCTGAGCCGGGGGATTTGTAAATATGTTTAATGCTAAACATAAATGTACTATGCTAATGCTACTATAAATGTATATATACGACATAAAAACTAGACACGTTGACCTTAATGTGCAGGGATTAGATGGTATATTTAACAGCAAATCAGAGTAATGAACAAAAAGTAAAAGATTGGTAAGGTAGGTATCAAAAGAAATAAATAATATTAAAATGGTAAGAAAAAAGAAATAATTGAAATGGACATGGAAAGGAGTTACTATAAATTGCAGTTGGTGAACATTAGGTGTCATCATATTAAAAAAAATAATGGGGGTGTCAATTAAATATAAATAAATTGAACAAAAGAATAGAGGGAAAATTGAAAAACAAATGTGTCGTATATCCCGGTATGAGGCGACAAAAATTAGAAACCCTATTAGGTACTTGCGGTAGATTGATCGTCATCATTAGGTAGTTGGTCTACCGTGAACTGCTATAAAGGTTTACGCCGCCATTCTGTTGGATCGGATGGTCCTGGAAAAAAAAATGAATTGTTTTTTTTCACTGCACGAAGTGGGCTTGTGTCTTTGTTGGTAGTTGATAAAAGAAAAAAATAAATGTTGTACAGTGACGCAACAGTGGTCTCGGAGCCGTTCGTCGTCGTCGTCGTCACCTTATCACCAGTGCTGATTATTTTATGTTTTTCATAATAATTAATAACAATTTATAAGGGAAATCCGAGTGATACGAGGCGGTACGGGTGGTGGACGCCTGGCAAAATTAGTTTTTTTGACGACGCACCGAGAAAGTGGTTGGTCGATGAACTGTTGGCGACTCGTAATCGCGCATTCATTATTTGTATAATTATTTTTATAAAAGCGTTCGAAAGTCCGAAGTGTCACAGTAGGTCGTTTCACCCCTGAAAATTAGGGTGGCAAAAAATAATGTAAAAGTTAAATTTTAAAACTGCTTATTTCTTAAATGTTCTTTACAACAAAGTTTCGAAAAAAGTTAACACTTCTCGAGATGTGATTCTGAGTGTCTGTCACGATAGATTGATCATCCCGTTTACCTATTACCAATATGAACAATCGTATTATAATATTTGTTATTAGTTATTATTATACACAATTCACTTACATAAAAATTCAAATGTACACGTTTTTATTTTGACAAACAGTCGATACGAATTGTATGGGTAAGAAATATCATCGATAATTGCTATACGCAATCATTGTATACAACACATATTGGGTTTTTAAATTTGATTCAACTGTGGAGCGTGGCTTATTTATTCTGAATAAGATATGAGTTTAAATTAGTTGGTATTTCAGTTCATCTGTTGGACATGTTTGTTATTATCTTGTTCGGCTTATATTTGATATCTTAAACCTGATAATATAAAATTAAAAAGGCAAACTATAATAACTTTTTTATTGTGACATAATGAGATAGAAAAAACAAAATCAACGTAACACAATCAATGTTCTTCTATGACGACAATTTAGATTCTTAATTTAAGACTATAAGCCAAGTGATTTTTGCCCTCACACAATCGTTTCCCCACCGAAACATTTTTTTTCTATTTCATGATTACCTACACAATAAATATACTTGTGATGGTGACACGGGGCTACTTGAAACGTATTTGAAAATTAATTTGAATATTTTTTTTAGTTTGTAGATTCGCATTTTTTTTTTTATACAAATTTACACAACTCCTTAAATACGGGTGGTTATAGCAAGGTATTTATATTTAAAAAATACATCGTTTTAATATTAGATTGTTTTAATAGAATCGTTGAGAATGGAAGGGTTTATAATTGAAGAATGTAAGTATATAAGGATTCGTGCATATCAAAAGTAAAAAACGTTTTGTTGAATATTATAATTTGTACAATGTTACAAAATCATGAAGTTAGAAATATGTTATCCAACATAAAGAATGTCTAAAGGTATTACTGAAAATAAAAGACCAATTACATTGGTAGTTGTTATATAAAGTGCGAACAACTTAAATACATTACGTTGGTTGCCGTATTTGAAGAGGTAGTTTCGTTAACAACATGTCTGCTGTAAATTATTTTTTTTTTTTTTAATGGCTATTGTTCAATTAAACTGTACAAGAATATTTTGTGACCTAATTTGATTTTTTTTTTTATCGCCAATCCTGCTAGTTTTTTAAAGAATATAATTAAATTATTTGCCTCATACATTTTTATTTTTTAGATAGTACAAAAAATATGCGAGAGAAAGAATTCGCTAGACGTTCGAATTGGGCATGGGGTAGATCATTAAGTAAGTAATAATACAATTAGATCACCAAAAAAACTATAATTAATTTGTTTGAATATTTCTCGTGCACAATTACAAAACAACATTGTTACCATAATATCAGCTGTAAACTGACAAAATTAAAAAAAAAAATGATAGAATTAAGATTCTAGATTTTATATTCTATATATAAATATATAGAATTATTTTTCTTTGATTTTGTGTGTCGTCGGAAATCAACAGATATTTTAGACAGTCCTTCAGATGTCAAGGGTAAGTTGAGCATTAATATTATCGTCACAGAAATGTCCAAGATTGATTTATGGGGCGGGGGAGGGAATGAAGAAAGAGATACGATTACTTGTTAAGGTTAACTAACCTTTTAAAATAATAATTATTTTTATTTTGCAATATATGGACCGTGGTTTGGGGTTTTATCGATTTCACCGTTTTAATATCAATTCCGCTGGCTATCAAATATGCAGAACATTTTGTAAATGTTAAAACCGACGAGATCTTAAATTTTACATGTTGATTTCACTGAATAATAATTTTAAAAATGTATAAAAAAAGAGAAATATATAGTTAATTTATAGAAGTATTATAATTTTATACAACTACATAACATTTATATGTATTATATTAAATTTCCAAAATTTTAGGGACATTATTTTAAATTATAATAAATAGTTTTAAGTAGAGATGGGCCAATACTACTTTTTATCAATATCCAATATTCCGATATATGCTATCGGTATGCCATGAAATAATGTGGAAATTAACAGATATATTGATTTAAAATCCGATTTAATAAAACTTTTGTGCTCAGATATAATAGATATTTTTCTCCGAAAATATCGATTCAAATATCGTTTTTTTAAAAAAATTGATACCACCGATTTCTAGTCTTGGTTTATGAATCAACCCACAAATAATTTTTAGATTAGAACTATTGATCTATTGATTTCACTATGAATGATATTCACTGATGAGTGCTTCTTCTTCTGTTTGTAAATAAGATTCATACCAGAAATCTTGCTCCGATGTACATAATCAACCATTTTTTTTGAAAGATAAATTTGTCTAATTATCGTTATTTTGGAAGATATTTTTGAAAGAAAATTGTCAGTAAAACAAAAAATATTTATGGTGTACAACGTTGTTACCGATTTCATTGTTTTTAGTTTTGCAACTTATGTTTTTTACCAGAAACATTTGCTCCAATAGAAAAACAACAAGAGATCTTTTTTGTTGAATACAGTTAAATCTAGTTGCAGGTGACCAAGAAAGTCGTTTTTTTCTTTTTTTTCTTTTGTAGGTTTTACACTTATAGAGCAAAGCTGTAAGAAAAGGACAATTTACAAACATAATTTTTTTATTATTTTAAATTTTGTTTTTAGATTCTGAGTGAAGCAAAGCTTATAATTTTACAAAAATGTTTATTTTTTATTTTATTTTTTTATCTGTGTCCTGTGTATATATAAAAGCTTTCATTATCCTCCCAAGCAAGGGATTCTGGACTTTTGTACGATCATGTACAAGTTGTAGATGGTTTGTACTTTTGTGGTTTTTTTTATTTCTTGTATGTTTGGTGCAATACTAAACCAATCTCCGTTTAAATTAAAGCCAAGAAGGAGTAGCATATCGCTATCTATTTGAGTTCTAAATTTGAAATATGTGCGTTATTGAGATCATGTAAAACGTTTTATTGTTATACAAAACTGGTGGTTCGAAGCATTGAAGCACTTATTTTCTTTGGACATTTTAACATTAACATTTTAAAATTTAATAAGTTAAGTAAATTATTTCAGACGTTTTGATAATTGTAAAACCGCGTCCTCTTCCCATAATATACGCAGTCAGAAATACTTGAAGAGTCTGGTGTTTTGTTTGCTTTTTATTGTAGTATTTTTTGTTCGAGATCACGTTGTTTTAGATTTGGGTCATAGCGAGAGATCTATTGGTTTTACTATGATGTGTGTATATTTTTTTTTATAGAACTTGAGTGTAGCGAAGAATATATTGGTTTTACAAAAATGTTTTTTTTTATTTGTTTTTTTATATGAACACTTTTTCTGTCAGATGTATTCAATACAGACCCTTTTCTGAAAGGAAACTTTCTCGGGAAGTACTTTAAGAAAGGACATTTTTTGATTTTCTTAGAAGCTTTTTCAATACACGTGAAAAACAGAATAAAACGGAGGAAAACGAGAAAATTTACTAAAAAACAATATGCATGAATACAAAATCAAAATTTGATGGAAATCGTAAAAAATATGATATTTCAAAATATGTCTTACTGAACTTCTCTCTGAATCGTTTTTTCTTTACCTATGGTTTATCGTGGCGTATAGATATAAATTAAAATCCACTTAATTTTACCTTCCCAACTTCCTGCCTACAACAGTGGCTGCATCCGTCTCCAGGATCAACTCTTTTTTTGATTTATGATTCATTAATTTATATTTTCTACTCGGTTAGCTCTATGTATAGTAATATTATAAAAGTGATAATTTATTGGACAAAATATTGTACTGAACTCAGTAAATTTGAAAATACACATTTTAGTTATAAATTGAAAAACAATTTTAAGATTCTGAATGGTTTTACAAATATGTTTATTTTTTTTCTGTGGACAACTTTTTTACTAGAGATCTTGCTCCGATATTTCATGATGACAATGTTTTTGAAAGGAAATTTTACTAGCCAGGTACTTTAAGCAAGTCATTTTTTGGTTTCCCTATAAGTTTTTTCATCAAATTTAAAAAAACCGAAAAAATTGGGACTATATGAGAAATATAGGTATTAGTTAAAATCTACTACGGCCTTCTTTTTTTCTATGCTTAACTTTTTAATCAGCTATTTTGCTCCAACTTTTAATAATAGTAATGTTTCTAAAAGAAAATTTCACTAGAGAGGTACTTTAGAGAGGTAATTTTTTGATTTTCTCAAGAGTTTTCCCAGCAAATGTGAAGAACCAGGATAAAACATGGGGAAACCGGGAAAAACGTAGAAAAACTGGAAAAATTGGTACAACATTAAATAAATTATATTAAAGAAAATATATAAAGCCTATTTAATTATTTTACTAAAATATGACATATATATTGTTGACAAAGTATCACTATCAACCGAACTCTGCTTAGAATAATTTTTTCGTTAGCAATGATCAATCGTTGCTAATAGATTTACATTAACTTACCTATGACAGTAACTGTACCCGACTTCATTTAAAAATGAAGATTAGTAGAACATTACGTTTAAATATAAAATAACTGTTTCAAGATTTGGGAACAGAACATATGTTATACACATAAATAGGTTATTTCGGCGAAATCGATTACACCTCATGATTTTATATCCCAACAGATGAAAATTATAGAAACAATTATTGTATTGATGATTTTAGTTGATTTTTTGAAAGATTACGTACAATATTTAAAAGGTCAGTAAGTTTTTATTTAATTATGTTTCTTTTTTGGGGGATGAGAGAAGGGGATTTGAGACATTTGTTATTTCAAAAACGTAATTATTTTAAAAATAATAAATATTTTTAAAAATAATATAAATTTAGATCACAAATAATTTTACTGTAATATATTATAAGAGTATATTCCATCTTCTCCCTCGAAAATTTGTAACGAAAATGTATATAATATACTTAGTTAAGTACTGAACCAGTATTGCGTTTATAGTGAAAAATGTAATGCTTATTGATTTTACAAACCCCAACTCTTGACTTCTTTACTAGCCTTACTCCTCTCTTATAACTCGCCCCTCACCTTTCTTTCGTCCTACATCCTTCTCCCATCAACTTGTCACATTCATCAGTCTCTCACAACCTGAGACCCTCGTTAAGGCGTTTTATAAAATCGAAATAGATAACTTAAATTGTTTCTTCGGTTTGTACCAAAAAATTCATCGTTTGTACCGAAAGCGGCAAAAGTACAAAACAATTATGGGTGTTTAAGTTTCGTAAGTAACGACAGCTTATATACTTTTGCGATAAAGTGAAATGTTAGGGACCTCTACTTTAAAACAGCTATAACTTTTTTATGTTTTCGGTACAAACGATGAAATTTGAGGTGTAAACCGGTACATACGTAGTACAAATTATCGCCCCGAGTTTTTTTCCGAAAAACTCTAGGTGGGGGTGCTGGGAACATGGATCCCTGATAATTATCTATCTTGTTATAATATACCTACCTATCCAATATGCATTTATCAATCACAAATAGTCATATCTACTAACTATAACCTAAAGTAGTGTTTTTGTTTTTCAGTAGTTTTACATGAATGCCATGTTGTGTATTTTTATTTACTGCAATATATTAACTTAATTACTTCATTAATATTAGTTATTATTTAGTGTTTTTGTACACTAATCATTAGGTTATGGGCCTAGGCATCAAGGAACGTTCTGAAATCATTCAATTTGCTGGGTCTAATTTTTAAATTGGAAGTTTAGTGTGGAAGTTATCTTATAAACGAATGATGTGCATAATTCTGTAATTTATGAAGTTATACTTATCCTACATCGGTATTGGATCGAGATCGTGTAGTCGATATACGCGTCGGTATAAAGCGTTTAATAACTACTTAATTTTTTGGTTGATATATATACTGTACTTATTGTATAATGTGTGATAAGGAGGTATACGTAGAGGGGAATGTATCAATTGTGCATCACTATTGTTCTATTCGTAAAACATTTTTTCGTAAAACATTTGCACATCGTTAATAGTTGAGTCATACATACAAAATGTTTAACAATACAAGGCAATACAATAGATTACAAGTATCCAAAACCGCAAATTGTTTCTTATTTTTCAGCTGGATATCCATAATTAATAATTTTTAAATTTATTGATTATAATGAACATATTTTCAAACATAGATATTATATATGTATCTGGTATACGAGATAATTAATAATAATGTAATATAATATATATATACATATTTATGCATATATTAAATTTTAGGAATACCATTTTTTAGTAAGTGTTATTAATACAATACATTGTAGTGAACATTTTAATTATTTATTCATTATTGTATATATAGATAATACTGTGAAAGATATAAAAACTTGGTGTATTGATCGTAAGTACAAATAATAGTCCATTAGTTAGAATTAATTATTTCATGTTTCTCTAGTGGCATTATTAGAATATAGATCAGAAATGGTGTTTCCATCAATTTCTTTGAGAATATATTAATACAGAAATAACATCCTGTCGTTGCCTTAAATAGTTACATGGGGTATTCTGTATCTCCCATATAAACAACCACGTACATTTAATGCTGTTAACAGGGGCAAATGGATATCTGTATTTATACAAAAACTAAATATAAATGACAAATAAAATAGTTATTTAAAAAAATATATATATATATTTTAAATCGTAAGAAAATTGTGAAGTTATTATTGTTATAATTACTGAAATAAATACTATTGCTATGGCGGATTTAGTAACATAATTGGTAAAAATGGACAATAATAATAATATACAACTAATAATTTATCATGATGAATTATAGATTCTGAGTTGAGCGAGGAATTCATTGGTTTTACAATAATGTTTATTTTTTTTTCTACCAGAAATCTTGCTCCAATTTATGAGTATTGATTTTTTTCTGAAAGGAACTGACTACTATAGTATTCTTAAGAGGTTATTTTATGATTTTCTCAGGAGTTTTCCAAATAAACAGAAAAAAAAAACGGAGGGAAAACGGGAACTGTACGAAATTTAGGTTTTAGTAAAAAATATTATGGTCCTTTTTTTTCTATGAACAACTTTATTACCAGCAATGTCACTCCTATTTACAATTATAACACTTTTTCTAAAAGTAAATATGATTGGGGTGGTAATTTAAAGAGGTCAAAAAAATAGGGGAATTAGGTACAATATTATAATACAAAGCAATACTATAAATAGAACTCTGCTCAGAATAGTTTTTTCGTTAGCAATAATTAATTGTTAATTACAGATATACTTTAAATTATCTATAAAAGTGGCTATACCTGTTTTTATTATTCTAGGACTGTAATATTAATAATGTAGGTATTAATAAATTTTGATTGTTCTAATTTTTTTTATAGATTGTATTGGTAAGAATAACAACTATAACAATTCAAAATAATTAAATGATTGTTGCACTATTAAAAAAAATAATAAGTATAGTGTACGGATAATCTACATTTTAGATTCTTAGTGGAGCGAAGAAGATTATAGTTTTACAAAGATGTTTACTTTTTTTTCCACGGACAACTTTTTTATCAGAGAACGTACTACAATTTTTATGTTTAGCACCTATTCTGAAAAGAAATCGGTGTGGAGGGGGGGTATTTTAAGGTGGTAATTTTTCGATTCTTAAGAGTTTTCTCATTAAATGTGAAAAACCTAAGAAAAGGAAAAATTTACGAAATATTTTAGTAAAATATTACGATTCTTTTATTCTGAGGACAATTTATCTACCAGCGATTTTTCTTCGCTTTAAAAAGATAGAACTTTTTCTAAAAGAAAGTCTGACTGGGATGGTAATTTAGGGAGGTCATTTTTTGATTTTCCTAGGATTTTTTCCTTTAAATGTGATCAACCACAAAACATTGAACAAAACATCGGAAAACCGAGAAAAACGTAAAAATATGTATAATATTAAACACACATTATTAAAAAAAAATATATAATACCTATTTTATTATTTTACCATAATATGACTTATATATTGTTGAGAAAGCATTACTATCAACTAAATTCCACTCAGAATCGTGTTTTCGTATGTAATGATTTATCGTTGCTTACAGGTATATATTAAATTACCTACAATAATGGCTGCACTCGTCCCCATTATCCTAGGACGTCTTTTTAAAAGTATTATCTATTAACTATTATAGTCGTATTATTTTCCCTCATTATGAAGAAAAGTGTACGGAAAATCAATAAATGACTGCTTTATCGCATTAACTAGACAATATTTTCTACCATAAACCAGGCTTCCAAGGAGAGGATCAATGGGCGTGTGTCCCCCTCAAATCTCTCCTAAAGTAATACTAGAGCATTTATCTCTAAACCCTTAGACTAGCGAATAGCTTACATTCTTTTACCTGCTTGGTATTTCTTTCATGTAGAATTTCTGGATCAAACCCCTGGCATAAATAATCCCAGATGTTGATTATTGAGCCAAAATTTCCTGGACAGAAAAATAAATGCATCATAGTAATAATTAATAGCTATACATTTAAAATGTGGACAAGATTTCTATGTTCAGATCTCTATCTCTACGTTCATACGTTCTTATTATTGTGTTATTTTACCATGAACGAATTTTAAATTACTTTTTTATTGGTACATTTTTTATTTAAAAAAAAAAATTAAACAATTGTACAACTATACTGTAAATGTACTATAAAGTAAATATCATACTTTTTACTGGTCATTTTATCAAGTTAATAGTTCTAATTATTACTTTGAACAACCTTACTTATTGTTGATGTTGCTTAAATTCCGGATGAACACTTTTTAGAAACTGCAGTTTTCATTTAAAAACAATACTGCTTGATTTAATTTAATTTATACGTGTTACAGACAATATGGAGCGACAAGGGTTCGTCAAAGGTAAGCAAATCGATGGTTATAAGTGTATTATTTATAGTCGGTACCTACAGTTTAGAAATGGTTGAACAAGGATATAAATAATAAACAAAAGAGATCTGATACTGTGTCACTGTTGTAGATGGGAAGTTGGGAAGGTAGGATACATTAAGGAGATTGTTCATTGCAATTTGGCAATTTCTATTATCGTTGTCACCACTCGTGATCTTTGTGTTAGTTGTAAATTATTATTATTTATTCGGTCGAATGTGCGTGTACCGTCACTTGCCGCACTATCCATATTGATAGGTACTGTTCTCATAGGTAGTACCCAGTTGTCAGTAAAATTATCAGACATAGCTCACAGATATCTATATTATACCAGATACTAAACTCCGCTTATCGATGCTTATCGATACATAACCGGCATTTTCTCGGTGGAAAATATTGTAAATATTGAATGTAAACGTATGTATTTAGACGTATTTAGAAATCATTATTGTAATTTGTAATATAGACACTTACAGCTATAGAATACTTGATTACATAGAAATAATCGGAAACTTCTATAGTATGATAAAATAACAACAGATATTTCTAAAATCATAAAATTATTGATGAAATTAAAACCAAATATATCAAAATATTGGAAGGAACTATCAATTTCACATTACGATTTTAGCCTCGTGCTTTTTGATATTTTCTTTAATAATTTATGTGACGTATTATGAATATTACTTTGATAATTATGATAATTATCTATTTAAATCATTAAAGAAAATGCTCATATCCTGTGTGGCTTATGTCTGTTCAAGTCGGTATTCTGTCAGTAATTATTTTGTAATTCCTTTTTTTCGGAACCTATGTATGTATAAAATATGTATTTGATTAGCTTTTTAAAACTAGATAATATTTTTTTCTAATTGTAATGTGCATACGTTATTATATTTAAAACTAAGATTATAATATTATGCCACTATGTCAAAAACGAACGCTGTTAGTAAACATCATATGCTAACAAACCAATTTTATTTAACAACCAGTAGATGAAATGTGTAATTCACAAATATAGATCATTCATTTTACCTATATTATGTTTTTATTTCGTATTTATTTTAAAATCTGTCTCAAACTCTATGTACTATTTTTATACCTATATATTTTCACAGTTAATCTTATTTTCTCTAAGAACTTTTTGCATCTGCCAACAATTGATTAAGTATTAAATTAATTTTTTTGTAGAAATAGATAATAATTAGTTGACACCAAAAAAAATTCTTGAAATCTAAATACGAGGTATAAAAATTAATTAATGTATTATTATTTCTTATGACAAAATATCAATTGTCACCGAAAATATGGTAAAAGCATGTCGCCTAGGTGTCACTATTCCCAATGTAAAACGCCAGTAGTTCGCTATTTAGTATAATATAGATATCTATGTTGTAATTCAGCGGCTTGCAGCAATATTAATATCGAAAAGAAAAAATTTAAATGAAAATGTATAATAAAAAACTAACACCGTTAAACATTTTTATTTTAATACAATAATATTAGCTTTAGATGATCATATAATAAAATAACAGAATAATCGTCAAGTTATTTTTAATTGATCTATAACTTGAAAGTAGTAAATTGCCGAGACTGTCTAAAGTAGCAAATTTTAAATTTTCAGTTTTTATTGTTTCTTATGGAATTAGTCCTTTTTTTGTGGATGGACATTTGATTTCATATATGCCATTGTTATCTATTATCAGGATTTGCAGCTAAAAGTGGTAGGTGTTCATCAACAAAATGGCCAGATTATTAAATTTTAAATCCTGTTAATTTTTCAAATTTGGTTTTTCCAAAAGGTTCACACTTAATATTATATCTGGTATACTCATTAACAGAAAAAGTTTTATATAACATTGAATTTATTGTATTAATTTTTGAAGATTGATATTTAACGAAAATAATTTATTCTTTTGCCTCCTATACATACATTTAGCTACACTATATTTTAACCTTGGATCAAATTATTGTTTACTATATAAAACAAACTTAAGGTATGATGAGCAAGTAGATTGTTCGCATACAAAATATATGTTTAAAGTCCCGATTCTTTCATTTCTGGAATATTATTTTTATTTTTAGTTTCATTTTTTTTTTTATATTACACAAATTTATAAAAAATATAACAAAATTGTCATGATTTCTAAAAACGTGATATGATCCGTGATACTCGTATGTTATTTAATTTATATCTGTAATTAACGATTAAACCATTGATATCGAAAAATTATTTGAACCAAATTTAATATTAAAACTCTTATAAAAAAAAATTTACATTACATTACACTAGGGTGACCATAAGTCCTGTTTTATGCAGGATTGTCTTTTTTTTAGCTTTGTGTCCTTTTGTCCCGATGAACTTCCTTCAGGACGTTTTTTGTCCTGTTTTTATTTAAATGCCAATTATTCCGTATTATAATATTCAATTAGATATAAATATTTTATTTTATTTTTAAATAAAATAAATTTGTTGACAAAAATATTTATTATAAATTATGACAGTGATTGCGATTGCAATTTATGGACATGCACAAAAATCGTGGAATACACAAACTCTAACTTTTTTAAAATTTGTATAAAATGATGTTCATGCACCTACTTGTATTAATAAATTTAAAATTATACGATAATATTTTGTACTATTACTTATTTATAATAACTGTTTTAGATGGAAAAAAAAATAATGCCACCATTTGTAGAAACATGAAAAGTAAGATTCATAAACACGATATACAACTAACAATAATTTAAATTAATATATTATAATGTATTCCTATAAAGTTTGTTTTATAGGAATAAATATCAGCAGCAATATGATTTATGTGTTCCTAAATTCATCTGTCAATTTAACGGATTGCAGAGTAGAATAATGGAGTAAAAAAAAACATTTTTGTAATTGCAATGGAACTTGGTGATTCATACCCATAATCATAATCAACTGCTAAAATATTATCACAATATTAGTTTTCTTTATTTTATTATAGCACGAGAATACTTGTGTCAAGATAAAATAATGCCACTCCTGCGGATTGACCAGCAGTAGAATTTAGGAACAATAAAATTGAGTGGCTGTTCTTCTGAATTTAGAAACACTCGAAGTATGCCCATAAATTAATAGTTTTAGATTGATATTTTTTTTCATCATTCAAAAATTAAAATAATAAAAAATGCACAAATATTTTTTATTCGTAATTATTCAAGATCTAAAATGTGTCCACAAAATATTTTAGATTGATGCTGGTAGGTACTATTACTTCCCATATATTACACTTATTAGATAAGATTAAAATACTAGATAGTGCATTTTCTCCATTATTTATGATTCCTTATTAAAATAATACAATTGTCTAAAAATGTAAACAACCCAAAAGCTATTTCAACTCCGAGTAATAATCATTGAAAGGAAGAAAGAAAGAAAAGAAGTAAAAAGAAAATTTCCTTGAAAACAATTAATATTTCAATAACACATTTTTTTTAAATATTATTTTAAATTAGTTATTTGAAGAAGTGGCCAATTGGGAAAACTCAAATTCCTGGCAGCCTTGAATTTATTATCATTATTAATTGAAATAGTTTATTTAAACATAAATTAATTTATGTTAATGTAATGTAAACATTTAAAAATAGAAGACAAAATATAATTATTAGTCACTTTAAAAACTTAAAAAATATCCTGTCAACTATTTACAAATTAAGATACTACATTTATTTAGGTTTCTACATAAAAGCATACTGTACTAGGTTACCAAATTATTTATGGAATTATAGTTTATTGTCTAAAATACGTTTAGAAAACAATTGTATTTCAGATTTTTATCAAGACATTGAGAAATATTGTATCATTATTTTCTGCTCATATCACAATTCATTATGGGCGGATACTCCAATTTTAGCATACTAGGAAATTAAAAAAAAAAAACCAGTCCTTACTGATGACCTTATAAACCCTGATCATTGATTATAAATAAATACTGATTATTTGTAATTATTATACATTATTGATTTATAATAAAGGCCCTGATAAACCGATAGTTCGATAATTTTCCATCACTATCAAGTGCAATCTGAGGGCCGGACCCACCGGGAAATTCCTGGCTTCCGGTAGGCGTATCCACCATGCAATTCGTCTTCGTGCAAATTTATTATATTTTTACATTTTTTAATATGTTTAGAAGATAAAAGAGATTTGCTTTACGGTAAGTTTGATAAAACAAAAAAAAAAAAAAAAATCCACGAGTAAATTATTAGCACAATCATAATCTTCAAAATAATTATTATAACAATAAAAAAAACAAAATATAAGATAAATGTATTTTAGATTAATGCGAGGTTTTATTGATTTTACTATGATGTGTGTTTTTAATTAAATTTTTTTTTTTGTGTCTGCAAACAACTTCCTGAACTTACTCTGATGAGTAGAGTATAGTACCTTTTCCGAAAGGAAATTTTGTGTAGTTGGTGAATTAGATAAGTTATTTTTTTATTTTCCACGATTTTTCGAAATAAAAACCGAAAGTTTCGAAAAAAAACCAAAAGAAAATTACAGGTAATACATCAAATATATATGGTATATCATCGCCACGACGTTAACGATTTCATTGTTTTTAACTTTTGCAACCTATGTTTTATACCATAATTATTGCTCCAATCGAAAAATTAAAAGAAATTGATTTTGTTCCTTTTATCATTGAGATACTGTTAAAAAAAGTCGCTTATTGATATCCAAACCAGGTTTCAAAAAAATTGGGAAAAACCAACAATTCAATTTTATAATTATTTATGTCAACTTGGCATTCAGGTTTAATTATTTTAATTTATTTAACTTATGTTTTTTTCCTAGAAAAATTGCTTCAAAGAAAAACAACAAGAGACCTTTTTTGTAAAATTTTATTCCAATTGGTTTCTTTTATTTTGTTAGTAGTTACTGTAATAATTAAGAAAAACCGAAAAATACGTAGAAAGAACAGGAACGTTTAAGAAAATAAAATTTTTATTATTTTTAAAAAAAAAGTTATTTTTTTTTTAAGTTAAAATCAAATTTTGACGAGAATCGTAAATATTACAGCCTTTCAAATTATGTACAACCAAAATTCGCTTTAAATTTTTTTTTTTTTAGTAATGTTTTACCGTTGGTCTACTTACAGTGGCTGCACCTGTCACCAGTATCAGCTCTTTGTTTTGGTTTTGTTTTTCTATGATTATTGTGATTTGCATGGTAAAAATGGTTTAATTTTTAAAACTGGTGAAAGGAACTCAGAATAGTAAGTGTAAGTACTGCCCAACAGCCATCGAGAAGTTATTCAATGTTTCGGACCAAATTTGAGTTGTGATCGGGCGTCTGATGGATCGTGGATGACCATTGCATTTTTTTTTCAAGCCTAAATTACAAAAATTCTCTGTAGGCTATGCAAAATCACGTGTGCTATTAATTAAATTAATTTCAATTAGATTTGTTTTGTTTAATTTAAGGGAGATAAAATGTTAAAACTCATTGGGTTGATATATTTACTATCCACCAATTTTCAAACAACAGTAGACAAATTCAAATTTTCAAAAACTGAGACTTTTATATTCCATACAGTCTTTCCGCTTTAGTGTCAATTTTTAAATTAGTGTTGAATTGCTTTAATTTTGTTTTTATTTTTTCAAAGATAATTAACAAGTCTATATTTTCCATATTTTTCAGGATGTGCAAAACGATTTAATGATAATATGGATAAGCTAAGCTTTGTAACAAAAAGTATATTATAATATAATATATTTGTAAACAAAATATTCATACAAAATTATCTAAAGATTATATAAACTGCTTAATTTTACATTATATTTTTGGAATTATATTTTATTATGTGCGTAATTTTAGATTTCGAGCATTACATGGGATCTGTTGATGTACTTATGTTTTTATTTTCTATGTGTAAACAATTTTTCGAATAGAAATCTTGCTCTGATGTATCGAGTATCGTCCCTTTTCTGAATTGAAACTTTTTCTTGTTGATTCATTAGAGCGGTAATTTTTTGATTTTCCAAAGGATTTTCGAAAAAATTGGACTAAAACTAGAAAATTACAGGTAAAACGGCAAATATTTACGCGTGGTGGTGTTAAAGATTTCATTGTTTTTAATTTTTGCAACTTACGTTTTGAACCAGAAATATTGCACCAATCGGAAAAGGATACAAGATCAATGTTTTTACTTTCAATAGTAAGCCACTGTCAAAGAAAGTTCTTCTTTGATATTGAAAGTAGTTTTCATAATAATTGGGAAAAACTAAAAAAGATGAAAAAAAAGATTTCATTATTTTAAATTTTGACATTTTATGTATCTTTTTACCATAAATATTGCTCTAATAGAAAAACAACTAGAGACGTTTTTTATTGAATTATTAATCTAGTTTGTGAATATGTAATCTAGTTTTTGATTCCTTTTATCTTTAGTATCAGCTTTTTTAAAAAATGCATAAGCTGTACAAAATAAATTATAAATGCATAATTTGTATAAATTACGAAACACCAATTCAAAGTTTGCATTTATTAAAACTAAACCATTATCAATAAAATATAATGTATAATTTATGCATTTATATGTGTTTTGAATATTTTTGAATGAACTGAACAATTCTAATTAAATTTAAAATTGTGTTTGTTATAGAATACAGTAAGTAATTTAATAAATAAATATGTTAATATGTGAATAAATTATTTTGTATTTTTTTTTATTTAGCGAAAGTTCGGTATTATGCAAAGAATTGGTGCCCATTGGAATGTATATAATTACAAACATATAACAAACTATTGTATTGTATTTTGTTACAATAATTTTACATCTTTGCCTATACATAAATTATTCAATTCATAGAAAATATCTAATGATACCATGTTTAGTTATATTTAATATTATTAAAATTTATTAGAATAAGATGTTTTACAATGCATACTCGTATTTAAGAAATATAAACTGTTTATAATAAAATAGTTTGTTTTAAGATTTCAATATTATTAAGATGTAATATTATTAACCAATTAGCCAATAATGATAAAATTACTATCATATAATGAATTTCATTTAAATATAATCAATTATAATAAAATCGCAATAAATATTTTTTATTTTTATGAAATTTTTTAAAACGTGTTTATTATGACAGTATAACTAAACGGTAATTTTCTTTTCATTTTTGTTATCCATAACTATTAATTATTTTATCTATTTATTAATTATTGTAGTTATTTTATTCCAATATTTAATCCGTAATTAGTCAGGGCACATGACAAGGATTTTCTTTTCCATGAAGTTAATATCATACAATAGTATTAACATTGTATAGGTTTATTCTTGCAAAAGTAAATCAATAATGGTCATTTATGTAGCTCTATGTTCCCAGTCCACCTCAAAAATCCGAAACCAAACTTATGCTATTCGTTTGTGCTTTTATTCCAGTTGTTTGTGCTTTATCTCTTCCCAAAGTATACAACTTTGAAAGTTGGAGGCTGAAATGTATACCCAACTACTGCCCTATTGTAAAAAAAAATATTTTGTCTTGTGCAACTGGTGATAACTATCCACGTTATCTTTTTTATCTGTATGTGTATAGTCGTAAAAAAATATTTGGTTTGCCGGAAAAACTCAAACCTTTGTGGATTAGAAAATAAATTTATTTTTAAAAGTATGATCGATTTTCGGAAACAAAAAAATATTTGCCACTTAAATAATAGAACTGCAGCCCTAATTGCAGTTTATATACACTTATGAAGAAACCGTTGTCTACATTAAAGTTTTTGCATTTTATTTGAAAATCGTTGAATATTTGTTGAATATTACAAATAATGGAAAGATTGTTGGAAAACTAACTATTAATGATTCTCAGTATACAGTTTAATAATTGTTCTATAGGTATTATCAATATCTATGTATCAATTTAAATTATATTATTTTAAATATAGTATAGTTACGATTGTTACCTGTCATAGGTAACCAATAACAGTTAATAAAGGTTTTGACCTTGCTTCAATTACGCACTCTTTACCTTTTTATCTTTAAAACACAACATGATTGGATCCCAATATATTTTGAGCATATAGACATTTTAAAGGTTCAAATTTGATGGCGGTCCAGCGCAACGGTAGTGGCACGAAGCTAAGTAAAAAATAAAAGCGTAGTAGCCACCAACGTGTATTGGGGGTCAATGTCCCCAGCACCCCCACCTAGAGATTATTGAAAAAAATCCGGGGCGATCGTCTGTACCACGAATTCATCGAATGTATTCATCATTGTATCGAAAGCATAACAAAGTTACAGACATTTTAAAGTGGAGGTACTGAGAACATTCTAACTCCTATATGATATTTGAGAAAATTGTACCATTTGAATGTATTACGTTTGCACCGGTTTTTAAAAAAAATTAATTTTTTTGTACTAAAAGCAAAAACAATTATGAGCGTTTTTAAGTTTCGTAATATAAAATAACAGTTAATATGAGTACCTATACGATAAAGCGGATTGTCTTTTTTACTGAGTAGTGAGTTGCTTAATGACATTACAGTACTATACAACTGGGGAGACAAAACATAACTGAGAAAGATGACCTATTAAATTGTATTCGATATATAGGATCATCAACTAAAATCAATTGCCAATTTATAATGTACACTCGTTTAAATTTATATTTAAAACCTTGAATTTTTTTATGTTACTTAACAGCATTGTTATTCTTTAATTTTGTGTACATTATCTGATAAATATAACAATGGAAAATGATATACTAAAATATTAATAAATTTGTAAGTGTTGTAAATAATTTATACTTATAAAGTTGCATAATATTTTTATTAAAATATATTTGTGTGTGTTCAATACATTTTAATTTGTTAAAATATCATTAACAATTTGTTATTAGTATATGACATATGGATTATATTTATTTATTTATTTAATATATATTGTTACTAGCCGACTCATTACGGCTTCACCCGTGATTGGTTGTTTAATTTGCCTTCGGACGATGATATATAGAATTTTTTATTCAAATTCTATCGTTTAATAATATCGGCAAGTTAATAAAAAAAAACGGTTAATGAAAACGTATTGAAATGTTTCTAGCGGGGTTAATGACAAATATATTTTTATTAAAAATGAATACAGATACAAAAGAAATGCTGAGTAATTTATGGTTGGTAAAGAATTTTATAAAACTTCTGAGTATACGACGTATTTTGTTTTATCTCCTGTTGAAATTAAAATCATAAGATGATTCGGGTCCCCAGTTCGAGAAAATCCCACGTATAATTGTCCGTGTGAAAAGCACTCTGTTCGAAGATCTACGCCAACGTACCTGAATGTTTGACCTTGAGCTTTTTTTTTATCGTAATTGCAAAAGACACTTTAACAGGGAATTGAAGCCGTTTGAAAGAAAACGGCAAGTCAGATGGAATCATGGAAATTCTTGGAATAAATGCAATTTCTCCTTTTACTGGCCCTGTAAGAATGACGGCTTCTATAATATTATTTCGCAATGATTTTATTTGTAATCTTGTACCGTTACATAACTTCGGTGGTTGAAGATTACGTAATAATGTAATTGGAGCACCAATTTTTAATTTTAGCTTATAAGAAAGAAATCCGAAGGAGAAAAAGAATTGAGAAATTCTTGTAGATATATATATAGATATAGATCAATACATGTACACCAATGTTGGTGTACGTGCGATAAACTTCTCGGAACAATTCATATCTACACGCCGATATCAAACACAATACATTTTGACGAACAAAAAGGTTAGGTTGCAGGTAGCTGTAAACCCGCGGGCCGCCGTGCCGCACAATATGTATATAATATAGGTATACAATTTTTTAATTTTTCAAGAACTTTATACTTATTTTTCATTGACAAAAGTGGTACTAAAACCTTCAGCAGAGTGTCGGGTACAACAGTAAAATTTTTTAGCCAAATCGGTTCAGTAGTTTTCTCGGTTAGCGCGGTTGTAGAAAATCCCTTACAATTTTATAAAATAGTATTGATTGTCTGATATATTTATGATAATGATGTACGTATATTAAATTATTACTAAATTATACACTACATATTATCTTAATAAAAAAAATTAAGATAATATGTAAAGGTATATTCAGCTAGGTATTTATGTAGATTGTAGGTATATAATATAATAATGTTATTATATGCTTACAATTTGTATTGAAGTGTATTATATTGTTTTTGATGGTTTCCGAAAATCGATCAAACTTTAAAAATAAAACTAATCTAATTTACAAGGGTTTGAGTTTTTCCGGCAAACCAAATATTTTTACGACTATATCACATAGAGGTAAAAACAATAACGTAGCTAGTTATCATTAGTTACACAAGACAAAATATATTTTTTTTTACAAGAGGGCAGTAGCTGGGAGTACATTTAAACATTCAGTGTTGTATATCTCGGAAAGGGATAAAGCACAAACAACGGGATTGAAAGTACAAACCAGCACAAACGAACGACTTAAGTTTGTTTTTGGATTTCCGAGGTGGAGGAGGGAAGCTGGGGATATGGAACCTATTTATGTTGATAAACAATATTTTTATGATTAAAAAGAAAATTATTCTAGTTTTCAAAAATCGACAGTGAAGTTAAGTTTATCAAAATAGGGAAAGTAGTTCTTATGATTTCTATATAAACATTTTAATTGTATACCCTCGACAAATATTATCTTCATACGCGTATATGTATTGCTAGTGTAATTTAATTACTAACTACCCTTCTGATTCGACAAAATAATTTAATGAAGCAGCAATATAAATGCAATAAATAATAATGAAAATACACAAATTAGCAAATGTACAATAATAATTTTAACTACTCCCTAAAAATTCACATAATTGTAAATAGTAACGATAATTAATGTTACAATACAAACTCTCAGTTTAATACGGAATGCAGACTGGTCATATAGGCATAGTTAGTACCAAATTTTTGTGGGGTCTATAGCTCCACTTCATAAATTAATGAAATTTTATCAAAATTAGGAGGGCCACACAGTCAGTACATTAATATCATTAAATTACATATTTTTGCTCTAAAACAACTATTTAATATAATTTATAATACAAGTAATCAATTATATAAAATAACATAATTATTATTATTATTATTATTATTTTATTTTCGCCAAACGGCAATATAGTATGGATACAAAATGGTATGGTACAAAAATTAATTAAGGTAAAACTAGAAATAACATATCAAAAAAATCACCATTGATAAGTATGGTATTGTATGATATTTACAACTTTATTTTTCTTTCACTTTTAGAAAATTATATACAATATATATATTACAATCATGGTTAGGTTAGGTACGTGGATACAATTAGAGTGACTAATCTATCGTCAGACACTTATTATCTCGGAAAGTACTAACTTTTTCCCGAATTTGTTCTACAGAACATTTTAAAAAACAAACAGCTCTACAATTTTATATTTATGTTATTTTTTAACGATTTTGTATTAATAATGGTATTAAATATAATACGCCTTCTTGGTTTCCGAAAAGGAATGTAAAGGGCTATCAATATTTATATCTAATCCTATCCACCTAGTGGGATTAGTTGGTTGGATATTCTCACTACACTTGCCTACTACGTTAGTCCCATTTCTGGAGTTTTAATTGCCGTCAATTGCGCCATCAGGTATACGTAGTGAGTTGTATTAACACAACATTTAATGGCCGATCTTACGCGTTAAACAATACATTTACATACAGGCCCGTTCAGAGATATTTTGGGGCCCGGGGCAGAATCATGAAAGGGGCACCTTTATCATCTTAATTTTATTTCAAGATATTAATTCTAGGTACATACTTTTCACAAAAATGTGCTGATAGCTCTTATAGTTTACAGACTATAGTTTTTAGACTTACCTAAGGTGGTTTCCCATAAAAAATAATAAGTTGCTCACAATATATTTTATGAACCTTATTTATTATATATAGGTATAAATATATTATTTAGTATACAAAATTGTTATAATCATAAATATTTTTTTAAAAAAGAACAATTTATTAATAAATAATTAACATTTGTAGTTCCTAATACTCCGTTTATTAATATTATTACAGTATATTGTTATTTTTATTTATCGTTAATGCAGTTATTAAGTCGTCGTTTTAACTTAAATTTGTATTTTGTAACAGGTTGGGAATTTTTGATTAAAAAAGATTAAAATTTTTTTTTACATGGACGCATGGTGCCCTATGATTATTTGGTCTTCGGTAGGCCTGGGTATTAATATTGACCTAGAAAGCCCTCTGAACGGACTTGTTTACATATTAGTGTATAAAAACAAAATATTATTTGTTTACCTATCATATTGTCCTGAACACGCAAATCTATTACATTTAAATAATATTACTAATAGTACTTGGTATAAATTCTTATATAACCCCGTATAACTGCACTAACTGATGCAATTGATTTAATTAATGCACCGAGACTTGGCATTTCGGGTTGGTTTGAATAAAATGGGGGTTTATCGCTGTAGACATATTTTTAATCATAGACTTATGTTTTTAAGACACGCCCACCCTGATAATGTTCTATGTCCACATAAAATTCACACAAATTCAGATTAACTTTTAAAAAATTAACAAAAAACTTATATAAGTACGTTAGATAATACACACTGGATGGAACTATGCTTTGAAATCTTGAAGTATAGCAATTGGGTCCCGATACATCGTCACTGTGCATGCACAAAATATAAAGTGTTTGTAGTAATAGGTGTATACTGTAGAATAATAATTTATATAACCGCAATTATATTACCACTACACATGTATAAACGATGATTGTGATTCCTATTATTATTTGTTAATTATACGATTATTTATCAACGAGTAATAACCATTTAATAATTTTGTTTTTACTTTATTATTTATTATTTATTACGAATAATTGTAAGGAAAAAATTTAACATGTATTTATTGAAAAAAAAATATTGTTAGCTTAGCTAAATTTATTCAGGTGGAAATAAGTGAATTTATTATCGGAGTTATAGTTAAAAATGTGATACTGTGCTAATGTTAAAACAAATTGTACATTTTACTTTCAGAATTTAAAAAATCGGCGATTATCATTAAGTACGTTTTGTATTTATTTCCTGTTGAACAGTATATACCAATTATTAAGGTATTTTATTCGAAAAGTTGAACATGGTGTCAGGCAAACTTATAATAATTATTTATTTGACGATTTTAAATTTCGATAATTCTCGTGCTAGTAAGTTTGATTACGTAGTATTTATAATCTCATGTGTATAACAAAATAATTATTTCATATGACTTGATAATATTTGTTCTTGATATATTTATTATCAATGTTGTTCATTAACTATAAGTATTAATTACTAATTGTGTATATATTATATATCATTAAATAATTACTAATTTAGTATATTGTGTACTAATGAGTTTACGTATATAAAATATGTATATATTAAAGTTGATAAATTTATTTTATCTGTTAATTGTAGTACGAAAGTCGTGTAAAGGTAAAATATTTTCGATTGTTAAAAAATACGTTTATTCGTAGTTCTTACATAATATTATATGCCTAAATATAAATGTAATTATTTTCCAAGCAAACCAATAACAGATGCCTAACTTATACTAGTTTTATATTAGTGTCATGCCAGATATTATTTTCAGGTGTTATACAGTATAGAATCCGCTTAATGGTGACACCGCACAAAGGAGCCGACTACTTGTAACGTTTGTCTTCTTCTCCGGATCGGAAGGGGAGACTGTTAACTTTGATTAAGAAAAAAATAATCAATGATTGATACATATGAAATTTTCTTTTTTTTTATTCGCATATTAATAATATAGTAAAATAACAACAAGTAGTTTCTTTTGTTGTATAAAATAAAAGAATAAATCCAAAATAAATTTCCGGATTGTATTGTACACGAATAATTAGATACCTTTCGTTTTACATACAATATTTTCTTTTAAAAAAATTTAATCTGACAAATCTTTACAATATTTCTTTAGAATATTACTTCAAAAACTGTTTAAATTATCAATTAAATGCATAACTAGATTATTATTGGTGTAAGGGAATAAGGAAAAATAATATATGTACACACTTAAAGCTAGCGTACAAAAAAATTTTTTTTTTTCTTTTATTTATAAGCACTTATTTCTACATAAAAAAATTTCCGGAGAATAATCCATTTAGTCCAGATTATTTTTTTTTATTCAAGTTTTCTTTTCTTTTATAGATATTGATTTTATATTCTTTTTTTTTGTATTATTATTATTACTGAATAATAAGCTTAAGGCGTATGTATAACGGGTTATTCCTTACTTTAAACGAATAATTAAATCAGTATGAAACTGGATCGGTATATCCTTCTGAGTCGAGTGAGCAACTACAGTGGATCTCATACATTTGGGTTCACGGTTAATTTCAACCGTTCATCGTGATGTTGGGTTATTTGATAAATAATTTCAGTTGATATATTCCGTGAAATTGCGCACTATTTCCCCGTTCATCAAGTTATTATAGCGGTTTACGAGGATTATTCTGGCTTGCGCCAGAATATATGGTCGTTAAAACTTTCTCGAAAGGCTATGCCAGGGAGAAAACCGACGAAGGAGCGATGGCTCATATATGCCCGTGCCAACGTCGTAAGTAGAGTATGCCCATTTAAACGCATGTAACGCAAATCTGATTCTATACCGCGGTGTTGGGACTCTATTTTTATTATGTGCCGCCACCGCGCGGCAAGTATCGAACTATGCTCTCTGTTTCGCGAACGCTAACTGCAGTGCGTCGACGTAAATTTGTCTCGTTACAAACTTAATAAGGAAAAATAATTGGCAGGTCCCGAATGAATGTATTTGTTTGAGACAATTTAACTTTGTTTATTGGGAATAAACTATCGGTTATAAGAGACTAATCTAATATTAAGATATCTATAATATCTAATAGTCTAATCTAAAAATACCTACTTAATTGAAACTATAACTGTCTTATCTGTATGTCTCTATTCAATTTTGGTGGCTCGTGTGTTTAATGAATATTTTATGCAAATATCGATTCTCCTAAAATTACATGAATACCTAATTAAGTACCTATTCACTATTCTCGTGAGTTATTACATATTCGTCACTAATGCAATACTATTATAAGTAATAATTGTCTGATAAGAAGTCCGTTCTTTACCAGATATAACTGATATAAGAATCTTTGATAATGAAACGGCAAATAATCATCGTGTCGTGATTGTGAGAATGAACTCATGAATATTTTGATAGCATAATTTTCTTTTATTTATGTTAACTTTACCGATAATGCGTGGCAAGATGGGGAATACGATTAGAGAATAGAGAATATCGAATATTTGTATATGCATATCATTCCCACGAATAGCGAATATCCACGATTAGCAAATAATCGTCAATTACTCGAGTAGTGTGAACCCGGATTAAAACATTTTTTTAACGATTGGAAAGTTTACCATAATGTACTGTACCTATAACATAAGATTTTTTCATTTGATTTTGAAACTTTAAATACATTTTACAAGTTTTTACGTAAATATCACAAGTGTTCCTTTAATATAATATAATTTACCTAATATTAAATAAATAATTACACTAAATGTTTAAATAAACAATATATTTGATATATTTGAACACTCAAAAAACTGATAACTAGAACACTTTAAAAAAAACCTATTCTACAAAAAAAAAGCTGATACTGGAGATGAGCGTGCAACTGTTGTAATGGGAAATTGTAAAGGTAGGATACATAAAATTATTTGATTTATACAATATGTAAGTAACGATAAATCATTTTAAACGAAAAATGATTCGAACCATAATATTAACGATTTTCGTAAAAATTTGATGTATTAAAACTTTTATGCATATAAAAAAAGAAAATACAGCATTATACTTAATTTTTTTTTATCACTGTGTATATTATATAATGAACGTTTTGATAAATTTTCAAACATTTCTGTTTGGTCAAATAATTTTATCCATAGAGTACCTACCAAATAAAAATGACGTCAAAAACTATCAAAATTAAATGTAGCTCAAAAATAGCTCATATATATTAAAAAATCTACGACTTCCAGAAAAGGTAAAGTTCTTAGTTAAATTTTTAAGTTGCTACGAATATTTTTAACAGAATTAGGTACATCAAATTGAAAATAATAAAACCATTATTTCCGTAAACGTTTCCATTATTTTTATATTTTTTTCTGTTTAGCTCAATTATTTAAAAACTAAAATAATAATAATAATAATAATAAATCAAAAAACTATTATTAAATTAGGCAAATAGATAAATTGAAATTCCCAATTATGATGAAAATTACTTAACAAATCAAATAACAACTTAATTCGCGAGAAACTAAAAATCTGAAATTCAACAAATTAGCTCTCTATAGGCATTTTTTGATTAAAGTAATATTTTTGGGGAAAACACGGTTCGTAAAAATTTAAAACAATGAAATCGGTAACACCGTATCGCTATAAATATTATTCGTTTTACGTTTTAAGTATAATTATTTTTTCAGGGTATTCTCAATTATTATAAAAACCATAAAAAAAATCAAAGAAAGACCTCTTTAATGCCTCAAATATATACAATTTTCATTCAGAAAAGGTGCTAGGCTCTATACAATGAAACAAGTTTTCTGTTTGAAAATTTTTTCACAAAAAATAGAATAAAAAAAAGTTGATAATGGGAATGAGTTCAGCCACTGTTGTAGGTGGGAAGTCAGGAAGGTAGGTTACATGAGTTATTTAATTTATATCTGTACTCAAAGATAAACCATTGTTATCAAAAACACGATTCCGAAGAAAGTTCAGTAAGATACATTTTAAAATGTAGTAATTTTAACGATTTTTTTCATAATTTAATCTTAAAATGCTTTGAAATAAAAAACATCAAAAATGCATCATAAATGCATCAAACTTAAATTTGTTTTTAGACTACTAAGTACTACTTATTATGTATCTTGTGTTAAATTGTTTCGATTACTTCTCTGTAATCATATAATTTTAAAAATAAATACCAAATAGATGCCAAATAAAAATTAATTTAAAACATGAAAATATCAAATACCTATAAATAGTCTCAAAAAAGTTAAAATATTTTAAAAATTTTACCACGTCTACAAAAGACCAATACAATATTTTGTAAAAACTATAGATCTCAAAAAAAAATGTTTAACCGGAAAAAAAAATAAAAAAAATCCAAGTGCCGTATACTTGGTTGTACTTTCAACGTTTTCCCCCGATTTTTCACAATTATTATAAAAACTACTTTAGATCAAAGAATATCAAAATATGACCTTCCTCAATACACCAACTAGGTAAAATTTTCTTTTAAAAAATATGCTACAATTTTATATCGGAGTAAGATTTTTGATAAAAAGTTGCTTACAGACACAAAAAATAAAAATAACACAAATTATAGTAAAACCAATACATCTTTCACTTTATTCCGAATCTAAAACCTATTTAATTTAAGTAGTAAATAAGAAGGCAACTACCAATAAATGGATACCAAATAATTATAATATTATGTACGAATTGTTAGGTATATTCAAAATAATAGAAAATTTGAGTATTTAACAAGTTTACCTAATTTAAAATGAAAAATTTAATTTCAACAGAAACGTTACACGATAATAGTGCTACTAAAAGTAAGTAGACAATTAATTTTGAAAATAATATAGAAGTAAATAAACATTATATTATTCGTAAATTGTTGTTTCCTGTACATTGGTACCTACTACCTAGTACTCACCTATATTATGTATTTTATTGATATTCCGATTGTAGATACCTAGTTTTTTGTTAATGTGGACATCTGTCGGGGACTTTTTACCATATAATTTCAAAAACTGACACGCAATCCTATTAGAACTCTTTCTAGATCCCAGGACTCTTACTGCCACTTAGTGTAAAATAATAAAATGTTTATTATTATGTATTTATACAAAAACAATTTATAAACTTCATAGTAATATTGATTAGCTATTTTTGTATGACTTGTATAACAGCTCATGTTTGGTATTCAGCTAAAAAAGGACGTATGTATAATAATATAATATTAAGTTATACCTAAATAATATTATGATATTTCAAAAAAATATCAGAATACGTGATAAGTATGATTTTCGAAAATCTCAAGAAAATACATATTATTTACGAGAAATGCTTTGAATATAATTATAGGTACATCAGACATCTAAATATCCTAGATATTAAGGATTTTTATTTTTGTTTCTTAAGATTTTGGAAAATTACAATTTTATACTTCAACAATATATTATAAATAATGTAATAAATAAATAATTATATTAAATATTATGAAAAGGGTTCAGTACTTGTTGCACCAAAAATGATCAATGCAAATATACGCTTAAAACTTTCCGAATATGCTTAATAGTATGCAGAATAGCATAGGGTGACCATACGTCCGGTTTAAAATGCAATTGTCCCTTTTTGATCACCTTGTCCCGTTGTCCGGTCAAACTCCGAACGGGACGCTTTTTATCCAGTTTTTAGAAGATGGTCCCGTTTTAATCCCATTATTATATTATTATATATTTTGTATTTAAAATGTGAAACGAAAGTTATAAATAACAGATAACAGTTTTATTGGAACGAGCGTCGAGTACGGATACTGATGAACTATACAATTAGCGTTAAGCAAGGAACAATACGCCGTATGGCAGAGTGAACTAAAATTATATAATGGTAAATAGTTAATAGTGCCTATTTATAATTAATGATATTGGAGATATAGATTTTTTTTATCAAAAATTCGAACGACAAAATGTGTAGTAATGTACATTGAACGGAGTACGGCGATCTTATTTATTAACGATATAGCCACTGTGTGTCGGCTTGTTTCTTTTAATTTTTGTTCGTTGTTACATTATTTTCTTTTTAAAATACCAAAGTGGAGGTGCACGTTTACTGTATCGGTACAGTCTGAATTTACTTTCCTCGAAAAAATGTGAAGAAATAGGCAAGGTACAGTATGCAAGGTAATATTTTAAATCAAACATGATTTGTACGAAAGCTAGGTTATACGAAAAAAGTTTTCTTGTACGCTTACCAAGTGTGAATCAATTATTCTGAATGTATTGGCCCCTTTTTCAATGGACGAAATTATAGATTGACTAAAGGCCATTAATTTTGCGACAGTTATGAGCGACAGTTCAAATCATAAGAATTTCAAAAATGCCCCCATTCTTATTCGATATTTCAATCTTAAAATGGGAGTTCAAATAAAAGTGTTCGAATTCACAAATTTGAAAAGAGATTGGAGAAACTTCGGATATATTGTCATCTAATATAATAAAAACTTTGATAAAACATAAATCATCTCACAAAATTTTTACATTTCCTGGGGATAATTGTAATAACAATTTTGGAGGTGCTGCAAGGAAAGGAACAAAAAATGTAAAAACTAATATTTGTGGAATTGGTTGTGCAGCTCATATTCTGCATAACGCTATGCAAACAAGTACAGGTGTTTTACCTATTGATGTCGAATGTATAGTTTACAAAATATTCCAATACTTTCATATATATACTACTAGAGTAGAATCATTAAAAGAATTTTGGGATTTTACAAATATTCAATACAAAATTTTACTCGGAAGTGTAAAAATACGATGGCTATCCTTGGAACCAGTAGTTTCTAGAATTACTGAAATGTATCCAGTTTTAAAATCGTACTTTGACTCTCAGGAGAAATGTCCAACCATTTTAAAATCATTTTTTAGCGATTCCGTTTCAATAATATGGTTTTATTTCATACTAAGTCAATTAAAAGTCATTTGCGACACTATAAGATAAATATAATATATTTGCTGGGAAAAATCAAAAAATGACCTCTTTAAAGTATCTTCCCGGTCAAATTTCCTTTCAGAATAATCGCTATCATTATAAATCGGAGCCAAATTGCTTGTAAAAAAGTTGTCCACAGGAAAAAAGAAGGCCGTAATATATTTTAACTAATACTTAAATTTCTTATAATTTTCCGTTTTACCTTTGTTCTTTTCCGGTTTTTTAAATTTGATGATAAAACTCCTGAGAAAATCGAAAAATAAACCTTTTTACAGTACCTCCACAGTCGGATTTCCTTTTAGAAAAATTGCTATAATTATAAATTGGAGCAAAATTGCCAGTCGAAAAGTTATGCACAGAACATAAATCGTATTATTTTAGTAATATATTTTGTACATTTTCCGATTTTTCCTCAGTTTTTTTTCGGTTTTTCACATTTTATTAGAAAATTCTTGAGATAATCGAAAAACGACCTGATTAAAGTACCTCCTTAGTCAGGTTTCCTTACAGATAATGTGCTGCACTTCAAAATTGGAGCAAGATTTCTGGTAGAAAAGTTGCGCAAAGATAAAAAAAAATAATTAATATTATTGTAAAACCATAAGCTTCTTCGCTTCACTCATAGTCTAAAAAACATGTAGGTTAGTCGGTAAATGGTAACACGACGGAGTCCATGAATACAAACGTCATATCTTTAGTGCTTTTGTCAAGATTTTATCAAACTTCCAATCGTTGTTTTATATACAAATAACAATAATCATATGTCAATAACAAGACTCTCAATTCCTGTCGGATAAAGATAATCGTAACATTTTAAAAATTATTTTGTACGCTTTTCAAACATAATTCATACGTGTTTCCAACGATAAACCATTGCTACGTAACGAAAAACAATTCGAAGCGAAGTTCGATTATACATGATTGGAAAGGCTGTAATATTGCCGATTTTCGTCAAAATTTGATTTTAAAACTTTTATGAAAAAAAAAGAAAAAAGATGGGCATCCTTCGCATGTTGGTGGGCCACTGTGGTAGGTGGGAAGTTAGGAAGGTAGTAGAGGAGAAATTTAATGTATATCTGTAAGCAACGATAATTCATTGCTTACGAAAAACCAATTCTGAGCGGAGTTTAGTTGATGGTGTTGCTTTATCAAAAATATATGTACATGTCATATTATGGTAAATTAATTACATAATAAGCATTATATATTAAAAATATTCGTAGAGACTTGAAATTCGAACAGAAAAATTATATTTACCTTTTCTAGACATCGTAAAATTTTCAAAAAATGTCAGCCATTTTTGAGCTAATTTTAGAAATTTTAATTTTGCGAGTTTTGTACGTAATTTTTATTTGGTAGTTACTCTGTAGCGAAATTGTTAGACTTAACAGAAATGCTTGAACATTTAACAGGAGGTTCCTTAAGTCTTAATTTGTGGTAAAAAAAAAAATTGAGTTTAATGTATTATTTTTTTTTAAAGGAATTTTTATATCAAATTTTGACGAAAATCGTTTAAGTAAAAATTATGTGGAAGAAATCTAATTTAAAATTTTTTGTTTTTAATATATGTATATAGCTGATTTAAGAACGATGGTGTAGTTAGAATTTAGCTAATTACTTAGTTTCAAAATTATAGACTTTTGAAATTCTGATAATATGCGGGTATTACATGCTATGTTAAATAACTCTATAATTTATATTTAAAATATGTTTGTCGTAGTCTAATTTATATAGATACTTATTGTCATCCTAGGAATAGTGAGTTCAAACGCGGGTTCCAAAAAAAATTATTACAAAAAAAGGAAAAAATAAATTTTCCTTTTTATCTAAACAGAGAAAAACTAATGCATTGTAGGTGTATCTAGAGGGAGTGCCGTAATTTGTTGGAAAATATTTAGTCGGAATTATTTTTTGTCGGAAAATATTTTTTCGGGACTTTATTTTGTCGGAAAAATAATATGTTGGAAATTATTTTGTCCGAACCGTTCAATATAATTTGATCATAAGCACTCCGTGATTGCATGCTATCGTCGTTGGGTGATAATTATTTTCCGACGAATTATTTTTCCGAAAAAAAAACGGTTCCGACAAAATATTTTCCAATATTTTACGTGCTCCCTAACTAGAGACCAAGTTATCGATCGTTCGGACTGTTTTAATTGAAAAATACCTCTCGATTTGTTGTGCAAACTTTCCAACCAGAAAACTTTCACGAATTTCTAAGTGTAGCTTCTTCTGAAGGAAATTGAACTAGGTAGGTAATAATGTTGTATATATCTAGGTATTTTATTTTTTTTTTTGGTTATTTTGCTTATCTGTGTCCTCAATCATCTTAAGATATTATTATTATTATGTTACAATTTATGTAATATTTATTTAAAATTTATATTATTATAGATACCATTGAGCAAATTAATGCAAAATATCGTGGTAAGATATTTACTGTTAAAGGTTTATTTACTTGATATTGTGTCCGTTTTAGAATTTTAATCGAAATCTATTTGCATAGGTATTATTTAAATAAATAACGGTATCCCGTCATTTGTTTCGGCCACTTTATCGCACATCAATAATCTTGCGCGTCATTATTATCGCAATGTATTTGAGAGGATGATATTCCACAAACATACAATTCGGTAAAAGGTTGGCATAATTCTTTTAATTCTATGCTAAGTGCATTCCATCCATCGATTTGGACATTCATAAACGCATTAAAAAAATTAAAAAGTTTAAACTGTTTTAAAATTTAACAATATACTGCAGGCTTTGAACCATCTCAGAAAAAAAATAAATAAAAATATCACAATAAAATTTAAAAAAAATTGTAACTGACTATAAAAATAGATCAGTTGACGACTATTATCATGGTACATCACATTATTCTCAATACCAACAAAAAATAAGCAAATATTAAAAAATATGACGATTTAAAATAAATAAAATAAAATATTATGCTTAACTATGTAAATTATATTATTATGACTATTATATAATAACTATTAATTATAAACTCATATGACTATAAATATTGTGTGTATTATTATTTTTTACTATACATATAATAAATAATCAATAAATATATCTAAGGGAATATTAAAAAACTTCTGAAAGAAATTGAAAAACGACCTCTCTAAAGTAACTCCGTAGTAAACCTTCTAGAAACATTACTATCATTAAAAGTTAAAGTAAAATTGATAGTAGAAAAGTTGTCCACAGAATAAATTATATTTATTAAATTTCGTAAATTTCCATTTTTTTTTTTCAAATTTTCGCATTTGATGAGAAAACTCTTGAGAAAATTGAAAGATAAGTAGTTAAGTACTTCCTCACGCCGATTTCCTATCAGAAAAGGTGTTACACGTAAAAATCCGAGCAAGTCTTCTGGTAGGAAAGTTGCTTACTGATTTTTAACTTCCCGTGTAATAGTTTCCTAATATGATTTAATCGAAACCGACTTTTATTGTCCACCAAAAGGTGTATTTACTATTTATATTCAGATATACATTATTATTAAGGAGAATACCTTTCTAGTCTGAAGACTCTGTTACAGTAAAATTTACCGTTTCTGTCTTCCTACAGACAATATATTAAAAACGTGTTCGCTCAAAATAAACTAAAAGACCCTTAAAATCGGTGTTAAAGATAAAACATTTATTATACGAGTTTTAGATGATGGCTACCTCTAAACCTCATCGGCCTTTTTTAAACCTTTGTTAATGATTTTAATATTTAAATAATTGAAAATACAAACAAGTCATCATCAAAAGATTATAGTCTACATATTTATAATAAATTAAATAGGTGTTTTACTTCTAAAACCAATTTTAAAGACTTTTTTTTTTTGTTTATATTACATAAACATATTTGAAAGACATACATATACGGCAAATGTCTGCAATGCAATTATTTATTGCATATAAAATGTTATTGTTTATTATACCTCTGCAGTTATATCAATACATATAGTATGTACATCAAATTTTAGGTTTAGTTAGAGTCTACATGATGTTTCTTAACGAAATGAGTGAAAATAGTAAGTGTCTATAGCTATAATAGTAACAACAAACTATATTATAATATTGTTTAAAATAAAACAAAACAAAAACAAAATATAATACCATATAATAGGTAGGCTGTTCAATATTTATACAATAACAATACTATATCGATTTTCGGTAAAAAAATAAAATAAAATGTATAAATTGTTATACAAATAAGTTACATACAAATAACTACCTATATATAATATTAGTACATAAATTAGTAGTATAACTAATTTTTAAATAACTTTTTATTGAAAATTAGAACTAAATAGTGAATAATAATATTCAGCTCCAGTGAATTTTAAATAAAAAAAAAAAAATGATTAATTTTAAATGTATAAATATAACATTATCATATTAGTTGAATAAATTATTGATGGTGCCTCAGTGGACCAAAACGGCATCCATAAACCAATTATGTTGCATTCGATAAACAAATCAGCCCCACCGTACTTCAGTTAAAAATATTTTGACTGAACAGTTTGTAAACAGAAAGTATATCCGAAAATATTACAACTAACCGTGAAAAAGTGGGAACTTTCAACAATGAGTGATAATGTCTCGGTAGCTGTCAGTTTATTATTCTCATTTTAATCCATTCATTTTAAATGTCAGTCAATAATAATATTAACGCAGTCTTGTATTATTGTTTGCAATTCTGTATAAAAAAATATGATATTTAAAGTTTTATAATTTAACATTTTTTAATTCAAAATTAAAATATATCAGCATTAAATCGTCTTCCAAAACAATGATAAAAAAAGACGGACTGACTTCGCACGTTGGTAGATCAGTGTTGTAGGTGAGAAGTTATTCATAACTAGTAGAGAGAAAATTTAATGTATATCTGTTTGCAACGATTAGCCATTGCTAGCGAAAAACGATTCTGAGCAGAATCGTTTTGAGCGAAGTGAGCGAAGTTCAGTTAATAGTGTTGCTTTGTCAACATGATATTATATTATGTCACATACCTATTATGGTAAAATAATAACATATGCATTATATGTTTTCTTTAATAATATTTGTTTAATATTGTACCTACTTTCACGTTTTTCACACGTTTTTTCCCGGTTTTTCCATTTTCGAGAAAACTTTTGAGAAAATCAAAAATGTTTTCTTTGAAGATCTACTTCAGTCAGATTTCCTTTCAGAAAAAGTTCTATTATTATAAATTGGAGGAAAATTGCTGATAGAAAAGTTGTCCACAAAAAAATATAAACATCATTGTGAAATCAATACATACTTCGCTCCACTCAGAATCTAAAAAAATACTCATAGTCCGTGATTTGAACTCGTGCTACTTATATAGTTATTTCAATCACTAGAACTTAGATAGTGATCAAAGTTAAAAGTTATAAATTATGAAAATTGAGTTACAAATAGTTACAAATGAAATTTAAAATATCGGCATTGGTCCGAAGTCAAAAGCCGAAAGTTGTGGAACCAACTTAATACATGTTAAAAAATGTATAAGTTGTTAACTGTCTAACAGTTTCAGCAATATCACTGTTGGTTGTAATATTTGCGGATAAAATACTGTCGGCTGAAATACTGTAGGTAGAAATATTATTCTGTTTAGATACATTCGGATGAAATCACTTTTGGCTTAAATACGTTCAGTTAAAATATTTTCGACTCAAAAGTGTTTTATGTAAATATTGTATGGTGTACACGTAAACTTAACCTAGCGCTCAGATAACTGTTAATCCACATAAAACGACAAACGGGTACATTTATTTTTAAAATTTAACCAACTGTTATTATGTATTTATTAAACAGAAAATTTAAATAGTTATGGTTATTCGTATATATAAATTTCTCATGTTACTACACATTTATATTTTAATAAAATATTGAATAATATTAATTTATAATATTTAAAATATTAATTATCGATCAAACATTACTTAACTTTTAGTTTATAAAATTAGTAAGTATAGATATCTTTATAATATATTATTTTGAAATAATTTATATACTTTATAACAATGTGTAGGTAATTATAATTACAATAAAATTAATTTTAATTTTTATAACTGTAGATACCATGTCCCCGGAATATTGGTGTACATACCGTAAATATATTATGTTATAATATTCTGTGCGCAATAATATTTCTCTATAGACTTATAATAGTAGTTTGATAAAATATACTGTAATAAAATTAATTATTAATTTAAATACTGTGATTTACTTGTAACTACTATTATTTCATATCTTATATTTATAATAGTCATTAACTTTAGTGCCTGTAGTAATACATTTTTTTTCAGAATTAATTAAATTCAGATTAATTTTACTACTATTATTAATTTTAATATTAAAGCTTAAATCTTATAGCCTAAAGCTTCAAAGTCATTTCTACGTGAGGTTGTATACAATATATTGTATATAATTAGGGCTCGAGACTTAAAGTTTACAAAAAATCAGTTAAAACGTCAAAAAAACATTGAAAAAAGGACTTGAAAATAGTTGTAGTAATTGTAGTTTTAAGTGTCCTCCCTTTAAAGGCTCTAACTTATTAAATACAATTTTCTAACGCTACAAAAATTATTAGCCCATAGTTCTTTTATATAATACATACGATTTTCTTTAAACAAATTTACTTTTTGTTAACCATTTGTGTCATGTTAGAAAATTGTATTTAATAATTTAGAGCCGTTAGACAATGGACCTCTAATCCCATCTACCATTTGTTTTTATAATATTTTTTTGAAGTGTTTTTCGGAAGATCGAGGATTTAAATAGTTTAAAACCTTCTTCGGATAATGCAGATCATTTTTCAAAAAAACGTTTAATCTTCAAAAAAATGTTTATCTAGTAGAATATGCGTATCAAATATTTCCATTTCACATTTATATATACATATGTACTTTAATCTATATGTATTATTTATTTATTTATTATTATTCATTCGGAATTCTTTAAAAACTATTTCACTCAAATTTGATTAAATATTTGTATACACATATAATATTTAATAATATATAATATGCATCAATTTTGGTAATTTATAATTTCAATTCTGTACTTAATAAATTAATTTGTTTTCCTGGTTTTATCGACGTTTTAGAAAAACTACATGGGAAATCAAAAAAAAACTTTCTTCCTCACCAATTAGAATAATTAGATCCAAAATGCAACTAAAAAGTCTCTTAGCATTTTTTTTATTGGATAAAGATTTGTAGTAGAAAAGTTGTTCACAGATAGAAAAAAAAATCGCATATATTAGTAAAACCATGGATTATAGAATAGAATGTTATTCTTTAATCAATGGTAAAACCAATACATTCCTTGCTATATTCAGTAATCTAAAAGATAGGAAAATATATAGATAGGTATGTACATTTTATATTATAAATACAAATTTGATTTTTTTATATACATGTATATTATCTATAGTCGCACCGACACCGTGTTATGGTAAGAAAAAAGTTTTAATTCGTACAAATGTATTTAAACAAATTATAATATGGTATGTCTTAAAACAAACATTTTTAGAATAAAATTTTTAATACCAAAACATTAGTTAAAACTATTTATTAATAATGATTGTTATAAACATCCGTTATCAAATATGATCAATATCTATCTCAGTAAATTGCTGATTAAGAATAAAATAAATGTGTAAAATAAAAATAGAAATTTGTTAGTAAACATAAATATTAAACGGTTTTAAATTCTAACATGTTATTTTTGTCTAAAATAATTAACTGTTCAATAGAAGCTTTAAGTGAGTGTCCCATCTTCTTGAGAAGTGAGTACCTCTGGATAATTTATAAATTTTCAATAAGATAATAATTCAATAATTCAATAAGAATCTTGAAAAGTATTTATTTTATTTTTGAAAAACATTTTTACATTTACCAGTAAAATTGTAAATTTTTAGGGCTGCATTCATAAAGTAGTCCATGAGTACTATTTAATGCCACACGCCTTTCTGCCATACAAATTCCGATTTAATCTTTGAGTAGTTGATAATAAAAAAAATTCCAAAGTTAATACTTTCGAGATAATGCATGTCTATGATCAAAATTGATCAGTATAGTTATACAATTTCAAATTTCAAAATAAAATATTAATCTTGTATAAAAATGTTTATGAAGTGAGCTACCTATATAGTTATTTAATGCTAGAATATTAGTAAAGAGCATAAACAAATAAAATACAATTTATTTAGGAACATTTCCCAAATTGTATACTAACTTTGAAGACAAGGGAAGAAGACATTGGACAACTGTTAGAAAGTTAAGTATGTAATTTTATTTTAAATATTATTTATAATATTTTTATGTACAATGGTATATATAATAAATAATTATGTAATCTAACTATATAAATGTGAAATTATATACCTATATAATATATACAGAGCAGTATAATAGTTTGTTTGTACTTACTTTTTATCTCAAAATCTAACAATTATATGGAATTTTCTTGAAATTTGGTAATTATTAATCTTTTTGTACACGAATTTGCTACAAAGGATAGAGACTTTTTAATACCGGACTACCAGCTAACCAGCTATTTTGAACTAATATTAACTGTTCTATTAAAATATAGATATCAACTGTGTTTTAATCTATATACATAATAATGAATACTTTGTTGCAAACGCCATAGCTTGAGAACGACTGGACCGATTGGGCTGATTTTTATTTGATAGTGTTCGTTATTGTCAGGACACGGTTATTATTAAAGAAAATGTTTGGAAAATCAACCGGAAAATTTGTAAATTAGGATGGTATTTTTGTATGAAAATGATAGTTTGTTTTACGATGTTTTTTTTTTTGTGAACAACTTTTCTATCAGAAATTTTACTCCGATTTTCAAGTGTAGCACTTTTTCTAAAATTAAATTTTTCTGAGGTGTTACTTTAAAGAGGTCATTTCATAATAAATGGGAAGAACTTAGAAAAATCTGAAGAATTTACAAAATGTATTATTGTATATTTGAGATATTTTAACACTTTTATTTAATTATATATAAAACATTTTTGTTAATTTTTGTGTTAATAAGTTTTATTTACGCAACTACTTAGTTTCGGCTTACACCATCATTAGGCTGCTGATATATAATGTTCTACAATAGTTTTCATAAAACAATTTAAAAGAGGAACAATATATATTTTAAAATTAAAATAAATATAGTCATTATAATATCAAACAGGAAATGTATTATTTTTAAACCGTAAATATTACAGTCTTTCGAAACATGTATAACCCAAATCCGTTCAGAATAGTTTTTCGAAAGCAATAATTAATCGTTACGTACAAATATTGAAATATGTATTAAATTTCCCCCTATTTTCTCGACTTCTCACCTATTTTACTCATTTACCCATATTAATTTTTGGTTTTGGCTGTCTCAGAATTGAATGAAAACAAATAGGTGGAAAGTGGGATGTCTACCTTCGGCGGACTAAATGTGGTCTATTGTGAAATTTGATTAATGTAAATAATAGTAATAAGAATAGTATTCTTTTCCATGGAAACCAAATTATAATCCGTAAATTCAAGGTAACTCTTGAATAAACAAAAATAAATACATAAGCAATTAGATATTCGAACCAAATATACCTAAAAACTCTATTTACTCCCTTAGGTGTTGAATTTTTAAAAATCCTTTCTTAGCGGATGCTTACGTCATAATAGCTATCTGTGTGTCAAATTTTAGCCCGATCCGTCCAGTGATTCGGGCCAAACGATGATGAATCAGTCAGTCATTTAATCAGTCAGGACATGTTATTTTATACATATATAGATTAAAAATCGAGTTATTTATTTTATATGGATATGAAATGTCGGCGAATATGCACATAAAGGAATGCTGCGCGCAGTACTGTTTGTGAGTGACAATTATAGTCGCGATGTCCCATTTTCGAGTATTCTCACTCCCCAATATGTTAGGTAAGGCTTAACTTCCTTTGAAATCCCCCCCCCAAAAAAAAACAACAAAAATTTGGTATTTAGATATTTTTGGTATGGAAATCATGAAAAAATATCACAACAAGACACTTTTAGTCCGCCGTATGTGGGCTAAAAATGGATAGTTGAAATGGGGTAGTCATCCACTTTCCATATATTTGTGCCGTGTGGAACAGCTATTATTAATATAATTTATAAAAACCTAAAAATATTAGTATAAAAATTCACTAGTTTTATTGTAAGGAAATTAAATAAAATTTACGTGACGTCCTTAATTTATATAAGTTATAAGCCGATAAAATCATACATGAAGTACCTGAGGTACAAAGAAAAATATTAAAACTTAAAAATCGTTTTAGAGAAAGAAAAAATAGCGCAATGTGATGGTAAGTCAGTTATAGTGTAATCGCTGATTGGTATACTATACTCAGCTACTAATTTTATTATTTTATAGACTTAATTTCAGAGGCATAGCTATAAGGGGGCCGTGGGTGACAACTGTCCCAGGATGTCAACATTTTTTTTGGAGCGCATTTATTGTACGAAGTTGATGGTGGATTATAAATTTTCAATATAATAACTAGCGTTACTCTAAATTTTATTATTTGCATATTTTTGTTTTAGTTCTTAATTTATCCCTTTTTTTAAAATTATATTGCTTAGCTATTTCCGATATTATACGATAATATTCCGGTGTGTTAATCACTTTGCATATCATTTCTAATACATTTGAATTTGTTATTTTTGTTGTTTCGGTTTTTTTTATCAAAGTCTCGTAACTATATCCTTTTTCTTTTATTGTTACATACAACTTAGAGCATCAAAATTAGAATTGTGTACCCCCGGTTTATATTTTATTTCATAACTGTACTCCTCAAGCTCTGTCCCCCATCGAATAATCGGATAATGAGTTTTTTCAAGTTAAATAATCACGATAGCGGTTTATGAACACTTAAAATAGTAAATTTCCGCCCCTACACATATGGTCCTAATTGTCTAACTCCAAATGTTACTAAACATTCTAATTCTGTTGTATTATAATTATTTTCATATTTACGTTCCATATATAATTATATTGTTGAAACACGAGTATACTAAACATTTTATTCCGATTATACCCACTAGTACGTTATTCATTGATCTTTGGAAAATAATGGCGAAGTTTTCAAGTTTTCAAATTTTCATTGTCATTCGCGTATATTCATAATGTCTAAGATTTATGTAAAAGGCTGATAATTAGCGTGAAGATTTGACTAATGATATTTGGTAGAAATCTAACGCTAAGTTTATAACGTTAAATATTTGACATTCTCCCAACTGGTCTAATATTTCAGTTATATTAGGCAGCCGATGAAACTCGTTTTAAGTAACGTTTTTAAAGCTCTAAAATCTATCATTATCTTCTCTTTCCTACTTGCAAAGTAGGAAACTTTAAACTAAAAGTAAAGATACATTCCAAGGATTCATGGGTTGTTCTATTATACCATTTGCCTCCGTTTTTCGAGTTTGAGAATTTTTTTATTCTTGTTGCCTGTGCGGTAACCAATAAGTTTGTCGGTAAATTAGTGCTTGATCTTTCTTTAAATTTATTAAGTGTTCTGTTTCTGTCGCGTTAGTAAAGGTTAGACTGTCCCTTTCTAAATGGAATATTTCTGTATATTGTTCGCATATTTCAAGTATAGATTGTTTTCCTCTGGATTCATATGTTCGCTTCTAATTAGTTGTTTAGTTTTATTAAATCGAGTTACGTCATTTTTTATACTGCTTATCGAACAAATATTATATTAAAATTCGGATGATAGGCTCCCGCTAGACGTTATGAGTCCGTATCGGCTCCGGTTCGTTACTCCTTGTCATCGGTTAAGTGGCCGTATTACGTACCTTTACGATAACGAATTTTGATATCTAATTAATCGCATATATTTACAGTTATATAAAATTATAAATTATTTTCGGTGTAGTTTTTATAATAATTTAGCAAAACCGGAAAAAACATAGAAAAAACGGAAAAATTTACGAAAATAATTTCAAACTAAAAATTGCAAATAATCGAACCGAACTAAATATCCAATTGTTTGGTTTGAAAATCATTCGATATTTATACTGCGCGTTCACCAATACGATGTTTTGCGGGGAGACAGGGTGATCTTGTTATGAAAAAAGAAAAATTCATAAAACTATCAAACCATAGGATAACCATTAACCTTCGAGTTAAGTTAAAGTTCGATCAAAATATTTTAAATTTAGGTTTGGTTCGAGTTCGAAAAAAAATGTGTAGATTTGGTTTAGTTCGGGTTCGTTAATTTTTAAAAAAATTTCGGTTTGGTTCGGTGACCTTAAAAATCAAGGTTCGTAACAATACTAAAAATAATGCTTTTATTATTTTCAAATTTTTTTTTTTTGTTGTGAATCGGTTTGAAATATTCACAGAGACTTAAAATTTGGACAAAAGACTAATATCTATTTACTTTTCCTAGATGTAGACAAATTTTCAAAACATTTCAATAATTTTTAAGCTATTTATAGACAATTAAATTTTACGAGTTTGTTAAGTAATTTATATTGGAGGATGAAAGTAGCCTGCTTGCAGTTTTCTTTGCATATGTTATTTTAACTTCAAGGTTCTAACAAATGGAAACAACCAAAGTAGCATAACTAATACCATCACCAAGGCACTAATTTCCAGCATTACTATTACTCTATAGCCATACGATAAATACGTTTGGTATTGGTAGGTACTTTGTGGATACAATTGTTAGATTAAACAAAAATTCTTGAAAATTTGACAGGAGGTTCAATATAAGTCGTATTTAATGATCAGAAGAAAAATGAATTGTAATGTAGTACTTTTTTTTTTTTTATAAGAGTTTTAAAATCAAATTTTGACGAAAATCGTAAAAATTACAGCTTTTTTACTTTGCTTCGAATCGTTTTTTGTTAGAAATGGTTTATCATTGGTTAGAGAAATAAATTAAATAACTCTATGTATTTTACCTTCCCAACTGCATATCCCTTCTTGAACAGTGGCTGCACCGATCCCCAGTATTAGTTTTTTTTTTCAGGTGTAATTAAAAGATACGTAAATCACCTTCTTAATCAACGCAGTAAGTATAAACATTTACAAAAAAATAAAATAAATTAATTGTAGTTATACAACTAATTAGTTAGAATCCTTTTCCTAAATCCAACATAATCTGCTTCATAAAATAATTTCTTAGAATTCCTTCGATTATAGACATTATCCATGGAGGCTGGAACCTTACCGAAAAGAACCGATTTTAAAACCGAAATCAAAATTTAAATATAGAAGGAAATGGACCTCAAACCGAAAATTTAATTTCAAAATTTTAGAAACTGAAACCGATTTTTTTTTAATTATGGGTTTTGTTGGGTTAATTTTGGTTTCAATAATTTCTTTATTTTTATTAAAAACAATTTGCTTGTTATTATAGTTGGTAGTCAATTGTAAGAGTCTACAGACATATGTAAAAATGTAAAAATTTATCTGATATAACACGCATGGTATGTAGTGACTCTATACAAAAATTATGTTATTATATTATCTGATATTTATTTCAGTAAAAAGGCTGAAAATGTATAGATACTTGAATATTATAAAATATAAATACATCTATTATAACTGAATACTATGGGTCTGATTTCGATTGGGCTAAATTAGAATTATATCGCTGCAATATTATGTTGGATGTTGCTAAAACAAAAAATTTAATTTATCATCAGTGTTAGACGCAATTTATTTATTTTAAATAAGAGTTGTATATTTTTTACAAGATTTGGTACCAGAAGTGATTAAATTAAATTACGTTGACCGTACCAGTTTCATCATGTACAACTAAATGTTCTTTTTCTGCTCTTTGGCGTTTAAAAACATTCTTAACGTCAACAATGACACAAATACAACTTAACAATATAGCAATATTGCATGCACATGAGAAAAAATAAACATTGACGAGATTGCTAACAAATTTATTAATACCCAAAGTGAGACAAAATACGTTTGAGATTTGTTGAAAAATGAAGAAATATACGAGTATACTTATTGTACAACTTTTTATTTTAAACTATTTTTTACTATTATTAAATTCTGTATGGACAAAAAGAATACTATTTCTTATTTATTTAAAAATATAATTTGTTATTAGTAGGTACTAATTATTGTTAAAAATAAAAAAAAATATTTTGTTTTTATTTTGCTTGCTAGTCTTCATTATTTTCAAAATATTGGCAGAGAGGTATTTCATATTTTTTTCACCCTTAGGTATAATTAGAAAAACTTACACTTTTGGGCGTTTATTTTGGTGATAGGTAAAAAAATAATTGTTTATTTGTAGGCTTTATTTGATAAAAGTTTATCATCTCGGTCGATGGCGCCTCATCGCCTCCCCCCCCCTAAATACAAAAATAAAGTCAATAAAGGACTAATGCTTTGTTGATTTATTTTTTTATTTCGATTACAAGTTATATAATTTTAGGATTTTGAACACCCCATGAAAATTGAAAAACCTGGCGCCCATGCTTGGCAGTAAATATAGTGTGTTAACAGTTGTTGTGGACCCGTGTACCTATTTACTTCTAATATGTCATTACATTTTCATTTGAAGACTATTTTAGTGGAAATTAGATCACAGCACATGACGAATTATTTTCTTATATTTCTTTACCACTAAATTAAATGGAATATTTTTAGTTCAACTGTCAAGCTCTTAACCTTTCATTAGGCGCGTTGTTTGAAATAGTAAAACCGCTTTGTATTTATTCATTTGTTTTACTTATATTTTATTTTTATATTATCGGCAGTCACGGATATTCCTCGAAAATGTTATAATCTACATTTAGATTATTTTTGAAGTGTTTTAGTTCACTTTATTACAGACAAATTAACGTGTTGTCGCAAAATACAGCATACGTTGTTCCGTGTACCTCCCTATAGGTACCTATACTATAACTCCCCCTTTAAAACGAGTAACTTACTTCGAATGTGAAAAGAAAAAAAAATGTTGTTATATCTTCGAAGTGCACTAAGTGTATAAAGTTTGTATGTAAGGTACATTCAAAAAAATATATGATATGTGAACAGCGTACTAATAACGCTGATAGCAATTCTGAATAATTTATTGTTTATTTTATTTATTTATTATATAATATATTTAAATAAAAACCACTTTGTAAACGTATTGTTTATTTTAGTACTGCCAATATTCATATGTATTAGTAATTGTTATTAGTATTATTAATATGTGTGCTATAATCACAAATTATTAGGACTGTTGTAAAATTTACAACACGCGACTTCTCTTGTTTCAGAAAATAATGCACCCACTCGAAGGTTAAATTAGATTTTTTTAAAATATCACTCATACCCTTTGTGTTCTAAGCGGCTCAATTGCTTTGTTACTTAATTATTTTAGATTTGAAGTGTAGCGAGAGATCTATTGGTTTAACTACCTATGATGTGTGTATTTGTTTGTTGTTGTTGTGTTATGTAATTAGCAACTCTACAAGAGATCTTACTTCGATATATAAGTATATCATTTTTTCTAAAAGGAAATTTTATTTAGTTGGTGTATAGAAAAGGTCATTTTATGATTTTCTAAGGGGTTTTAAAAATAATTGAGGAACACTGAGAGAAAATTATCAGAAAACCGGTACATACTTAAGACACTCCGCGGCGTTACTAATTTCATTGTTTTTAATTTTTTGCAAACTGTTTCTCTACCAAAAACATTGCTTTAATCGGAAAATTCCGTATGGTCTTTTTATTCCTTTTATTATATAGACACTGACAAAGAAAGTCGTTTTTTGAAATTCAAATTAGTTTTCATGAAAAATTTCTTTCTTTTCTCCTTGGTTTTCGTCTCAATCGACTTTCTTAAATTTATTTATGATAAACGTCTTTATTTGACATTAGTTCTATCCAGGATATTTTTAATATCTTTTGTCAACACCAATTTTCGAATACTTTTTTTTTCTTTTAACTGCAGTCATGATTCTGGCTCCATAAAATGCTACCATACCAATGTTTTTATAAGTGTTTTTCTATTTACTTAATGTTTAACGTTTTTGTAATGAATAGTTTTTTATTTTCAAAGAATGCCTGTTTAGTTTAGTGATTGCGTTATTCTACAGTTATATCTATAGTACTTGTCCAATCACTTCCAAATTTGCTTCCATAATAGGTTGTTAATAGTAAAACTATTCCCATTTTCCAGTTTGATATTGGCTATTATTATATTAGTGTTTGATTATTTTCTGCTACAAACTAAAATCATTGTCTTGGTTTTATTAATTTGCATGTTATGTCATTCTTAAAAGTTAAGTAGCTTTCTCTCTACGTTTTTCTCGTTATCTACTATCATTGTAATTTCATCCGCAAAAAGTATTAAGAGTAATAGTATTCCATTTAACTTTATCCTTTCTATGTTTTCTTTTAATATCTCTTCAATGCATAAATAACATGGGTAAGAAATTTCATCCTTCTCTTACACATCTTTAGATTTTAAATGAAGTGAAGAAGCTTATGATTTTTCAAAGATGTTTATTTTTTTTCATCTGTGCGCAACTTTTCTACCAGATATTTTGCTCTGATTTACAATTATAACACTTTTTCTAAATTTAAATCTTACCGGGGAGATACTTTAAAGAGGTTATTTTTTTATTATTTCGATAAATGGGAAATACCATGGAATAATCGGGAATGACTATGGGAAAACGCTAGGAAAAACGAGAAAATAGGTTCAATATTGAACAAGTATTTTTAAAGAAAATATATATTGCCTATGTAATTATTTTATCGACATAATATATATTATTGAAAAAGTAATTACACTATCAATTGAATTCTGCTCAGAATTTTTTTCGTTAACAACGGTTAATAGTTGTTCACAGATATACATTAAGTTACTTATAATAATAGCTGCACTCTTCCCCATTTTCCTTGGACAGCTTTTTATATTTTAAAGTCCTCATATGCATCATTTTTGTCTTTAATTACAGCTCTTTCATTAACATATAGCTTATGAATTATTTTCCTACCTTTGAAGTTTAAACTTATCTTCTCTAATATATAAGACACCTTATCCCAGCTAATCCCAGTTAACGCTGTCAAAAACCTTCTATAGTTTTACAAAAGCTATGTATATGAATTTATTTATTCTGAATAATTTTCTTATTAAATTAGTCAAAGGCAATTAAGCAAAGTATTGCTTTCCTAGTTCCTTTATTCCAATTTAGCCCAAATTAATCTGTTAAATCTACCTCTAATTTTCTTTCTGTCCGATTGTCAACTATTTTTGTTAAAACCTTAGAAGCATGTGATATTTATTGTACAATATTCTTCATATGTTACGACCTTTTTTCTGTATAAGTATAATACGAACTTATTAAATCTTCGGAGACTTTACCTATTTTATAGGTGTTTGTTATTATATTATACAGTACTTCTTTTCAAGTTACCTCTAAAGCCATCAGTTGTTTCCTATTCAGATTATCGATTTCAGCAGCTTTATTACGTTATTCTTTTTTTTTTTTTTTTTGATGCTTTTTCAAATTCTTCTTTCATGGTATTAGAACAATAGTTCCTATGTAATCTTGATTATCATTTTCCAATTCCGGGATTTTGTACCTCCTTCCCCTACTATCAAATCTATAAAATTCTTTATGTGTTACTACTTACTAGATGTTTCGCTAAGTATCTTGCTACATGAATAACAAGTTATGTACAAATTCTAGACTTCTAGTTTTTCAATTTCGATTTACATGGTTTTACATTTATAAAAATTAAAAATTGTTTTATAATTTTTAAAGACCTTATCACTTAAGCATAGGTGCATACGTAAAACTCAAATTCTGTTTAAAAAATTGTTTTTTGCAGTCTTATTTTAAACTATAACTAATTGTTATTATGCAATGATATCATATATTGCCTCAGTATATTCATAACTTCGTATGTGAAATCAGTGAACCCATTTATCAAACTCAATAGTTATCTAATTAAGTAGTAATATGATATTAATGTAAACATAATTTGAATATAAATATGGTTCTTTCTCTTTATATCGGTATCTTTTCTTTATTTATGAGCACATAAACATTTAAAAAAAAAAAAAAAAAAGTCATTAGTATGTGCAATGTGTGATGGGTCAATTTCTGTAACGTAACGCTGTGTCGTAATATACAAGTTTTGCTTTAAATATATTAAATATTTAAATGTTTTATTTTATGATTAGCTAAAAGTAGTGGTATGTATTGTATATAAAATTATAATAATTCCTAAATAATAATATATATTTATACTATAATATGTGACATGTGAAGGTATTTTTTTTATTATTATTGATAAAATTAAAAATGATTTAGATCTAGTGTTATCAATGAATGATTGGTGTGAACAAGGTAAATTAAAGAATTGCAGTGTTATTTTTACTAAAAATATTGTACTTTATAATAATATTATTTAATTTCTGTAACAATTCAACTGTACACATTTTTGTTTTGTTATACAGTCGATATGAAATGCATGGGTATGAAACTAAGAAATACTATCTGTATATTATAATATTATTGTATATTTGTATGCACAACTATATTGTATTAACGGCTTTTAATAAATCCTAGTGTGATGTTTATTTGTTCCGAATAAGTAAACAAATTCAATAATCTAGTTTGTTAGTTCGGTTCATCAGTTAAGATGTATCTATTCGTAACTATTTGTTCGTCTAACCTAGCCAGAATAATAGAAAGATACATAATTCATATATCGACTGGTAATAGGAAAACGGGATTAAGTGACATTTTTTACTACTTTTCAGGAGAATAAAAACAAAATTTACATATTACATTAATAATTTAAATTAGGGTATAAGCGCCATACATAAAAAAAAAGCTGTTTTACGATAATGGGGACGGGTGCAGCCACTGCTGTAGGTGGTCAGTTAGAAAAGTAGGATACAGACAGATATTTAATGTATATCTGTAAGTATGACGATTAATCATTACCAACAAAAAAACGATTCTGAGCGAATTTTGGTTGATAGTGGTTCTTTGTCAAAAATATATATGTCATATTATAGTAAAATAATTACATATGAATTAAACATTTTCTTAGTAATATTTATTTAATTTTGTACCTATTTTCTCGTTTTTTCACGGTTTTTCTAATTTATTGGAAAACTCCTGCAGGCAAAATCAATAAATTACATTCTTAAAATACCTCCCCAGTCAGATTTCTTTTTAGAAAAAGTGTTATTATTGTAAATCTGATAAAAACTTCTGTTAAAAAAATTGGAACCTACGCGTTGTGTTTATTAAATATAGAATCTAAAAAAAAAAAAAATGTTTTTGCTCTCGATTTTTGCTCTCAAGTGTTAAATGTCGTAACATAAATTATCTAGGTAATGCGCGAGACGGCATCGTCCGTCTTTCGGAATGGAAACGCCTGGTAAAAGTTTAGTAGAAGCAATTTTGGTTTAAATACAACATGAAAATAAACTTGTGACTGAATTACAAGCGAACAATGCAAAATTACAGAGCAAATTATTAAATCTTCAAGTGAGTTACATTAATAATCCTAATAAAAATAAAAACCAAAACAATATGGCGACAGGTGAAAACCCGGGTTTCAATTCAGGTGTTAAGCCCTATAAAAATAAAGGTACAAGCGACCGGAAATATTAATAAAACAATTTCTAAAATATATAAGCCACCATCAATTACAGCCTGTTGTGTCAAAAACATACAAAACATAGTTAGTAGACTAACTTGTAAACAAGTTCGTGGCCATGAACATCAACTAAAAAATATCGCTAATGGTAATATAAAAATTCTGACGGAGGATAAACACCAATTTAAACGTACTCTAAAAAACAAAATTGATTATTATAGAATTCAGTAAAAGGGGAAAACAAATTTCGTATTGTCATTCTTGGATTACACTCAGAAACGGAAATATGTAAAATTAAAAAAAATCTAGCGGATACTCTGCAAGTGATGTGTTGAATATTCAGATTAAAAAAAAATCAAATCCAAAAGATAAAAATATGAATGGACAACGATAAAAGTACCCTTGTTTTTTGTGGATTTGACTTTACAAGAAAATAATAAGAACATCTATAATAAACATAGGCTATATTATCATAAAGTCAAAATATAACCTCCAAGGAAGAAAAAAGTTTTGTCACAGTGCAAAAACTGTCAGGCCCAAAGGCCTACACAAACTTACTGAAACAAAAAGTCTTTATGCGTGAAATGCAACAAACAGTACTAGACATAAGATTGCCAAAAGCCTAGAAAATCAAAAGTTAAATGGTGAATCACATACCGCCAACTGGAAGGGAAGCTCTGCCTCGGTTTGTCATCGGGGGGAGGGGGGGGGTAATAGACATTAATTTGGGAAAAAAATTATATTTTTATTTTTATCCTCTAAACATAAAAATTAAATTAAATAAAAAAGGCAACAAAAAAGGTATCTTGTGATCATTTTTTCAGGTAGAAAATGTCATCCGTGTTTTTATAAAATAATAAAATCGTGAAATTGTATATTTTCTTACGTTTATTCTCACTTAAGTACTTTTATTTAAAAAACGGCGCCAAAAATCAAAAAATTACCTGTATAACAGTAAAAGTACAATATAACAGTTGCTACACGTAAAAATCGGAGCAAGTTTACTAGGAAAATACGTGTCTGCAGACTAGAATAAAGAAAAAATAAAAAAAAATTAGCATTGTAAAACTAATAGCTCCCTCGCTTCGCTAAGAACCTAAAGAATAAAGTATTGTACACAAGTGTTACATATTATAGAATGCAATTAATTTATAGTTAGATAAGTAATGGTTGTTAAGCGAGCGGCAAATTTATTTAGCCTATATGCACAAAAATATAATAATCTTAGACAATTCGAAAATCCTTATTGTAATCTTTGATGATAGTTAAACGAATATGGACTTATGGAATACAACTAGGTTGTTGTGCCAATAAGTCCGACATTGAAATTATTCAACGCTGTCAGAACATCACTCTCCTTACGATCGTAGCAGCCTATCGGTATAACAGAAACAACATTATCCACCGTGATATGATATTACCTCCGTCCAGGAAGAGATTACCAAACTTGTTCGCAAACATGAAATAAGGCTAGATCAACACATCAACCCAGAAGTAATTCAACTACTTAACAATTAATTCTCAAGACATTAGCCGCCTCAAACGCCAAAGACCATACGAATTAGTATACGATTCTTAAATTAAGGCCGGGGCTATTCCATTGAGAGTGAGACTCCACACACATGTTTTTTTTTCTTTTTGTAGATCAATACATCAATATTCTTGTACACCTTTGTAATGTATTTCTAAATATTTTTGATCGTTGTAATAAAAGCTTTCGGGTAGTTTTAAAAAATATAATATATATTTTTTATTTCCTATACCCCTGAAATACGAGTGGTAGCAAGTCCCTTTCAATAAATTATAATTTTATAAAAGAGATCGTTTAATATTAGATTTTGTCAACAGAATCGTTAAGAATGGAAGGATTCATAATAGAAGAGTGTAAGTACATAGGTATATGTTAAGAACATGTGTATATCAAAAATAAACGTTTGTTGAATATAATTTTTTTTACAATACTACGAAGTTATGGAGTTATAGATACGTTTTATTAATACAAAATTTAATAGGTAATATACAGCAATTTATTGGTAAAAAGCTAAAATATGCAATTGTTATACTTTATACAGCATTATCAACTTAAATGCATTCTGTAAAATGTCATGTTTATAGTTCATATTTATCAATTATTTATTTGTTTAAATTGTCACAATCCTGTCGAAGTATTAAATAATATTTTGCCATGTAATTTGGTTTCGTTATTGCAATTGATTAATTAATTAAACTCGTATATTTTTTTTTAAAGATGCTAAAAACGACCGAGCATCCGATTTCGCTAAACGATCAAATTGGGCTTGGGGTAGATCTTTAAGTAAGTAATTATTTAACGTGATATTAATATCTTAATATTATTATATACTAAAATATTATAAATATCTATTTAATATTTATGACCAGTTGATATCAATTGTAAATAGTGACAATATGATTGTAGCCTAAATAAAATGTATGATTTTATAATCTATTTATTGACATATATTAGATGTATAATATTATAAATTATAAGTTATAACCATTATTATACTGTTATTTCGTACATATAAATGGAAATTAATAGATATTATGGAGAGTCCTTCAGATTTCAAGGGTAAGTTGAGTATTAATATTATCATAACAGTCATTAGCAGGGTTGATTGCTTGGTGGGGAGAGTATTAAAAAAAGTCGTTATAGATTTAGGGTTTCTTTATTCACATGATTTGGTTTTATAAGATACGGTATAACATTCTCACAGATGAAAATTATAGAAACAATTATTGTGTTAATGATTTTAGTTGATTATTTGAAAGATTACGTTCAATATGTAAAAGGTAAGTTTTTATTTAATAAACTAGCCATTTGATGGGAGGAAGCTTCCAATATTTTCAAAAATACTATAATACTAATAATAAAGTATTTTAAAAACAATATTGTTATTAAACCACAAAAAAAATTGTACCATAATATTTGTACACAATATTAAGGAATATTTAACTCCGTATACTACGATCATTTTATTAATAATGCTCTCGATAATCTTGTTATCGGTTACTCTCTACTCTCCTAACTAACGCCCTTTCTTACTTCAAAAAGACTTTTTGCATATTTCTACCTGCGATCTGATTTCTTGGGGAATGCTAAGAACGTTATGTAATATCTACAAATCATGGCAGATAATTACATTGTGCAGACGTTAGACTATATTGATTCAATATGACAATAAAAAGATTTTATATTGAATTCATGTCCAAGTTTTATTTGACCTAGAAGCCATGAAAATATTGAACAATAATTTAATAAATATATATTTATATATACGCTATATATTTTAGATTCTGAGAAGAGCAAAGAAGCTTATAGTTTTACAAATATGTTTATTTTTTTTATTATTTTTTTTTTAATCTGTGCATTACTTTTCTACCAGAAATCCTGCTCCGATTTTTAAGTGTAGCATCTTTCTGCAAGGAAATCGATATGGGGAGGTACTTGTTTTTCCAACAAATTAAAAAGACAGTAAAAAACGGAAAAATATACGAAATTTACGTATTGATTAAAAATATTACGGCTTTCTTTTTTTCTGTGAACAATATTTATACCGGCAATTTTGCTCTGATTTACAATGATAGCACTTTATAAAAGGAAATCTAACTGGGAAGGTAGGTACTTTAGGGATGTCATTTATTGATTTTCCTAGGATTTTTTAATAAAATCAACTAAACGTCATAGTACTGAGTAGTATTTTTGGTGTAGTAAATATGTTTACTAATCAGTAATCCGGTCGAGTGCAACGTCTTTTTAGTCGTTTTGATTAGGGAATTTTTACATGGGCTGCACCATGCGCTCTGGATGCAAAACCGGTTTAAACACTATAGGAAATACAACAATTTCATGGATGTATAAGTTATTAAATAAATTAATAAATTATTATTAATAAATTTCAAAATATTATATAAATTCAATATTTTTAATTTACTACTGCAAATTACATACTTATGCATGCAGAATTTAAATATAATTAAACATTTAATAACAATATTATCCTTATTTTTATTATTAATAATAATGAACGTATACACCAATTAATTTTTTTTTTCATAATTACTTTTATAATAAATAATATATTATTATATTGTTATACTATATGGCTGTTCCACCCGGCTTCGCCTCGTTTCTTCTTAAGTTCACCTAATAGGAAATAAATATTAATGTGTAAAATACAGCCCCATAATAAATAATGTAGCTTTTTATAAGGAAAATAAGTTTTAAAATCTGTTAGTTATTTAGTTTATCCCAAGATATATCAGTTTTGCAATGGCCATTACAAACAAATATACAAAAATTAAATCTATTCTCTTTATATTATTTATTTGATAATATTGTACAGTTTAATAAACAGTTTATCTGAAAAAGTATACTGTATGTTGATAAATAATATATGTATATAAAAGAAAATGAATATGGGTATACTCTACCTCTTTCATTAACAATAAGAAAAAAATAGGTGGCGTACTTCGCACGATAGATGAGCCACTGTTATAAGTGAGAAATTGGGAAGGTAGGATATAGAAGAGAATTTAATAAATGTTTGTATGCAACAATTAATCATTGCTAATGAAAAACGATTCTGAGTTGATTTCGGTTGTACATGTTTTAAAAGGCAGTAATATTTACAATTTTCGTCAAAATTTTAAATTTAAAATTAAAATAAAATAAAATTTTAATAATTTCAATTAAATTTAATTGAATTTAAAATAAAAATACTACATAAAACTCAACTTTTTCTTTTTTTGAAATCTATAGATTGAAAAAAAAAATCTTTATTATATTATAGATTTTATCTATAATCACCCCAATGATAATATAAATGACGGAAAAGACTTGATAAAATAGGCAAATATCATCATATTGTGTTTTGACCTTTTATATGATTCTAGTTGTTTAGAAAAGTATTATTCTATGCAGAATAAAATAACAATAATAAAATATTCAGTTGAAAATTGTACCATAACATTTTGAATGGACTCCAAAGATTTAAAAACACATTTAACATACCGTGCATGAACGTATAAAATTCACGATTAAGAGAAACCGAAATTGTATGTTGAAAATGCTATATCTGTACTCCGTGATTTTCATCCTATTATCACGAAACAACATCTAATTAAAAAAAAATACATCTATATAATTTTGTAAATTTTAGGGATACCATCATTTAGTAAGTATTAATATTATGGCAATATATTAAAGTAATATTTTTAATCGTTTATTCATTATTCTCCCTACATAGACTCAAATGTTAAAGATATAAAAACTTGGTGTATTGATCGTAAGTACAAATAATTATAAATGTGATAATAATTTTACATCTAGATACCTCTATAGGTGTAATTACATCATAATAGTGTAATTTTGAAAAGTAAATATGTTAATATTAACTTTTTTGGATATTATGTCCAATATGTCAATATTTGGTACACGTATCATGTTGCTGTTATGCAAATTTCTTTTGATGTATTTAGGACAGAGATTTCCTTACCCTTGATTATTTTCGTACATTTATTATTTATATCTTCTCCTTCGCCTTTATCACAGCTATTTGGGATCGCCTAACTTAGTCCTAAACTTCCACTTGACCCGATCGCCACATTGTCCTCAATGAAACAATTTCCTTAAAAATTCCATGCTCCTTACGGTTAAACGTCTAAAACATATAATATTATTTTCTTATTTATATATTATTCCCATATTATACCCTTATTATTGACATATACGTATGTATATATTTTTATAATTCCATCCTATTTTACCTATCTTACTACTATTATTAGAAAGAAAAACACATTTTTTTTTATATAGTATTTATATATAAATATTTTTTATTTTTCGGTTATCGCATAATTAAAGATACAATTTGTTAGTATTACGTCTACCACAGGATCGTGACAATATATTATGTCATAGTCTCTTCTTCATATCAAGTCACTTATTTCCTTTAGATTTAATAATCTTCCCTTTTTACTTACTGTCCCTATGTATTTTGTAAAAAGGGTTTTGTCTTTACCGTTCTCTATTAACTTTAGATTATAGTTTCACTGTACGCAATTAGGTTTAGCATTTTGTGTATGTGTATTGTGTACCCATTTGTTTATCCGTGTTAATTTAGCAAGTTTTATTTTTTTCTTACTATATTTTTATATTTATAAAAATATAAAGATCAACGAAATCACCAGACTTTTCACTTTTATTCCTCTATAATTTTCATACTCTTGTACATATCCCTTCCCTTTAAAAATAGGAGAATGATACATCAGAGTACGATTTCTGGTAAAAAAATATGCACAACAAATCAATGGATATTTTGCGATTAAAATAGTCCGAGCGAGTGATCGCTTGAGTCTCTATGTACAGCCAAAATGAATTTGTTTTTTCCATGTTTGAGTAAAAGAGAACAAATTGTAAAAAATTCTGTTTGAGATCCGGATTTTGCATACTTAATACTTATATATTTATTAATTTTCTCTGTACTTACGTAATAAATGTAACAAATAGTGTATTAAATAATTATAATTATCTTATTATTATTTTTTTTTTTTTTTAAGACTGTATTGGTAAGGATAAAAATTGTAATAATTAATCGATAACTATAACATTCTCATTAATTTAAAAACTGTCTAAAATCATCTTGAGGCTATGCAAACCAAAAACTTTAACGTTTTCCTAATAATCAATTAGTCTATTAGCATCGTTAATCAAGTAATTTGAAAAGTCCTGCTCAAAAGATTATAATCTATATTAATATAACGAAATATCATTCCCAACTCTCAATTTGAGTGTAGCACTTGGCACTCAACAATATATCATGCTTAATATCATCCCCGTTTTAAAAAAGCACTGCTGTCCCGGAATAATTATTACATACCTTTGACCGAATGTAGCATAAAAGTTTGTTTTTCAAGAATACTTATCTGTCCCTTACTACTTTAAAATCGCACTTTTGCATATACTAATGCATGTGAACGCGAACCTTGTAGAATAATTACTGACTTTGGTTATCCAAAAACGTTACCACTATATCATATAATCACTACATTACCTACTTTATAGAAAGAAACATAACATACATATTATCAAATAAATTATCTTATAAGTTACAATGCTAACATACGCCATTTAATAGAATTCAATTAAATTTAACCAATTCAAAAACATTTAACAAAATATGTTTTATTTATGAAATAATTATAATAAAATATTCATTAAATCTTTTATAAACAAAATACTTATACTAACAAAACATATAAAAATATTAGTTAATCATAACTATATATTTTAGCAACCTTCTTTTCCCTCTCTGAACAATGTCATTACATTATCTTTACCTTTATCCTTATTATCCCATTTATTATCTTTTGGTAACTTATTACAAAAATAATCTTTATCTATATTTCTTGGATATCTTAATTGATTTTTATGAACTATACTAATTAATACTCTATTTTTACCATTTAAATTAATTACAAACAAATTTTTGAAATACCGTTTCACTATTTTTGTTGGTAACCATTTAAAATAATCTTTATAATGATTTTTATACAACACTTTCTCATTTTTTATAAAATATATTTTATTGTTATCATCCTTATAATATTCATTATTTTTTAGATTAAATCTTAATTTGCTTTCATTATTTATTGTAATGTTACTTTTTGGATTTATTTATGACATAATAGACCTTAACTTATATAAGAACATAATATGGTAAGCTGGAGACTGAGCTGTGACTGTTGAAGATGTAGTATTATATACTGATATGAACCTTACTACTTTATCCATAATAGACAATTTTGTTAATTCTCTAAGATATACTTTTAAAAATACTTTTTAACAATTTGAACCGCTCTCTCAGCCAAGTCGTTGGACTAAATATGAAATGGAGATGTTTTTGTTATTTTAATATTACTTTGATTTCCATAGCTGTTAAATAACTATGAGCTTAATGGAGGACCATTGTCTAATACTATCTCTTCAGGTAACCCAAAATATGCAAAAACTTCTTGTAATACCCTAATTAACGATTCATAATTTGTTTTTGTTAATAGTTTCACTATCATATATTTACTTTACACATCAATTATAACCAAAAACATACTTTAAAACTGTTATCAGTTCCGTAAACGTTTTTTTTACTGGATCCTCCGGAAATATTAATTTTTTTCGAATATCGAATACGTCTTTTGACCAATGAATGTCAATAAAAACGCAATATATTTATTTGGTTTAATCTCGTTTGAAACTAAATACTTTTCTAACTATTCTACGTATTCACAAAAATCATCAACGGGCATTTACGACTCTACTTGCCCTAACATTGTCACGTTAACTATAACTAATAATCAATAATTTTAACTTATTCACTATTCACACGTGATATTTATTATTTTTGTCGCCATTGCATACATAATAATTACTGATTTTATTTTATAACTTATCAATATTTTAGGTCATACAAAAACATTATTACTTTATTATATAATCAATAAATTGTAGTTCAATATTGAGAATAAATAAAATAAAATCAATAAATTACCTCTCCAATGTACTAATTAGACAATAATTGATCTGAGGGCTATATAAGTCTGGGACGTATAATCTTGAAATGTATTTCTTCGTATATATTTCTTCGGAATCTAAAAACTAAAAACCATATTTGTCTAGAAAGTATTTCAAAAATATAATAACCATATTTGTGCGGACTGTATATCGCTGACCATATCACCCAGAATCTAAAAAAAAAACCGTATTTGTCTGGAATGTAATTTAATTTCATACAGTTATTATTTTTTTGGATTCAAGAATTATATTTTCCGAAAAAATACAGTTTCTAGTTTTCAGATTCCGGAGAACTAATTTGCGGGATTTGTGCGTCCCGAGTATTTATTTCCCGAAATAATACATTAATACGGTACACAATTGATTCGACCTCAATTCCTGATGAACATTTTTGAAAAATTATTTTCAATTTTAAAAAATAATATTTTTTTTTTTATTTAATCAGACAATCTAGTGCAACAAGGACTAATCAAAAGTAAGCAAAAATAAGTAGGTGTAATATGTAAGTGTCGGGACAGTTAGTTTTTGTATTTATTGACAAAAATGCACGTCCGTAGTCATTTTTAATAAAATTGTTAACAAATATAAATTAACTTAACAATATGTTGAATGCGCTAAGTACATAAATGACATATAAATAATAAATGCATTATTAGTGGGAAAGAAAGTGACAAAAGAAATAACGAAATGCAGAAGAAAAATTTTAAATGAAAATTATACAGAAAAATTGCATGAAGTTATTGTGTCCCTAGGAATTAAAGTTATTTGGAATGACAAATATATAAATAATTATAGTTACAGGTGTTATTTAAGGAGTTTTTAAAGAAACCGATTTAAGTACATACAGTGTGTCCGCTGTACAGAGATCTATCAAATATTCTTTAAATGAAGTCTTCATTTAATTTAAGATGTAGGAAATGTTCAAAAAAGAGTGGATGTAAGTATAGTCATAGCACTAATTAGGAAGTTTAAGAATAAAAGCAGTGTAGGTTAAACATTTGTTTTGCATACTTTTAAGCCTTTACAGGAAAGGATGACAGATAGAAAAGTCATATTTTAATAGAGCCCGGACCATGAAAGTACATGCGAATTGGAGACAGTTGGATGAGGAAAAATTTTATCTATAGAGAACCTACCCAATGAATATTAAATAAAAACTCTCAAAATTACTATGTCTATAAATAGCTCAAAATTCATGTCATGGCCTATTATTTTTTGGCTATATCCAACACTCAGTGCGTTATTGAAAAATACGCAGTTAACTATTTTTCCCATGGTAGATATGATTTTTGGAAATAATTCCAAGGCTATGGTTGAGTATTTTTAAAACCTTTGGTTCCTCTTGATAAATATCACCCTGCAGCTTTAAATATCTCAGTGTTCTTTAATTTGCCAACTTCAAATTTCAAACGAATTCATAAGTTCTTTGACTTCCGTAGGGTGGATTACAATCATACCTGTATATTTATTGGATCGCAAGATTGGTTGTCAACCTTCTCAGATTTGGATCTTTAGTCAGCGGTCAATTATTTTTATGATGCACTCATAAACTCACTCACTTTAACTCATTTTATGATTCCTCCATACTTCAGTTTTTACCAGAGTATGTTTTTTATGTGTCAACTTTTCCTCCTTTGTTTACTGATAAACTCAAAAATTTAATATATTTGAAAAAAGAAGCTAGTGGTATTTTTAAAACCTCATCAAGAATTATTGCCTTTTTTCCCAATAGAGAACACAGTGTATTTTCGAAACCAAGCAATGCTATTGCAAATTTATAGGGTATGTTGAACTTTCGCTCACCAAGTCACTACGTAATTTCTAGAAATTTAATAAGAATGGTCGTAATATTTCTATTCCTAAAATCTTATCATTTAACTGTGAAACGTCAATAAATATCGTAATAGTAATCAATTAATTATCTTCGGTTTTTTCCTGTAATCCTATTTTGAAATGCTCTTTTTTTGAATTTACCTAATAATATTTTTTTTAATGTAAATTACGTTCTTATAAAACTATTACACCTCTTTTTTCAAAAGTCAATAGTTCCTTACGGTATACCAGGTTATTTCTTATTTCAGTTACATTTCGTTACTTCTTATCTTTTAACGCTTGCAATGAACGCATTAGACAAAGGAATTTGTTCATTAATATTAAAACTAAATTCAATAATGCCAATCCCCCAAGTTTAATGATTTAGGTTTTATTTCTAACTATAGATCAATCTAAATTTAATCACATATCTCGAAATTATTTGAATCCTTAATTTTTGATGGTTTCAGGCTCTCAGTTAATACACTTATGGGGAACAACATGACTTTAAGAAATATTGTTCTACTGTAACTTATAACTTGGTATTTACTTAATATATTTGCCAAGTTTTTAAGCAGAGTTCGCAGATTGAGGTTATGTACTTATACTTCGCAAATGCATTTGACTCGGTCAATCATCCAATGGTTATCTAGATATTAGTGGGATCGACGAACCGCTTCTCTCATGATTTATAACTTATCTAACCAATCGGTTTCAGTCATATTTTCGGTCCTATCATGGTATTTTTAGTAAACTGGTAAAGTAGATTCCCCAACTTTCTCTAATTGTTTTCAAAATACGTTAATACGCCACCTGTTCCAAATTACCTTCTTACACTCCTATTAGTACTACCAATTATTTTTAAAAGATGAGCTTATTAGACGTTTATTAGCTATTGGTAATATGGACCCTTCTTTTATTGTTTAATATACACTTTTCATAAATATTAAATTATTTATTACTCCTTAGTATGTTATTCGTTCTACATATTCCTGTATTTTTTTTGTATTTATATCTGAATTTGTTTAAGGTTATATCCTATATAGCTCATATAAATTAATAAATAAAAAAACCTCGTGTTTAATTTTCAGCCATTTCTTTTTGGTCAAATAATTTTATCCACCTAATACCTACCAAATAAAAATAAAAATTTATTATTTTCAATTTTGTTTTTTTAGTTATCATTCGGTTAATGATAATTGTACAAGCTGAAATTTTCATAGAATACTTATAGTGGCATTTTTTAGATATGGTAAAATGTTTAAAATATTTTGGTAATTTATGAGCTATTTATACTTTATAGACATTTAAATTTGTTGAGTTTATTTAGTTTTTATTTGGTAGGTATAATGTTTATAAAACTTTTTAATAAAAGAGATATAAATAATACTTAATTGTCGAAAAGAAAAAATGTTGAGCATAATGCAATAGTTTTTTTTTTATAATCGTTTTAAGATCAAATTTTGAAGAAAATCAAAAAATGTATGGTATTTCAAAACATGTGAACTTCACTCACGATCGACTTTTATTTGCAATGATATATCGTTATGCACACAAATATAAATTGAATAGCATTATATATCCTACTTTTCTAACTTCCAACCTACAATCCCCACAGTAGGTCACCCATCCGCAATATTAACGATTTTTTTTTTTTTTAGTAATAACTCTACTTCTGCTATTTACTTTTCTTCTTTACTAGTTAGAAAATTTGACTATTTATAATTATTAAAATTGTTATTTTAAAAGGGGATCAAGATAATCACACCATTTCTCTGGAAATAAAAGGTAAGGTTCATAAATACGATATACCTATAACAATGTTTTCAATTTTACAAACATTTGTTTTATATGGTTGTATACAGTTAATTCTCAATACATATTTCTTCAACTCAATATTTTTGATGATTATTTTTTTATTCAACACTTTTGCAAAAAAATAACATTAGATATCTTAGATCGTAAAAAGTTAATTTTAAAAATATTGATAGTAATAATAATAAATTTCACCAAATAACAACAACAAGCAACAAAGATCAAACTCATAAAACAAAATTATTAGTCTATTCACTATAGCCAATGGCTGTACTGTGGGTAGGAAAATGTTAATATTTAACAAAAAAAATGATTATTTGTGATAAAGCACTGTCAACCACCATTAGGTTACTTGAAATTATCTGATTTGGTTTAGGTACTTACAATTGATTACACTAATAAAAATAAATTATGAATACTCAAGTAAATTCTACTTAAGAGTTTTCGAACAAACCCAATAACTGTAGATTTGTAAACCGGCATCAATAAACGTTAACTAATAAATTATAATACCGCCTTCGATAATGTTGCCTACTGCAACAGTTTTTAATTCTATTTCCATCGGAAAGTATTTTATAATTATTTTGTGGCCATTATGTTATAATATTTTATTTTCGTGGTTTTATACACTTTTACTTTTTTTGATATGTTTAGAAGATAAAGCTCATTTATTGTATGGTAAGTTTATTAATAAAAATAAAAATCAGCATACAAACCTTAATGATTAAGAAAACAATTAAAATGAATAACATGATTTAAAATTAAAATCTCAGAAGAGTCAGTTTAGTAACAAATCGAGCAGCTGTTCACTAATCAGCCAATCTATCAGAAATCTACGACCAAGAGTCCATTGGACGACATTACATAGCCAATGGCTATCTTGAAAATCGACGGCTTCTTCTAAATCATTTATACAAAATATTCAGTGTAAAACCATTAAGTAGATAAACAAACTAATACAGTTTTCAATTGAAATTTATCAACAAATGTTTAATTAAGACCACTCAGAATCATTTTTCTTTCACAATGATTTATCATTACATTCGTTATTTAATATAAATCACTCTATTTATTCGAACTTTTCAAGTTCCCATATATTTGAACAGAAGATTCAATATTTAAAGGTATTATTATTATTGTATTTTATGTTAAAAATTCAAGTTTTCTAAAAATATCTACCGCTTCAAAGTCTTCACAATCAATACCTATGTAGTAAACAAATATACAATTAAAGAATCTTTTATCTAAATCTAAATATGATATTCCTAAATTCTATATAATTATCCCACTTTGGGATCATTTGTACATTGGTGTTGATTCACTATACTTTTGTTTTTCCTAAAACAATCAAGCAAGTCTATATTCTGGTTTAATTTTTTAGGGTGTGCAAAAACATTAATTGATGAATTAAAAAAAAAAAAAAAAAAATGTATGTATAATATATTTGTAAACGAAATGATCATATTATAAATTGTATTAATTAAGATTACATTTTCGGTGATAACTGGTAACTAGGGCTGTGAATTTATAGGAAAGTGCTTTTTTATTTTTTTTTTTTTTTTGGTGGTTGATAAACGTAGCTTTGTAAGTACATAATTTGAATTGTGTAAAACAATAATCCATTTATGGAACTTTTATTTTTCATTGTTTTGTATTTTTCGACGCTTTTAATTTTTTTGGCCATTTTTTTTTTTTTGCTTTTTAAGGTCATATTTTGTTCATTTTCCTGTATTTTTAACTAAATTCCGTCAATAATAATATTTAAAAACTTTTATTTTACACAGGCTGTATATACGTCAAATTTATATTTTATACAAGCTGTGTACGGGGTAGGTAAAGATAAAAATTTGATAAAATAAGGCAATTGCTAGATAAGTTATTTGTGGCATATCAGTATATTGGTCATGAATTTTCAGTCACGAATTAGTCAAAATTAAATTCAATCAACATTATTATAATTATTTTTTTTAAGTAAATAAATTTGTATGCATATAATATTTGCATTCTAATATCAATATAAATATATTAAAATTAAATTAAAAACCATTTTATGTGTATTTTAAACTACAATTGTTGTCATTTTAATGCATTTTTTTTATTACATTTTTGTACATTTTAAATGCATTTTTTAAGGTTTTTAGTGCATTTAATTCACAGCCCTAGTAATAACTAATAATATTATGTGCATGGAAATAGATATTTTCGATTTAAATTTAAATTTCGCTTATCGATATTAGTTTTACTGATTTAATTATAAATTTCGATGTTTTTTAAAAAAATTTTAACAATTTTTATCAATATTCGAAATCGATTTCAAGACCTGCATAAATTAATTTTTAAAAATGACCATTATAAAAAATTCTAATTTAGTTTTAAATTTTGTATACAGCCTATAGTAAGTAATTCTACGAAAAATTATATCAATTTACAAATGAATCTTAAGAAAATATTAATTAATGTCTCACTAAAAAAAAATGTTTTAATTATTGATTTTTTTTTAAATCTAGAAAATGAATGTTTTGATGCGAACATATTGTGCCCTATTTATTGTATATAAATACAAATAAGTAACAACCAATTGCATTTTAATTATATGTAAATTAATTAATTTGTACACATGGATCTAAATTTAATTAATAGTAAATACTTAATATCGACTTATGTCATACAATTTTTTGAAATTCAAATTTATTAATTTTGAACTGATATAAATAGTTGAATTTCTAGATGATTGTTTTAGTTAAAGCACCCGGTGCCAATGTCATTTTCCCCACACAAATACACTCTACGAGAATAATGACACTGTTCAGTACAATAAACTAAATTTATTTATTTTTTTTTAATTTTTAGAGGAAAACATTTTACAGACCGCACTGAACTCCATTTTTAATAGGTATTTTATTCTCAACATATTTTATAATGAGTTAAAAAAAAAAAATTTAAACTTTTTATTAACAATTTTGTTTTTTTCATTATTTGAAATCAGAATTAAAAAATCGAAGTTTAATGCGGCCCCTAGAATGTTGTTATTTTCATTAAAAAAAATATTTATGAAAATATTAAATTGACGAGTTTTAAAAAAAAATTCGTTTTCAAAATTTCAGAAAATTTAAAAAACTGGCACCGGGTACCTTAATATTTTACATAGTTTGATTAAATGATTTAAAAATGTATACAACTAATAAAAAATGACTATAAATTATTGATTAATTTTATTTAATGAATATTATCGATTATCATTAAATAATATTGAAACGCTCATTTTTTTCTGTATTGTATTAAAATTAAAATTGTATATAAATTCAGATTTTTTTTATTAATTAATTATATACTAACAAATATGATTGCATAATACCATATTAAAGCCTTTATTTGCATTTTTCCCCCTTTTATCTAAAGAAGAAAAAAACAAATGCATTTTGGATGTACCTAGAGACCAAGCCATCGCTTGCTCGGATTGTTTAACCGCAAAATACTGTAGTAATTTAACAAAAGGAAATAAGAGGGAAAATAATATGATGCTATAAATAATATGATATAAGATAAACGTGGTGTTTTACTTTGATACCTATATTAAATCTGGTATTTGAATCACTACCTTCATCCTACTGTTCACAGGGCTTCGGAGTCTTGAGTCCAAAAATAATGACGATACCAAAAAATATAAAGTATAATTGTTTTACCTGCCAATAGTGTTAAAATACTAGAGTTATCAATTGTAGGTATACTCACTTGGTGCTAGAATTGTAAGAGGGCAGTGATAACTCAATCAAAATAATCTAAATTAATTTTAATACTTAGAAACTGCGTGCACTCAAATAATAAATGCTATTGCATACTTTTTTTATGAAAATATTTATACTTCATATATGGCTTTTTTACAAACTGAACTTGTTCATAAGAACTACCATAACTACTGGATGAATTTAAAAGAACAAAATACATAAAATGGACCTTGTATATTTGAGAATAAGATAACCATTGTGAATATGTACTGGTTTCCAGATATTGGTTAAAAGTTCATGTTTTCATTTTTCATCAATAATAGTGTACATAGAAGATTAACAAAGTTAACAATATCTAGCCAATTAAAACTATCATTACAAAAATTACTAGAATTTAAATTAAATAACATTGATGAAGATAGTGCCGATGGTAATTCTGTAACTGGTTGTTCTTAAAAGAACTATTTAAAATATTACTTGATTTATCATTTGGTTCACCATTATCATTGTAACTCTTAAAGGTTTGATTTTGTATTTCATATTGTTTAGAATTATTATTACTTTTTTTTTTTATATTAATAATAGTAAACATTATTAAACTACTCACTAGGACACTAGGTATCCTCATAAATTAAATTAAAATAGTAGTTGATAGTAGATGTTAAAACAAAAACTAAAATATTTTGAGAACTTTTCTAAAAACAACAAAAACAAAAAATATAATCAATCACTGATAAGAAAAATATCAAATACGGTTAAGAATTCAGCTATTGATTGTTAAAATATAAAACTAACTACCTTTTGCAGAATAGTGTATGGCTTTCGTGTGCCTTGTGATTTTTCTTTGAGTTAACTTATATGTATTATAATACATACATCAATCTATCCTAATTAATCCTACAATAATAATTGCCTTTTACACCCTAATTATTATTGTTCAAATAGAAACAATCATCATAATATGTTAAAAAATATAACTAGAAAATTAACTATACATTTTAATTAATAATAATATGATTTGGTAATAATAACAAATAAATAAATAATATATTTTTATACAAGACCCAATTATATTATTAATATTAGTGTGCCGGTGAGAAATTATAACAACTTAATCGGTGATATTTATACAATGTCACCAATGAATATTTATATAGAAATTATTAGTTGAGCGACATGTAAGTAGGTTATAACCACTGTCGTATTCGACACCATCATTTTGATCGTCGATGGCGGCTTCACTGTCTTCGTTGTCCTGGTCTTCATCATCGCCGTCTTCCGTCCGCCGACGTGCACTGGTTCCCCAAATGTCGTTTTCGTCGTTGTCTGTGTTGGTCTCTCGGAAACGAATTTTCGTCGGCCATCTATCGAAATCGTTGTCATGTCGTGTGCTCCTATCAGTTGCCGAAAGACGTTCCATCGAGTCACCATCATCGTCCTTGTAGGCTTGTCCTTTTTGTTGCCCGAGATCATGGTCAGGGTCGACAGCACCAGAAACCGGCATGGCCTCGCCCGCAGTGTTCAGCCGAGTCGGAACGAACTGTTGCTTTTCACAGTCATCCGGCCTCTGGTCGTGTTGATCGTCTATTTGATAAATCGACAACAGCGGCAATGACTGCAACGGCGGCGGCTGGGGCAATGACTGCAACGGCGGCGGCTGGGGCAATGAATGCAACGGCGGCGGCTGGGGCAATGACTGCAACGGCGGCGGCTGGGGCAATGACTGCAACGGCGGTGACTGTGACAATGACGACAACGGCGGTGACTGCGGCAATAATGGCGACGGTGGTGATGGCGAAGACAACAGCGGTGGTGGTGACAACGACGGAGGTGGTGGCGGAAGTGACAACGACGGAGGTGGTAGCGGAAGCGACAACGACGGAGGTGGTAGTGAAAGTGATAACGACGGAGGTGGTGGCGAAAGCGATAACGATAGCGGTGGTGGTATCGGTGGTAAAGACAACGCCGGTTGGAACGTCGACGGTCCGTTGGTTGTCGACGGTTTTCGATGGTCGTTTTTAAATTGCGGCCGCTGGTCATCGGTCGCAGACTGTTGCGTCCAGTACATGGTGGTCTCATCCATGATGAATCGGTGACCACTCATCGAATGGAAGTTCTTTACCGCTTTCACTGATGAGGTAGTGCCTTTAAGAGAAAACAAAACAAAAACATTATGTAGGTATATAGTAAAAACATATACGGGAATCGTTATAGGGTAGAATTGCAAGACACACTGGATATTTGAGAGGAGAAACTAGACCAGTCTTTCTCAAAGTGGGCGATAGCGCCCCCTTAAGCTTGTTGGTAGCCTTCAAAGGGACGGTATAAGACCCAAAGATATTTTGAGTGCGTTGAAGTGATCTAGGTAGTGCTAGCTGACTTAAAGGTCGAACAATGCCGTCCTCTTAATATTTCAAGGGTGGTCGCATTGATCTTCACCGTACTGGATTCTCCTTCCACCAAACGCTCAAGATCCAGTCCAGTAGTTATCGTTCGACGAGCTAACTCGGTAGAACTCTCGTTCGTCATATTGATTTTTTAACCATGTACATTGCTACCTTAATGTAATTTCAAGTGACAAAGAATAAATCTAATGTACAATATTTTCTATCGAATACGACAATGCTTTACTTTCTTTTATTGCTGACATAATAATCCTGACAGACGACTCGTGTGAGCATTGTTAACAAGCGGTTTGACTAGAAATCTTCTCTTCAGTTTTATTGAAGAATACCAATTTTCATGAACTAAAATTTGACTTACACGTTATGATCGTAGTTCATGAAATGAACATCCATTTCATGAAAAATACGATTACACTAAGTGGATACGACATATAGATACAAAAAAAGAAACTATATTTAATATGCTGGAAAAGTTTTGTAATGAAAACAAAATTATTTAAAAAAATTGTATGACGTTCCAGCTATGACAAGGCGTCACAAAAACTTTATAGCATACTTAAAAAATAAAGTTCTCGATTCGTACTTCCTGTGTATTGCATCATCAACATTTAATTGCCAGATATCTGAGTGAAATCAGAGAAGTTAATAAAATCAGAAGCAACTCACTAAATGACAGATTATTTAATTAGCTATACATTTCTAATAATAAAAATTTAAACCTATTTCTGCTTTACACAAAAGTGTGCTGACTGTCAAAAGGAAATTTTTTGACGTAATTTTACAATCTGTTTAACTTTATAATAGAATTTCTGGAAAACAAAGATACAGGATTACGCGAAAACCGAATCACATCAAAGAAAATAATACTGTATATTTGACAGATCTATAAAAATTATTTATTGATGTCAACCTCTAGATTTAAGGCGATGACTTAAACACGATTAAAACAAAACATATTGTTTCTGCATTCGTAGCCAAATTGCTATTATACAAGAAAAATATTGGCAGATGTGAATTTAATAACTTTCCTAATTTAATAGCAGCATCCTTTAACAAAGCTCTCTTGTTTATTGATAACATTTGGAGAACCTCCATAATGATTTTAAAAAACGAAACAAGGACATTTTAAATATTAACATACTATACTGGATATTGGATTGTTTTTAAAATGTAAACACAGCAAAATCGCATTAAAAGAACTGAGTTGACAACTAACAAGTAAATTGAAATCAAATTCAAGAATAGCTATCAAGAATTTCGGCTGCAAAATTCAATCTCACAACTATACCCTGGATTATGGTTGACTGTTCAACGATTTTTAATAGCATTCCCATCATCGTATTTGTCTGAATATGGTTTTAGTGTTGTAGGATTAATTGTTCAAAAATCTCTAAAAGCATTCTCTATTAAATATACTAAAACGAAAATTCGGCTGCTTGTTACCAACGTGGCGACTTATGCCTTTTTTTAAAATTAAATTCGAGCCAGATATTAATAAACTTACTAAAGTTCATCTGAGTCATCCTTCACACTAGATAAGTTTTCAATTTTAAATTCTTGTTTTAATTTTAATAAAAATATTTTCAAATATTATAATGAAAATAAATACCTATGTATATTAATATTATATTTTATACTTTAAACATTTGTCTCGATAAAAACCTCATTTAAAATATTAGTATAAACTCTTAGGATATGAAACTACTGTTTTTAAGTGGACAACAGATGGTAGGTTTAAATGATTTTGGAGAGCTCTAGAAAATTGTTCACTCTCAAAGTGAATGGTGAACTATAGATGAATGAAAGCACTTGATTAGAATGCTACATACATTTTCCTAAATCGACCACATAAATTAATTTTAAAAAAATGATATTTTAGTGGGCCAAATAGAACTTGAAACAATTGAATTATTACAAAATTCGAAAATATTAGTTCATGACCAAAAAAAAAAAAACAAAATACTTATAAAAATAACATTTTTTGTAAATTCAATAGACTTTGTTATATACCAACCAATGTGTCATTTATGCAAATTTATGTGACTTATAATTATATCATCTTAACTTACGTCGATTGGATAATTGTCTTTTGCGATCAGCTGCTATCGATGACTTGACAAAATGTTGATACTTCGGACGTTGAACATGAGACCAATCGCTGTTGCTAGGTGTGTAGCAACAATACAATACTCCAGGATCAATTGGATGGGCCTCTATATTGTACAGATAATTAATAATAGTATATATATACGGGTTATGTGTCAGATTTTTAAAATGTAATTTAGGTACCTAATATCAGAAAATATTTAATTAAAAATCATATTTAAAAAACTATTTTCACATAAACATTGCTCTAGAAACAGTTTTCCTTAAAAATAAATATTATTATAATATTTTACGCATCAGTCTTAGATGCATATGATAGGTAAAAATGAGATTTATATTAAATATAACAATATTATTTTAAATGAACAATCTTATACAGGAATATAAGGACTATGGAAATTATTAACATGTAAAAAATTATATTCTAATGATGATATTAAGAATTCTGGAAAAATATTAATTGAAACACAATCATTATTATCAGAACAATGATAAAAACACAAAAATAGTAAAATCAAATAAAGAAGAAATATACACAAAACTGATTACTCCTATTTGGAAAAAATCAGTGAAAATAAAAAATTACTAACTGTACGTGAAGGATCTGATTTAATAAATTATACAGAAAACCCAATACAACATAAATAAATTGATAACTTAAACGAATTGTTAAAAAGATTATATTTTATTAATAATAATTTTCACAAAAGAAGAATTAAGTATAATAAATATTATAATTAAATAAATCGAAAAATTAGTTGATACAACTTACGGTATAGAATATCTAATTTCTTTTATTGCAAGTTTACCAAAGAAAGTGATTAGTGGATCTAAACTTGTTAATAATTTCTTGAATAGTAAATTTATGCCTGAAATTGATTGGCCTGGTTATAACTACAAAATCTAAGAAACCAATAAATAAACTAGATGAGGCTGCAATGGAGCATGATTTTTACCATGAAAAACATAAAGATACTAAATTTAAACATAATGCTAATTTAATTTTAGAAAATATTGCAAAAAATATACATGAAAATCCAGATACATTTTTAGGTGAAAAAACAGCAGCTTTTATAACCACTAATATAATAAAAGTAAAAAGAAAATTAGGAATGTGTCTTGTTTAAAAATTAAAAATTAAAATATTTTATATAATAAATGAATCTTAATTTAAACGATGCACAGGTGACAAAAATTAAATCTGCACATAATAAAAAAAATAGGTATAATAATTCAACTTGCAAACAATCAAATTGGAACAAGAAAACAAAAGTTTAACTTAACCGAAACACAAATAAATAAATAAAATAAATCAAAGAAATAAAATAGAGGATTAGGTTAGAATTGAAATTTGAACAAATTAAACAAGGTAGATTTCTTCCACTTTTTTTTGCTGGAATAGGAGCTGCAAGTGCATTAGCAGGAGGGGGGAAATAAGTTAGTGAGATTGCAAATACTATTATAGATGGAAAACATAAGAGAGCAGCAAAAAAAGAACAACAAAGAAATAATAAAAAGAAGAAAAATTATCATAGTACTCCAGTTTAAAAAAAAAGAAAATCAGTCCATTAACTAATTTTGATATCATAAAAATTGGTAAAAAATTTAAAATGTTCAAGGGTAATTTATGAGAGATGAATAGACAGTAGAAAACCTACAGAAACTTTAACAAATGAATATGAAATGTTAAATTTAAATAATTTTGATCAAGAAGGATCTTTGGGTTGCATGGATAAAACATGACAACTTAAAAATGTATTTTGATTCTTACGGTAATGCACCAAAAGAATTAGTTAAAGATTTAGGATAAAATAATCTTAAAATTACATCAAGACAATTTCAAAACTACAAAGATCCACCTATTTGCGGATATTAGTGTTTAGATTTTATTAAAAATTATAAAAAATATATCAAAATTAGTAGGTATCATTTTTAATCAAGTTTCTGATTAAAAAATGTATTCTTAGGTTATAATAATTTCTAGATATTGTTTAGAAGTATCAACAGACCATTCCTCACAAATTTTATTAATCTGCTTATCTAGTACAGTTAAGTGGGCATTAATATTTGTTATTTTTAATAAATAAAGCTTTTGATATCTTTCTGGTACTATCTTTCTAGCAATATTTTCATAGATAAAAACACCTAAAATTTCAAAAGTAGAATTAATATAAAGTTTTGGATTTTTAAAATAAAATAAAATAATTGTTTTGTAAAATCAAAAGATAAGTTTTAATCCCAAGGATGAAAATCTACATACTTTTCTTTATTATTGAAAAAACTATTCATATTTCTTATTATATTAAAAAAGAATGTTTTTTTTTACTTATCTATAATAAATGGAGAACATGTTTATATTATTGATATTTGATATTATTGAGAAAAGGCCAACTAGAGTAATTAATCTTAGTAGAATATATTATGAAGACAGAATTTCCCAACACAAAGTATTCGCAAAATTAGACAATGAAGTGACTGCAAAAACAAGAGAAAGAAATGTTGTTATAAAAAAGAAAAAAAGCTTTTAAAAATAGTATGATAACATATTTTTTTTAAAAATACACAACAATTTAGTGATATTATTAAATTTTTAACAGAAAACAGTTCATGGAAAAATTTTACAATATTTAAATATGTTTTATAATTTAAAAGTAGAAACTGTAGTCAAATATGAATGTATAAAAGTTATAAAAAAAATAAATAAAAATAATAACATATTTTAGAACAAAATATAGAACCATCTTACATTCTACTGATATTGTTAATTTGTATGATGATGTAAAGGAAACAATTCCTAGATGAGAAGATGCATTTATAGCTAAGGGATCTAGATGGAAATAAAATAAAATTCTAGTTATGAATATAAATATAAATAAATATATTCCTCTTAGAGGAGGTTCATTCATTTATCTACCAGATTGAATAAAAAAACAAAAAAGCTATTATTAACATTCAAAATGAAGACAACAAATATTTTCTTTGGGCAATCTTTATTTATTGCTTTACATCCTATGGAACATCCAGAAAGAATTACTAAAAATAAAACTACTCAATTTACAAAATGGATGAATGATTTGGAAAAAAAGCTGAAAGGAATTGAATTCCCTGTTAAATTTACTGATATTAAAAAGTTTCAAAAAAGAACAAATAGGTCTATTAACATGTATACTTATGAAGTTAACTTTATAGTACCTCTAAAACATTTACACTTAAAAGAGAAAAACATATTAACTTATTTTATCTTAAAACTTAAGATGATGAAATTACTGATCATTATTGTTGGATAAAAATGTATCCAGATTGCTAGATTCATAACAAAAAATAAGGGTAAACTATATTACTGTAATATGTGTTTGTCTCACTGTTATAGTGAGAAAGTCTAAAAACCCATAAATAATATTGTAGAAATAATAGATGTGCTAGAGTAATAATGCCAAAAGAAACATATAATATGATTCCTATTGTTCAATTTGAAAAAACATATAAAAAGGATAGAATCCCTTTTTCTATTTATGTAGATTTTGAAAGTATGTTCTCTAAAATTTGTATTCAACCTGATGTTTTTTTTCGTACTATTAAATATCAAAAAAATTCACCTATTCTATTAGTTATTGTTATATTATTAAAAATATTAATAGGAATGAAAAAAGTGATGTAGTTGAATATTTTGGTGAAGATGCTGTAAAAAATGTTTGTAAGAAAATAATAAAAGAAGGTTTAAACATAGCAAAAAAATATTATTTAGATGTAGAGAAACCTATGATAGTAACTAAAAAACAAGAAAATGAATATCAGAAACAAAAATACTGTCATATATGTAAAAAATCTTTAAGTGATATGTCACAATGTAGTGTTAGGCATTTATCTAAGGCAAATAATAAATACACTGGAAAAAAATATAATAAAAATTTTATAAGTAAATATATATTAAATTTGGATACAAATAATCTTTATGGAGACCCAATGGTTAAATATTTACCTTATAAAAGACATAAATGAGGAAATCCTAACAGTTATAATCCAGAGAAAATTTTAAAAATGACACATAATCTGGATATAGGTTATGATTTTGAAGTAGATTTAAATTAATCTAAAGAACTTTATGATCTTCATTCAGATTTTCCCTTACCGCCAGAGAATGTTTATAATGAAAAATTACCTAAGTTAACAACAACTCTATATGATAAGAAAAAATATTTTCTCCATTATATTAATACAATTTAATCAATATCCTTGGTTGAAATCATATATTGATTTTAAAATACAGTTTGGAAAAAATTCAAAAAATGATTTTGAAAAAGAATATTATAAGTTAATGAATAACAGTGTATTAGGTAGAACTATGATGAATACAAGAAAACATAAAGATATAAAATTAATTACTGAAGAGAAGAAATTTAAAAAATAGGTTGCTAAACCAAATTTTGCTAGAAAATTTTTTTCAGAAACCCTGGTAGCTGAACATATGAAAAAGATTTTAATTTAATTAAATTAGATCAAAAAATTTATTTAGGAATGCCTATTTTAGATTTATCTTAAATTCAAATGTATAATTTTTACTATAATATGTTTAAAAAAATACATGGAAAAAATATTAGATTATTATATACAGACACAGACTCTTTAATAGTAGAAATTACTACTAACTAATGACTTTAATACAGATGTAAAAAACAATGAACAACTTCTAATTGAATTTGATTTTTTAGATTATTCTCAGAATAATAAATATGGAATACCCTTAATAAATAAAAAAGTTCTTTGTAAATTCAAAGATGAACGTAAAGGCAAAATAATGACTGAATTTATTGGATTAAAATCTAAATTATATTCATTTAAAATATATGAAAATGAAAATAAAAGAGTGAAAGGTGTAAAAGAGTGCATAATTAAAATTAATAATTTAATAAAAACAAATAATAAAAAATAATGATATCTGTTGAGTGTGTAATATATTATATTTATACAATAATAATATTTATTTTTAAAGATAATTATTGCAATGTTTATAATGTTTTAATAGTTTTTTAAATATTATTTAATTAAAGTATGTGAACAAAGAACAGAAAAGAAAAGAATGTGAATGGAAATCAAGGAATAATAATCTAACTATAATTTCTGTTAAATATTTTCTGATGGTACATAAATTACATTTTAAAAATCTGGACCAGAATATATCTATACTACTATTAACGAGAAAACAAATTCACAGTATAAAATCATATTTGTTAGATGCCAAATTATTATTGTGATTATTATAAATTTAAACTCGTAAATATGTTTTATTGTTTAACCCTCATTATTAAGAAAAATTTTTTTGAAATTTTAAGAAAAAAGTAGCTTTCAAATTTACATTTCTATTGTTTTTTGTCATGCCTATTTCTATAGGTGAAATGACTACTTACTTATGATTTTCAAATGATAACTTGTATTAAAAATTATACAAATAGATATAATATTTATATTTTCGTTAGTTTGATGATATATTACACTTTTAAGTTTGTGTAGGGGGAGAGTAGTGAAACATAATTTCTGTAAGGCGATTTAATAATGCTACTCTCTACTAATCCGAACTTAAAAGTGAAATAGCAAATAAGTTGAAAAAAGTCAACACTTTTTAAAATTAGTGTTCAACAATGAAAAGATTCATTCATTCATTTTACCATTCATTTTTGTCAGCAATAAGTATTTTAAATTTAATTATTTTGTTTGTAATTAACCACTAACAAAAATAGAATATAATATCTCACAGTGGTGGACTAGGTGAGTCTGCTGATTGGCCCACATCTGTGTTATAATTTGGTGATGGACAAAAATGTCTATTCTTATAACATGATAAGTTTTAAACCCTCAACACTGAATAATAAAGATAAAGAACACTAATTAATAATAATAAGCATACACAATGAAAACATTATTAACAAATGTGCCAACAAGTTAATAATTCTATAATATTAAATATTACAGGATTCCGGTAATAACAATTTTTTGTTGCCCAAATTTAGAAATAAGCTTATTTTTAGTGACCAGAAAAAAAATGAATAATGCAGGGTATGGGAATCCTCATTTTATGATCCCATGTGTTGTCTTAGTGGATCTTTCAAACCTAGACAACCAACCAATTTTCAATTAGTCATACAATTAATTATTATTGAAATATCAACAATTTACATAAAATAATTTTAATTTTTGGAGCTTATACTTCAGTTTTCTAAAATAGTTTTATGTTCATGTTATTTAATAAAGTTGTTCAGTCTTAGTGGCTTAATTAGGGAAGAATTAGCCCCTAAATTGTCTGAAACCCCTCAATACAGGGTAGAGCTCCTTCAATCACCTCTAAGACTTAAACACCTCTCCCCAAGTTAATTTCTAATTGCGCCACTGGCTCTCCAAATAATTTACACCATTGTAATTTTGTCACTAAAAATGTCACTAAAGCCAGTGATATGTCAGTTGATGAAATTCATTCAAAATTATGAAGCAAATATAGGTACTCATGTTTTGTATTAAGATTTTGTAATGCAGAGAATTTTATTGAAGAAAATATAAAAAACTGGGAAAAAACATTGTAAAACCAGGAAAAATGTGGGAACACCAGGGAAATCAGTACAAAATTAAACAAATATTATTAGAGAAAATATATAGAGCCCATTTAATTATTTTACTATAATATGGCATATATATTGTTGACAAAGCATCACTATTGACTGAACTCTGCTCAGAATCGTTCTATTATAAGCAATGGTTTATCGTTGCTCACAGGTCTACATTAAATAACCTATAACAGTGACTGCTCCAGTTTCTATTATCCTTTTCAATCTATTAATATTTTTTGACCTAAAAAGAACCAAGTTTCCTCATTATTTCGAATATTAAAGAAAATTTCAAAAAATTACCTCTTTAAAGTACCACCTAGAGAATATTTCTTTCCAGAAAAGATGCTATACTTGATAATCAGAATATGCTTTCTGATAGACAGTGTTCACATAAAAAAGTTTTAAAAATATAAACATCTATGAAAAACCAAAACATTTTTAGCTACACTCAGAATCTAAAATGAATAAAATAGGTAGGTACTGCACTATTACACTATTCAGTATTAACTGGTACAATAAAAATTAAACATTTGGTTGATATAAGATATTTGTCATTATCACAATATAAAAATGTATAATCCAAGGAAGATTAGACAGTTTAGTGTAATGGAAATCATAAAAAATCATGAAATTTTAAATGTTTACCCAAACTTTGCTTAAAATTGTATTTCCTTAACAATGATTTATCATTGTGTAAACAAATATTCCTAACTAACATTCCTAACTTATCCCTATTACAATAGTGGCACACCAATCAACAGTACCAGCTCTTTATAATATATTGAAAGCAATCATAAATCATTGTAAATATGTATAACTTAGGTTATATGTAAATAATATAATTTATTATTAGTTAATATATTTTTCTTTTACCTGTATTGAAGATGTACCCGCCACCATCAATTACACACTCTCGACCACCAGCTGTGTGCCAAATTTTACCTTGACGACCATCATTGTGTATAAAGTTATCAGGATCGAAAAGTAAGTACAAATACTTAGTCGTTTCGGCAAGAAAAAACGACTCCATCCTATTTTGAAGTGTGTGTTTTTTGCAACTCTTGATCTAACAATGAATTCAAACAAATCTTACTGATTGACTAAAAGTATTAATTCATACTATAGTACCACTAATATCCAACTTTGTTAAAAGACTATATATTATATAAATGCATTCACACTAAGAAGTACCACTAAATTTTTCAGTTGAATGACATAGTATTAAAATAGGGTTTTTGGGGAATGATAGGGCATATCAAAATACATATTTTTAGAAAAAATTCAAATATTTAACAATTTTGGTATGCACATGCCTACTTTTTTTTAAATGGCAACATATCTTATCTGTCTACAAACAGGTATTTCACAATATTAGAGACAACATTTCGATTTTCAAGTAAAGTTGAACAAAAGTTAAAATTTCATCAAAATTAGATTAGTTAAAAAATATTACAGACTCTTTTTTCCTTGTGAACAACATTTTTACTATCAATTTGCTCAGAATTACAATGATAGTACTTTTTCTAAAATGAAATCTGACCAGGAAGGTAATTTAGGGAGGTCATTTTTCAATTTTCCCAGCAAATGTGAAAAACTAAAAAATTAGTACAACAAATATTATTAAAGAAAATATGTAATACCTATTTATTTTACCATAATATAACATATATATTGTTGACAAAGCAAAACTATCAACTGAACTTTACTCAGAATCATGTTTCATTAACAATGGTTAATTGTTACTTACAGATATACATTAAATTACCTATAACAGTGACTGCACCCTTCTCCATTATCCTAAGACAGCTTTTTTAATGTTCGAATTTGACGAAATATATTAAAAGTATAGTTAGGTTCGGATTCCAATAAAAATGTGGAGATTCAGTTTGAAGTTTGAATAAAATGAGTAGGTTCAGTTAAGTTTGGGTTTGTTAATTTTAAGAAAAATTTGGTTTGATTCGAACTTAAAAATTAGATTTCGTAAAATATCTAATATTTTTTTTAAATAAATAACAGATTATTTTCCATTATTTATGAAAAGTACAAAATAAATCATTATATTATGCATTTTAGCAAAATTAACAGTAAAAATCGAAACAAAACACTAAAAATTTTAAAATACTTAAAATATGCGAAAAATTGTATATTTGGGGTCCATGGTGCATAAAACAAAATTTAAATTCACTCTGCTATTTTTGTCTGTATCTTATAATAATTAGCAAATACTATAAAATATGAACCCTACTTATACATAGACATAGGCAAAAGTGATATATTGTTTATAATAATGGTTTTGTTAACAAATTTGCATGAAAATATTAAATTTGAAACTTAAAAAATGTTACCGTTGCATATCCACATCTAGTACGGCTACTGTGTTGGATGGACCTCAAAATATCACTACCTATATCTAAAATATATGGATCTCCATTAGTAGCCTTATATAAATACATGGCTGACTCAACCAATTCAGGGCGTAATGGAAATGAATCTCTTGCAGCCTCTTGATTGACTATGTTGTACACTTCAGGTATGAATCCATATATTTTAAGTACATTATGATAATTTGACATTGATTTCATGGCATTATCTATATCACCTAATAAAAGCAAAATAAATAAATTTAAATTTATTACAAATAGTTTCACCAAACTGTTAATACTTTACTAATAATAACTTATTATATTAGAAATTCAATAATAATAATAATAATATAATTTTTAGGGACTGTTTTTTTTAAAAAAAAAAAAACAAAATTAATTATTAATATCAAGGCATATAGTTACCAATTAAACTTAAAAGCCCAGGCCAATATGATTCTAATGACTGATATATGGGCATTGTAACTTGGCCCTTTTGCATATTCACCCAAAAATACCACCCAGTGGAAGTTGCTGAGTACTTATCAATAGGCTTTCTTAACTCGTCGAACATGCTTCTCAGATGAGGCAAGTTGAACAACAGGGAACCTTTAACCAAGTACTCAAAATAAGAATCAATCCCACCACCAATGCCTGAGTCATGTGCAATCCATTGCCCGGAGGCCACATCCAAATGGTTACCCATTAATCCTATTTTAGATCTATGGTTGAACAATGAATGGAGAGCTTTTAAAGCTACCTATAAAATAATAAAATATAATTTACAAGTTACAATGTAAACAATAATTTTATTATATTGATGATTGCCTCTATACATATTTTATGAGTCTAAATTATTAATAGACACACGAAGGACTTATTAATTAAAAATACAAATATTTCTAATGAAAATATTTAAATATTAAATCAAAATAACTATGAATGATCAAAAACATATGCTACACTACATAGATTCAAATTTTAAATTAATATACTTGTATATATTATTAAAGTAAAAAAAATAATATTATAATCAACTATTTAAATGTATGCTATTTTGATGGATAGTAAAATTGTATTTTTACCTTGGACAATAAACTAAGATTAGTAAGTTTTGAAAGCTCAGGATAATTATCAATATTGATAAACCCAAACCCAATGATAGTAATATTATAATAAAAATAATAACACAATGGACCTATAAGATATTAGATTCAATCCCTTATAAGGCTCAGAATCACTTGGAACATATCCAAATACAATCTTTATTTTTCCCAATTCACCTATAAGGTTTATTTATTTATAACTTTATAACAATCACTTTCTTCTGGCCCCAAGGTGAGTCATATAAATGATGTCCACTATTTTATAGTGCTATTAGTGGAACTAATTAGTAGTCTAAAAATTCTTGGTAAAATTATTAAATTCTTTGATAAAGTCAAAATTATTATTGCATTTAAGAATAGATATGATGGATTATTATTTTATTAATTACCTGTATAAATAAAATATATTTAAATACCTAGAACCAACTCAATATAAATATTTTTTTTAATTTAATTTTATACACAATTTGTACAAAAATAACATGATATGTATATGTGAATATAAAATATAAATAATAATTATGTAGGCCAAATAGTATGTATACAAAAGTTGTCACACATTCATGAGCACAATTTAAACAAGAGATTACTTAGTATTTTTAAGGTAAATGTTAAATGAGTACATTTTTCTGAAATCATATTGGCCAAATGAAAATCAAAAGAGTAAAATTTTATCTAATTAAGACCAAGGAAAATTGTATATATTTAATTTTTTTACATTGTGTTACATACCTATTTAATGTAAATAATATATAGATGATATAAAATCAAATTATTAATTAAAACCATTGTATTAGGCATTTCCATGTTAATATATCATCAATTTTTTTTATTAAAACTGCAATACATGTTTCAACCAGCTTACTTAAGATAGTGTAACATATACACAAATCAACTAAACTATATTTAAACAATCAAAACATGCTTGAACAAACCTGTTCAAATACAGAATCACCAGTAAGACGTGACAGAGTTCCGAATTCTAGTATAAATGTACCGACTCCTGCTGTACAAGTTACAGTTGTTTCGCCGTCAGGAACACCAGATCGAAGATTAACTGTACCATACGGCATACCAGTAGGGGTATTAAATGCTGGTAATAATCTTCTTGCTACATCTTCAGCCATCCGTAATAGTGGTCCATTACATGGCCATCCCATTTCTAAATCTGTAGTAGCTCTATGAAAAAAATAAAACAAAATAATAAGAATAATTACTAAATCAACCAAGTGTGAACATTTATTTAAGTAGAATATATTTAATTGTGTATATTGTGATACAATAAAGTAAAATACTCCCAAAATTGTTAATTAAAATACTGATTTCTATATGAAGGCAATAACACAACAAGGTAATAATTGAAAAAAAACTTTTCAATACCTATTTTTTTTACAATTTTACTTTGATTAAGACTATGTTCAATTACTGGATAGTATTAAAAAATATGAAAATTGATATACCTGTGAGATAACATGTGAGCACTAAGCAGTCCACCAACAACTCGTATGTTTGTTTCGAAAACGGATACATTGATATCAGCATCAAATGAAACATTATGTTTTATATATTCGACAGCCTTATTAAATTCTTCATGAAGACCCATTACGACAAGAGTATCTAGGGCGTCAATCAATGATAATGAGTAGCTAGAAACAAAATGATAGTTTATTGAAGATTAAAGATTTTGAATTATTAATATTTACCTGCCCCAAGTATCCACACCATCACATGTTAATGGCCTTAATTCATCGTAAGGATAAGCATATTTCATATAGCCGTGATATGCATGTTCAAACATTTCTTTTACTTCTGACCTTCAAAAATAAAATAAAAAATTAACAAGCAATTGAAACATAAAATTAGAAGCTAACCAATTAAAAAAAAGAACTTTATGACACACCTTAAAAGTTTAAGATGATGTCTGTCGTAATGCCGCACATTTGAGCCATGGCGAAGGAGCATCGCTAGCGTCATCAAGAAACAAAAATAAAACTTCATTTTACCAATAAATTCAACAGTACTTAAAATAATGTATTTTGGCTTTTAAAATACATCCGATTGGTAGTTGTGATATTTTCATGTCATTTTTCCATCCCTGTAATTGTATTCGGCCATTCGTAATAGATGTGCATCAAAAAAAAGTACCAAAACTAATTATTTATAACAAAAAAATTTCAAAATTTAAATCAGTAATTCGGTAAAAAGAAACAGTTATCAATATGTAAGTAAATTTATTGTAATAAGTTGATTTGATAAGGCGAGTAGAGCTGGATAACTATAAACAGTACACATCCTCATTGCTGTATCACATACTACCCATTATAACCATAACATTATTTTATTTACGTTCCGCTAGCAATATTTGATAAGAAATCCCAGTGGTTCCCAAATTTTGAAATAATATTGCCTATTCAACTCCTGTTATTGTACTTTTCATCTTTTAATAAGTTGCCTATAAAACTCCTAAAAATTAATTTTTTTACCAATTCTTAAAATTGTATTGCCTATGTTCAAATTTGTATCTATGTTGCCTACCCAGCTCCTGAAATTGTATTGTAATTTCTCAATTTGTATATTTATTGCCTATCTAACTTTCAAAAATCTATTGCTATTGTTCAAAAAAATATTTCTATCCTACCTACCAAAATTTAATTTAAAACTAATATGCTTAACATTATAAATATTCCATAACCCGTTAACCCTCCGCCGTCAGTCTTCCCGGATTGGAGAACGTCCCCGAGCTCTGGGTGGTTTTTTACACAGAGCGCTCGCTCGTGCTTTTAGTCGCCTTCTACGATGTTAAGCAGGGCTTGCTGTTGCCGCCACTTTGCTTCCCAGGCAACAGGGAGCCAGTAGGTAACAATATAACAATATGTAAAAACTTAAACATTTCGAACGTAATAAAATGTATTCAAATTAGGTACATTTAAACATCTGTAACTAATTAAACTACAACATTATTAGGTATTAAATAATGATTAGATAAATTTATTGAATTTTTTTTTTAAATTAATTTTTGTTCAACACAAGATAATCCTAATCAAATTCAGAAAAATTAATTAAATCAAATTAAAAATTGAAAAATTGCTAAATTAAAAGAAAAAAAAAAAAATGCTTATATTTTTATCTCATTATGAATAAATGGTGCAAATATAACGATTCTCTATATTATATAACTATTGTTTTAGAAATTACTATTCATTATATGTTTAATTTTATTCAATTTATATACAAACTACTTAGTAGATATGTATTTTAATTTAATAGTATTGGTTAAGACCATTTCTCTAGAATACCTACCTAATTTAGTTGTGATAATAATAGATGGAAGTCATTAAATCTATTATTATCCATTAAAATATTGACCATAATAAATAATTTGTTAATTAATTCAATTAATTAATAGGATTAGTAGCTGGTAAACCAACAATAAAATATAAAACTTTTTTTTACTTCTAAACAGATTTGAAATATACAGTATAACAAATTAAAATTTCAAAAATAATAATATTATATGTAAAATATTATTTATTAGTATTTGATAATATTTTAAACCACATTACATTAAAAATATACACAACATAATGAATTTTAAAATTAGTTATTCCTAATATGTTCACAATTTGTTTATGATTAACTAAAACAGGATTAATAATATTTTATTTTTCATTTGTATCACTTTTGAGAAGGCTCAATAACTGAAACTATTTGACAACCATCTAAACCAAATGTGTTCATTGTTCTAATTAATGTAATAAAACTTATAAATATAATATAAAATATTCTTTATAATAAAAAGAAAAATCTGTCCTTTTCATTCAACATTAATATTAAAATTAAAAAAATGTTTGTAATTAATGTAATTATATGTAATAATATATTACACATAATAATTATAAATTACAAGTTGTACTTATTTCATTTTTTCTTTGACTTTAGCTAGCCAAGTACCAGCAATACTTTCCAAATGTTTGACTGTTTTTTTCTATAAATTTAATTTTTAAACCACCTATAACAAAACAATATATATTTTTTTCAACAATTATTATATTTAACAATTTATAATATTATTAATGGTTTTACACAAATTATATATACTTATAATGATATACAATGACCACTTAACAAAATTTAAAAGAGTTCTATTTGGTAAAAAAAATAGCAAATGACAAAGGATTTAAGTTTGTGGGGACAAATAATTCAAATATCATTGTATCCAGAGTTTATCCAATCATTATGTTAAATATGTACAATTTTTATATATTATCATCATAATTTATCCATTAAATTGGATATTTTTTATAAAACCCAAATTTCACCTAGCACCACCAAGCATAAATTAAAGAGATTTGGTATCAACAAGTATATTAGTATATTGAATATGTTTATACAATTGTAATACTTATACAAAATGTTTTGAAGATCAAATAAATAAATAAATACCTATACAAATATAATACCTACTTATTAAACCACTATAAATTATTCTTCATTATTCTAAAATGATTAAAATTAATGATTTATAGGGACTTCTACACCAATGTTTATGTATATATGTTGTATGTATTTTATTTATTTATTTATTTTAGTTATTTAACAGAGAGATAGGTTTTTACCTAAACAAAAAATGAATTCTATAATAAGATACCTACATTTAAATACAACATATAATAGGTATTGAAAATCATTACAAAAATAATTGAACTTGTTACACTTTCCAGCACCATTTCACTAATTTATCAAAAAGTAAATCAATATTACTTATTGTTGTTTGTTCTTAATTCAAACTATGTATGTAAAATATAAATACCTACCTATTATACATTTATTTATTTATTTGTTTTAGGAATACCAGTTCAAATTTTTATCTTAAATACTTCTATAGTTTGTATGAATAATTTGCATAGGTTAATAAAATTATTGCTTGATTGTCATCTGAAAAATTCAAATTTCACTTTTTACTTTTACAATATAATAATAAATACTAATGTCTTTTTACCTAATTTTATTATTTATTTTTGTAGATAATAATACATTTGTGATCAGATATAATTATACTTTTCAGTTTTCTTCCTATTATTTCACCAACTAACTAAATAATTATCTCATTCTCTCGTTTAAATTATGTTATCAGTATTAATGATACATCAAACATCATGCAGATTTCCTCACCACTTTAGTTTCAAAACTCTGAGGTACTGCATTGGCCTAATCTACTTATTTAATAATTTGTATATATTATCTTTCATATTAAAAAAAACATGTAATTACAAATAAAAACAAAACAAGGTTTAAAATAGAGTAAAACAATACATATTAAAATCATTCAATTATAAATAATTTTAAAATAGAATTACTTATAATATGAAACATACCTCTCCATATAGAACTTACACAAGCATTCAAAGTACCACTGAAATCCAATTCAAATTATTTGGTTTAATTTTTTTATGCTCTGAATCTGAATTTTAACAGTATAAATAAATATCTCTCATAAAATCAGAGGTTTCTAAAAGCATCTTTTTCAGTTTTATTCTATACAATATACACTATTGGATTGAAATTAGTATCAAAAAAAATATATTTTTCGGCTTCTTATCATGCATTCAGTATAATATAAACAATAAACTCTGCCGTTAAAATAATCCATTTGATTAGAATACTCGATATCTTTTACCCTCACCTTTAGATTGATTTCTTCAGTTACTGTAGTTGGCGAGTTATTCACTTTTAGTTTTTCTTTGAATTGTTTAAATACTGCCTTTAGGTGACCTTTAAAATAGAAACTTTTTTGTTTTTCCTCGGTTGCCAGTGTTCACTTTCCTCTTCTTTGTCCAAAGAAATCAACTTAATTATTCATGTTATTTCAGTTTATTCTTTCTTTGTTGTTTAATTTTTTTGGCTTTTGACCCTTTACACAATAGTTTGAAGGTATATCCATAAGTACTTCTTTACATCTACTTAAGATTGTCTATCTAGTCAATTTCACAAATTGACCACATTTTAACCGTTTATTTCAAATCTCCTAACTAACTTTTTACCGGAGCATTACTCGCTCTTTCTGTAGTATTCAATATTTTGAAACGCATCATACCTGTCCATATAGGTATTACAGGAATAATAGACCCCATTAAATTATTGTGAAAATCAATGCAGTAAAATTCGTTATTTTCGGTTTCATTCACATTTTCCAGTGATTCTTTAACCTGAACAGCAATATACTTAAACCGAGATAAGAATCTAGAATCCTTGTATCGATAAATCGTTTGAAAATCCCTTTGTTGAGGTTCTAATTCAATATCTGATGGCCACTTATTTATTATTTCATCAACTAGATTAGTAATATCAATGCTACTTAACATCTTTAGAATTTCCATGGCACTATTAACAAAAATGGTTTTGTTAGGTCAGGTTAAGTTTTTGGTAAAATACAATTTTTCAAATCCATAAACGTCTATTTATAATCGGGGTCCAAAAAAACACTGTTTCGGCTAGTTACTGTGACATGTTACTACTTAAACAAAATTTTTTTTTTTGCGCCTCACATCACGCATTACAAATTTATTGCCTACCTAACGTCTTCAATTCAATTTATATGCATTTGAGAACCACTGGACTCTCTTATCAAATATTGCTAGTGGAAACATCCGTATTATTTTTACTGATATTAAATCAACTCAAACCATCAAAAACATTTTAAATCCGATTTACCATAATTCAAATAACCTAGTAGCTTGTAATATTGTACTACAATACTTTTTTTCTACACTCGTAGTTTAACCACACGTGCACTTGATTTTTTTTTGCTCATTATGTATACGTGTTAAAATTTTAGTGGTTAGTTTGGTTTGAAATAATAAAACTGAATTCATTAAAATGTTTTATCTATTCAATCCCCATAGCAATTGGTTTGGACAACTTATTATGGTTACATTGTACTTGACATTTGTAAATATTGTTTATTTTGTTAAAAATTATTTGAATTTTTGATTCTAGATGTATTTAAATATATTCATATTTTTATAGGTAATAGCGTTATTGGTTATCAGTTGGACAGCATACAAACACTTTTCTCCTTATGCACACCATCCTAGGGACTATGAAGAATGGTACTTCTTCAATGAATATGGTAGACAAGTTAAATTTCCTAGCTGGTCAGATGAAGCTACTCTGGATTTGTCAATAATAGTACCAGCGTACAATGAACAATACAGATGTAAGTCTAGTGTTAAAGTATTTAACTGAATACAGTTACTATCAATGTATTATTATTATTCTCAAATTTTTATATTTAGTAAGACCTATGCTGAATTCGTGTTTGCACTGGTTATTCAAAGTAAAAAAGTCTTCATTTGAAGTAATTGTTGTCAGTGATGGTAGTACTGATAGAACACGTGAAATTGTCATGGAATATGTACAAGTATATGGTGCAGAACAGATACGTCTATTAGAATTAAACAAGAATCGTGGAAAAGGTGGGGCTGTTTGCTTGGTAAGTAATGAAACTAATGAATCCTGTTAAAAAATAATATTTCCAAATTATTTCTTCCGTAGGGAATGGAAAATGCACGAGGGCGTAAATTATTGTTTGCTGATGCTGATGGTGCTACACAATTTAAAGATTTAGAGAAATTGGAAACCGAATTACAATTATTACTAAAAAGTAACAATTTAAAATAATTATATATTATAATAAACTTAAAATTTAAAAAAAAAACCATAAATAGTATGTATACTTAGTTTGAAACTACAAATTTTAATCAATAAATTGATTACTACAATTCATACAATTTTAACATTTAATGTGTCTAGAAACAGGCTTTATTAATCAATAGATGATACAGTGAAACTTTCATTTTACAAAATATTCTGTTTAATGAAATATATTCAAGACCTTTGACAAAGCCTATGACCTTTATGTTAATTATATATAAATGTATCTTTGAATAATAAAATTGACATTTTTATATAATGAATAAATTATTTGATAACAAACCTATTTTTCATAATGTTATCACTATCAAATGTTAAATATTATTCTAAAATGTTATTGTATTTCACAAAAACAAGACACCAACGGTTCAAAATTTAAGTAATTTTACCTGTAGTACTGCAGTTTTAATATTGATATGAACATATACACTCAAATTTTCTCTCATTTATTCAAATAGGCTTAAAATAAGTTTAAAAAATGTGTATAATATATATTTTTTTTAACACAATATAAAAGTAGGTACATGCAATGTCATAAAATAAAAAATATATGTAATTTTTATTTAATGAATTCCCCATATTACAATTTTTTTTTTTTTTTTTTGGCTCATTAAATTTCGTTATTTTGAAGTTTCACTGTATTAATAAATAAAAAAAAAATGATACGAACATAAAATTCGTACAATTTTGCTAACAAAAAACAGATTCTGATTGGAATTCGATTATATATGTTTTAAAAGGCTGTAATATTTACAATTTGAAAATAACACATTTCTACGTTCTAGTTTTCTCCCATGTATTAAAACCCATAGGAAAATCAAAAAATAGCCTCTTTAAAAAACTATCCCAGTTAAATTTCCTTTCAGAAAAACTACTACATTTGAAAATCTGAGTCAAATTGTTGAAAGAAAAGTTGTCCACAGAAAAAAAAACATTGTAAAACCAATACATTCCTGCCCTGCTCAGAATCTAAAATAGATATCATGTATACATACTATATATCACAGATTCTTAACCTTTTCTGGGCCATGGACCCCTTTGAAATATAAAATATAATCACACCAAAAAAAAAAAAAAAAATATAATATGTATATTAATTATTTTTTAATAATAAATTTAAGACTTAATACTATATTAAATTATTGTGAATAATCACTTTTTCTTATAGTCAAAAACAAGTTTTAATGTGACATTTGCTATTGTTTTAAATGCAATATTGCCTTGAAATCTGGAACTATATTGGACAGAGTAATGCATATCGCCATTAATATCCAATTGATTTTTTTTTTTTTAGTTTTAATTGTGACCATTGTAGAAAATCAATAGTAATAAATATAATCATAAATGTCATTGCCCTGGATATAGCTTGCGGATAAGCCTTTGTCCACAAACACCCAAATTCAATTAGATTATTTGTTTGAAAAACGTGATGTGTCATTTCTTTTGATTTTAAATCTATAAATTCGTCTTTAACAAGGTCTGAATTATTAAGTGTATTTAAGTCCACGAGAAAAAGATTGTGTACCCATATTTCTGATTTTGAAAATGTAGAATCCAAATAATTGCCAAATGAATTTTCAAGCACATCATATGTTTACAAATTTGCGTTTTTATAAAACGGGACAAAGCAGTATCATTCTTTGAAACCTCGTTCAAGTGTTGGAAATTTTGGTAAATTTTCTGATTGAAGTCTTCTTTTCCAAGGAAAATTTTATTTACAAATGCATTTATTTTTTCGGACGTGTCCATAATTGTTACTTCTTATCCTTGAATCAATATACTTCGTTCAAAGATTAGGCTTGAAAATTTATCTTAAATGTTTATAAGTTATACTTTGTGATCAAAAAAAAAATTACTTCAATGTAGAATTTTTTTAAAAATATTATGTTCCTACTACTAATGTACACTTCCACACAATTTTCAATAAAAAATTTTAATTAAAAAATTATTTTCCTTACTTTTTACCAGAAGCTAATGTGAACCATAATGATGATAATGATGTTGATAATGATGATGATAATGATGATGATAATGATGACGATGATGATGATAAATTGGATAATAATAGTGATGATATATGTGCTGTAGTATGTGGTTCACGTGCTCATTTAGAAACTGAAGCTAAAGCTCAAAGAAGTGCATTTCGTACACTATTGATGATTGGATTTCATATACATGTTTGGATGTTCGGTGTAAGATCTATTAAAGACACACAGTGTGGTTTTAAATTATTCACTAGGTCTGCAGCTAGAATCTTGTTTCCAAATTTACATGTTGGTCGATGGTAATTATATCTAATATTTATACTTTTTTAAAAAATATATATATACAATTTGTATGTACCTAATATTTTTTTGGGCTTTACCCAGGGCATTTGATGTAGAATTATTGTACATTGCTGAAAAATTAAATATGAAATTAGCTGAAGTGGCAGTTAATTGGAAAGAAATTGAAGGTAATTATATTATTTATTTACAGACATTTTTATTTTTGAAATTGAACAATTTAATTATTATAGGTTCTAAAATAGTTCCTGTGTGGAGTTGGCTTCAAATGGGTATTGATGTATTTTCAATATGGATTAAATACCGTACAGGATTATGGAAGATTCATGAAAAAATAGATTAATTTTACTTATCGAGTACCTATATGAAAATATTATTTTAAGTTATTTCTTAAATTTTTTGGGTTAATAATATACATAATTTTATGTATTTGGTTATTTGGTTAGATCACTTATTGTAAATTATGTGTAAAATAAAACTATGACAGTTATATAGTTTTTTACTTCAAGGCATTAATTGTGAAATCATTAAAACTTAAGACTTTTAAAAGTGGATTATTATAAAATTATATTATAACTTATTAATAGGGCTCAGAGGAATAGAAATTGAAAAGCCTTATAAATTGATTTCATCATTAATGTTAAAATAAATAAAAAAATAAAAAATTGCAATATAATATTTTTAAACCGAAATTTTACCAGTTTTTAATTAAGTGGATTGCATATGTGAATTATTTTATTAAATCGGTTTTAAGTAATATTAATGTGATAGTGATAATACCCTATTTATTTGTAATAAAAACTGACATTTGAATGTACCTAAAATAAACTTATTCTCCTGTGACAATTAACAAAACAAAACAAATATAAAATTAATAGATATCAAATACACTTTAACAAAATACTCAATGACACTGAACCATAATTCTATAATCTGAAATCCCCCCCCTCCAACAGTTTATTATTGTAAAATTATCTAATCTGTGGTTGTATTTTGTTATTTTCTCAACATTTAAAAATACCTCAATTTCAGTAAAATAATTACCACAGCATCATCTTATTAAATGGCAATAATAAACTAAATTATATAAATAATATTACAAAATATTAAAAATTGAATTATTAATAAGGATAGTAAAAGATACAAATGATTGCACTGTACATTTTTATATATGAATTCACACTTGCATTAAACTATTATTAAACCTACTTAGCAACAAATTTGAACATCAGGGAAAAAAAAGTTTTAAGTACAATAACATCTGAGCCCTATTTATCACCAAGGTTCAGAACATTCAATACTAAATCGACTTTAAAAATGTTATCACGGAAATCTGTAAAAATTATTAGTCTTTTTTTAATTGAACTATAATATTTATATAAGAATTTGCCAGTAAATCAATGAAAGATTTTTTATAAAATTATGCAACAAAGAATTTTAAATTCAATTTCAATGTAGCTATTATGTAACAAATTTGTATTAAAAATAAATAAACTTATGTATTTTCAAAACAAATTTTTAAACACTTAAAGTTCTGAATCTTGCTAGTAAGTAATGATTCTGAAAATTATTAGTAAGTTAACTTATGTTAATGGTTTATTATTGAAATAAGTTCCTTTTGTGTGAATAATTATGTTCTAATATAATTAAACTTAGAGCGTAAACAATTTATTTAAAACTATACAGTTTAAAAATAAAATTTATAATTATTTAAAATACTTTTTAGTGGTATTTTAATTTTAATTGGGGATTCAAACTTTGTTACATTTTATATGTTTATATAAATAATGAATTGTTTGTATACTTAAAAAAAAAACAAATAATAGCAATAAATTTTCACTAAATTATATGAGGTAACAATAGTAATAAAGTAATAATCTTGTAATTTTATAAATTTAATTAAGCTTTAGTCTCACTTGTGTTAAAAAAAATTGTACTCAATGATAATGAATAATAATACTATTAAATACCACAATTTGTTCAATTACCACTTTACTGATATTTGTGCAAAATATTATTATTGTAATATAATATATTAATGTAAACATACAATCATTTTTTTTTTTTTGGTTATTTATATTTTACAGTAATTTGTATATTTCATTTATATAAATTTTATCATTGTGTGGTTAAAGTATATTGTATAAAATGTAAAATTGCAAGGTTTTGTATAGCATAATTTTATCAATAAGTTGCTACCCTACATAATAATTTAAGACTGCTTTTAAACACAATCAGTTTCTTCCACAGTTGTACAAAAAATTATAAATCGATTATATATTTCTACATAACCTAATAAACAAAATGGATGTTTTGGTATTAATAAATTTAATATTTTAATTGAACAAGTTTTTATTTTAGTAAGATCTCATAAAAATGTATAAAATCTTTTAATTTTGCTTTCCCAAAGAGAATCAATGTGTAAAATACAAACTATATTGAGTTTATTTAATTTTACTATAGTGAACTAAAGTTTTACACCAATAAAAGTGTATATATTTGTATCCCAAGTAATATTATGCAGGTTGACTGATAACAATAATATAACTGTAGTAGATCCTTAGTAAGTCATAATTAATAGAAATTGCAGTTCTTACTTATTGAAGTATTAGGAAAAAAAAAATTCAACTTACGAGTTCTTTAAATTTATTACATATATGATAATTATTACCAGTGGAGGTTTTACGGGGGGGGGGGGGTGTTCCTGGGACCTTGATCCCCTAGACTCCGAGTTTAGGCTGAATTAGTTTGTCATTGACAATTCAAAAAAATAGTATAATTGTTTTGGCCTTAAATTTTAGTATTATCTTTCGCTGTTTCCTAAAAAATATAAAAATAATGGTATGTATTTGTCATTTTTACATTAATCATTGCATTTTTGGACGACTTTACTATCTGCATAACTCGGGTTACAATTTACTTTTTTTAGATTCCGAGTGGAATGAGGGATTTATTGGTTTTACCACTTTTTTTACTAACAATTATGCTTTAATTTACAATGATTGAACGATAGCACTTTTTCTAAAAGTAAATCTGATTAGGAAAGTCATTTTTGATTTTCTCAAGAGTTTTTCCAATAAATGGAAAAAACCAGAAAAGTGTTCAAAATAGATATTAGTAAAAATATATAACAATTTTTCTACTAGTAATTTTGCTCCAATGCTTACAATGGTAGCACTTCTTCTGAAAGGAAATAGGACTGAAAAGACACTTTAGCCAGGTCTTTTTTGAATTCCTTTTGAACTCCTTCCCAGGAGTTTTCTCAATAAATAGGAAAAATGGGAAAATAGGTACAATTTAAACAAATAATATAAAAAAAAAACTATATAATGCATGCATAATTATTTTACCACAATATGACATATATATTCTTGATAAAGTATCACTTCGCTCAAAATCGTTTTTTTGTAAGCAAGTTTTGTTATTGCTTACAGATATATATTAAATTACTTATAGCAGTGACTGCACTTGTCCTCATTATCCTAAGACAGCTTTTGAATTTTATTAAACATAGATTACATTAGATTATGTAAGTAAAAAAAAAAATTATTTCAGTGAAAAAAATTCGGCAATTTAAATTAAATTAATGTATTATCAATGGGAAAATATTTGTTTATATTAAATACATAAGTAATATCAATGGACTCCTTCCTTCCTCAGAAAAAATTCATAAAACTGCCACTGATTATAACATTAATACAATTATGCATTATGTATTATTATTTTAAAATACATAACAAGAAACATTTGGTACCTTACTTTGAGTTTAGTTCTTATACATAGTATTATCAATAGAATTTTCTATCTCATTTGTAGTATTAGTGATTATCCTTAGCATTAAGAGTGCAGCTGTTGCTTTATTTACTAGCATGATTTAAAATATTTTAGCCACCTATTGAATTCCTTTGAATTGTTCTTGGCCTAATAATTTTTAGACATTTTCGGCTTTTTATTTTAGAATAAAACTCCTGATATTAACACTGCATTAACAATGCATTTTTGCATTGCTTAAACTACTTAACAACACATTCTTCTATGTCTGAAAATGTAGGGCCTCTCTAACTCTTCTAATTTGTTAAATAGTTCAAATCAATATCCTTACTGTTCTTTATTATGGTACAATGTGTGTTAGCCAGCATTCCAAATTCCTCAGCAATATCCTACTGTCTTCTACTTTTTGGTACTTCAAAGACATTTTTTTTTTCACCAATAGTAAGAGATTTAAAATTATGAGGCATTTTCGCATTCACAACGTTTAACCAAGCAGAACTTGTAACACCGAATGTAATGGCAATAAACCAAATGAAATTAAATACAATAAGATAACACAATAAAATCCGATTAAATTAAAAGCACGTGCAATAACAATATACTTGAGAATGAACTTTAGATACAATTTTATTGTATATTCGGAACACGGAATTGTTGAGTAATCCATAGTTTTTCTTTTGACTAATCAAGGTTTTCGCAAGGAACCAACATTTATTTTGACTTATTGAGATTCCACTGTTGAATTAGTTGAATCTCTGTTATCTATGGATTTTTTTGTCCTTTTGTAAAACCATAGACCCATTATTTAGTAGAGTAGACAGTGTTTGAAGTCTAGTAACTACTGATTTGTCTTTATTTACTTTATAATCATAAAGTAATGTTTTAAAACATAAATTAATTGTTGATATAAACAGAAAACCATTATGTTTTTTCATTCGGAGAATGTCTAGACGTTAAGATAATGAAGTGGTAACACCAAAGGATTCGGGAAACTACATACCTATTATCATTGATTAAATATACAATAAACGTGGTAGGTAGGTACTTATTTTAAATAACGAAATCGTGAAAAAATTGTATGTTTTTTGCCGGTTAATCGCTTTTGTTTTGAATACCGTTTCGAAAATCAAAAAATGACACATGTATTTACCAGGTAAATAAAATTGACTTTCAGAAAAGGTGCTACTACACTTATACATTGGAGTAAGTTTTCTAAGAGAAAAGTAGTTCCCAGTATAGAAAAAAAAAAGTGTCATCTTAAAAAAGTCTTTCGAATATTTTGGAAATGTTATCACGTCTAGGTAAATTCAATAGACGAATGACGATTCTGAGCGGAGATCTGTTAATCTTAATAGTATTTCTTTTTCAATAAAAAACTTGTACAAATGTGTGTGAAATTGTACGTTTTTTCCGGGGTTTTCCCATTTATTATAAAAACTACAGAGAAAATCAGATTGACTTGCGCCACAGTATACAAGATTCAATATGCAACAAAAAAAGGTCTCTTGTCGTTTTTATATTAGAGCAATATTTTTGGTAGAAAACGTCCATAAATTATTTTATTGATATTTGACGAAAAGAAAACATGAAAACTGTTATAATAATATAAATTAAATTATTATATTATGAGTTATGACTGGTGGGAGCGCACCATAGAGAAAATAATATTTAGCGCGGTTCTGTTTATTTATCGCAATTTACTTCTATAGGTACAAAGTGCTAACTGGGAATTGTTGTTTATGACGGTCGGTTTACTTATCTGATCCCTCCCGCCCTCTTATAATTTCACTGCCTATGATAATTTCGATTATAATTATTTCTTTAATATTGGCATGCTAATGCCATCTTTTGAGAACTCGTGTTACTAATTACGGCTAAGACATATTTTGTATAGCCGTGGGCTATCTATGTATATTTCTATGTATCTATGTAATCAATGCTATTATGTAGAATTTGTAATAACCTCACAAACATATATCGGCGGTGGGTCACAACACTCAAACGCCCCTCCTAGCTGCGCCACTGTCTTTGATGATAAATACAATTTTAAATTTAATTGATGAATACATAAGCTGAAAATTCGTTTGATTATACCGGTTTATCAAGAAATTTGTTGACTTGTAGTTGGTACATAATATCATTATCACCTTAATAGTCCATACTTATTTGTTATCATATCGTACACATTACTTTAGAATTTCGATACAGTAATCACTTGAATCTTTCATTTGTATTCTTTACAATTCAAAAATTTCAATGTGAATCAAAAATAATTCAGTCATAAATGATAGGTTATTTTGTTATAATTTGATAAGAATATGAAACAGGGGAATTATCGCGATGGGAACATTAAGAAAGGAGAGGATTATACTGGTATAAAATTTGACTTATGTCGCGAGGCGGGTCAGCAAAACTATACTGGTATAACAAAAAATTTGAACCAATATCACTAACAAATTTTTTAATTAAGGGGAAATTTATAGCGTTATAACCAAACAAATTTCTAGAAGTACAGGGGCGTATTTAAAAGGGGTCCATAGGGCCCGTGTCCCCCCCCCATTCACCGTAATTTATAATTTTTTATTATTATTGAGAGTATTTGCTTTTCACCCACAGGCGCACGGTAGCATATCATATCCTGATATGAATATAGACCTTATAGTTTAAGGTCTATGGGTATGATACTATTGCTATTTGATACCACTGATATAAAATATTTTTATTATAAACTATAATCGAGAAATCAAAGTTGCAGTATTACTAGTTTATAACACGAATTAAGATAAATATATAAATTTATATATTTAAATGTTTAATATATGTATATCTTAATCCGTGGTTAGTAGAGCACTATAGATACTTAAGGCACCTGCACACCTACTTCGTGTTTCGTGTCGTGTTCTGATACAGATGTTTTGATTGGTCGAATCATACTATTGATATCGTTTGTACGAAATAGTATAATCGCACGATTCTATTCTAACCAAACGTAACCATGAAGTTGAAATTTTTCAAATTTTTCATTGTGTGGTAAGTAAATGTTAGATTAAATATTATGATAATTCAAAATATAAATTAGTATTTATAATAACAAATTAAAATAGTGAAATTTACTCTTTGAACTCTCTGAAGTCAATTTTCAAATTCAAAATGAATTCATATATATTTGTAAGTATATTTTATTTTATTTATTCATGGGTATTTTAAATTCCCCAAGTGTATAGTGTACAGTCATATAGCAATACAGTAAACCCTCCTTATAACGCACTCCCTATAAGACAGAAACTGCTTTATAATGAAAAATCAGTTGGTACCAAGTTATTCTGCTGCAGTGTGTGGGGGGACCTTAAGTAAGAGAAGAGTGAAAAAGAAAAAGAAGAGGATTGAGTATTATTTAAAAATATTGACAATTATTTTTTTCATTTTTATATTTAGTTAGGTAATTTTAGTGTGATTTTTTTTATTTAAGCTAAAAAAATGCATATTGTGCAAAGTTGTTTGTATAAAAAAAAACAAAAATAAAATGTTTGTGATCCAGGAAAACAAAATAAATATATAGAAGAAAATGGTAAATATAAAAAAAATTTAATTCAAAATTCAAATGTAAAAAATATTGTTATTTTGTAAACAAGTCACTACTATGATTTTGACCATAAGCTATCAACGGTAGACATTAATTTCAAAAAAGTTTTTGATTCTGTAAACCCATGGTTCTCAATCAGTGTACTGCAAGTTGCGACACACTAGTTTGTCATGTATTAATGTGATGTGTTTCCAAAAAAAAAATAAATTGATTTAGAGATTTGATATTTTTGTGTTCTTTAATTTGATTTAATAAAATGGTGACATGTAAGTACAATAATTTACATTGGTTTTTATTTTATTTCATAATAGATGTTATATATTTTTAATAAATTTTAGGTAATCTGGATACTAAAGAACTAACTAATATTCAATCAAAACCAATTAAAAATCTGTTACTTACCAAAACTGGTGATGAGAAAAGTAATTTAATAATAATCAAAAATTTAAATGTTGATTATGTTAAAAATTTACTATCAATTGTTACATGTTAATTTTAGACAACAGCTCATCATCAAAATCACGTAATAATGTTAGGGAAGCAGATTTAGGCAGATTAATAGAACTTGTGGAACTTAGGAAGTCTCTGTGAAACCACCACTTGGCCTTAAAAAATAGGCTTCCAAAAATAAAAACCATATTATGGAATGAGGTATATGTTGAGTTCCAAAGTATTTTTATGCATTTCCCATTATTTAATTATATATTAGTAAGATTTAATTACACATATGGTAGTAATAATAAAATACTATTATTTATATTTCTTTTAGGTGTATATATCTTGGATGAATTAAATAAATCATGGCAATACCTAAAACAAAGATTTACAGGGGAAAGACATTTGAAACCTTCTGGATCACAAGGGACCAAGAAACAATGGACCCATTTGAAATCATTGGCATTTTTAAATAATGTTTATGAACACACCAAAAAGTAATTTTTTCTCTTTATTCAAACAATAAGTTGACTAGTTTACTTTTATTATTATTACATTTTATATTGACACATTATTTTCTATTTTATTTTTAATTAATAATTTGTTCCACTTATTAGTACTACATGCAACATGTCAACTGAAAATGATATTGGCTCTCCTACAGCTCAAGAAAAAAGATCACCAGATTATAACCAAGTACATCTTAAACGAAATAGAAGTTAGTTTTAAGCTAATAGAAAATAAATTTAATAAACAAATATATAAGTGGAAAATATAGGCATAGTTATTGAATAAAATTTATAATATGAAAATGTGTGAAACCCACTTAAAATCAATGTTATTTTAAAAATAAATATTCTAATTTATTATTATTACTAAATTAACTGCACTAACTTATGTTTTTATTTTGTATGATAATTATTTATTTTAGCTAATAATGATGTTGGAGAACTGATACAAATTCTAAAAAAACTGCTCCTGTTCATCCACCTATGCAACCCATTGAAATGCTAGATGATCCAATTGTGTTTACTAAGATGTTAACTTCTCATTTGATTCTCTTCAAAGATGTAAGTACAAGGCTTACAGTTGAAGACAAGATATTAGAATTAATAAGACAGGAACTAAAAAAAATAAATTCTGAAACAAAAAGTTATGTGATACTATAAGAGTTATTATTTTTAATGTTTAATTTGTTGTATATTAGTAAGTGCCTAGTACCTATAGAAATAATAGCCAAAGTGATTGTTAAATATAAGTATACTATCAATGTTGCTTATCAATATTTTATTAAAATAAAGTATAGATTTAATTTTTACACTATTTGTATTTTATATATCATATTAAAACAGTATAACTTCAACACCAGTGTAATATTTTATGAGTCTTTCGACTAGGACCTCATACTGCATTACACTGTGTGTATTGTAATACAATTTGATAATATTATTTGAAGACCTTTGTGATATTAGACTATGATATATACTCTAAAAATAATAAAATAACAAAATAATGTAAGCTATATAATATATATAGAATTTTAAACAAGACATTTATTGGCCTAAAATGCGAAAAAAGAACATTATGGTGTTTGCATCATAATGTTGGTATACCATATTATCCCAATGCGTTTTCTTTATAGATGAACATATATTTGTCTAATTAGACAAATCAAATTCTACTAATATCATGTATGCATAGCGGAAATATACACCTATACATTAACCATGGTTACCAACAAACATCATGACTCCACAAACAACATGGCATGATGGTAAAAATAGGTAGGTGTGCAGGCGCTTTTATAGTGCCTTAAAGGGAGTCCTTAACTCACCGTGTTATGTGAAATACTTTTTTCTGATGCTCATATTATCATGGTAGATACATTTTGATTGTGTCTACTAAGACATTACACCGCAGAGTTGAATAAATTCAACTTTTGGACATGCTGGTAACGTCATTTTCGTGTTTTCATTTTAATAATAAATAACCACTTAAATATTTCATCAGAATCAAACACATCTAAAAGTTATTCTAGAGTTTCTGTTTATTATCCATACCTATATGTATTGTTTTATTGTATTTAATTAAATACAGATTTGAAACAAAAAATAGTAACATTTTAAATTTAAAAGGCTTTATACCATGTAAAAATATTGATGTTTACAAAGTGTTAGATACAGCATTATTGTTTACAACTGTCTTACCCGATACTTTCAATGAACTAAAAAGGGAATTGAAAACCTGGAATGTAATATGGATAGAAAAACTAATAAATAAACTTCCAACCAGTGCATTTGAAACAATTTTTTTACCACTCATGCATTTTTATCCAAAAATTAAAAGGCTTCTAATGCTTTTCATAATCATTCCTGTAACAACATACACATCTGAAAGGTCATTTTCTTCATTTAAGAGAATTAAAACCTACTTAATCAATTATGAGAAAAAATTGATTGAATGGATTAGCATTGCTTAATATAAATCCAGAAATAATTATAAAACCTAAAGAAGTAGTTGATATACATTATATATGCTAATAAACACCCTAGACTTTTTCAGTTATTATAACTACACAAATCGTATTTAAAAATATGTTCTATTATACATTTTTCTAATAAAATATTATATTTCTATCAAACATATATATTTTGATTATTTGGTTATAAATGTTGATAATTTTTTGAGATGGAAAATATGATTTAAGTTATAACTGTGTATTATTTGAACCTTTTGTTTGTGCCTCCTCTACCATAAGGCATTTTTAAATACGCCTCTGCATAATTGTCAAAAAATTTGTGTTTTAGGGCGAGTATCTCATTGGCACATGCTCTAATGTGTAGGTACATTTTTAAAATTAAATAAAAGTATTCAAATCAGTAAAATATTTTAATTATTTTGTTACACATATAATAATATAAGGTATTATTTTGCCTACAAATTGTTTAAAAAAAAAATCAAACTTTTATACGCTGAGAGTAGTAAGGTCAGAAAGATCAGTGACTTTACTCAAGTCCGTCCAGTTTTGATAATTTCCATCCGAATGTATCCGTCGAAAAAACGGATCGTGTGAAAAAAGCTGTTGAGTAAGGCTGTCGCGGAGAACAGGAAATTCCACCTCCATCACCGCCAATACGTGTCAGCTGCCCACTTGGATAATGATCGTTTACGGAGCACGTGACGTGTGACGACGAGCTGTGCGCGGGGCGAGATACGCGCTGCGCTTGCAGCGGCTGAGGGCGTGACGAGATCGGCAAGAAGAGCTTTTCATTGGGTATTGGACCGGAGACGCCAGAATTCGCACCCTACGTTTCGGTTTCCATCGTCGACAGCGCATTCCAATTCGTGTCGAAGTGCCGCGCGAACGTTTTTCCCGCCAACGCCGTCGGACCGCCACCGCGCCGCGTAAACTTTTTTCCGGTTCTGAGATCACGCTTCGGACACCACTGCCACACTTTTGCATAGAACTGGCGTTTTCACCGCAATACGAATATCGCCGCCGTTTTTTCAGGTACCTCTGTTTTCTTTCAACAACTGTATTTAATTTATAGATATGATATTTATAATATTTATCTATTATGATTAATGTTTGTAACTTATAGTAGAATTTAAATACAGGTATAATAATTAGGGATTTTTACTACAATGATTAAATAACTTGATAGATTACTCTAACGATAACATTTTAGAATCAATTTTAAATCTACTAGGAATCAAGACTGTTTCATTAAATTATGTCTCTAAAAATTATTTATGATTGACACCTGTTAATATGGATACTGATGATAATAGGAAATTATTTGGAATTTAGTTTTAGATTTTAATAGGTCGTTAAATTATATTGTTACTAATTATAAAACTAATTAGGTACGATATGTTTATTTTGTTATAACTATGAAAAGTGAAATTTGTCACTTTATTAGAAATAATTTTTAATATAATTTTTGAAAACAGCATATTTTTACTTAATTATTTTGTATCTAAATGACGTTTTTCCGTTAATAAAGAAATAACAATAGCAGTAAAAACAAGGGTGGAGTCGCCACAAATGACCATCTTAAGATTTTTTTTCTATTGATATTTTATTTAATCTATTTACATTTATTGAACAAAATTCAAAACTAAATTTACTAAAGCAAATTAATTAATGTTAGTTAATTCGATAAAAATCACATGGCTTATCAAATTAAAAAATTATATTATTCGTGAATAAAATAAAAATGAGTGGTTATAGCAGGGATATTGACCATTAATAGGGTGATGTTATGTTTTAGTTTTTTATACTTGTAAATTAAATTACTATATAATATAATTTCTTTGCTCTCGCTTTACTACGTTATCTATTTATTACGAGTAGATTAAATCTACCACATATTATACATCCGCGTTTTTTAAAATATTATATTACATTAGGTGTGCCTATTTAGGAACTGCCTACTCTGAATAAAAAAATGTATAACAAATATTTATTCTGGTAAAAGTATTTTGAAAACTTATTTGTAGTATTGTTTCTTGCCATGAACAGATTATGAAAATCATCAACGAAAAATTTAGGTTTGTCATTTTAAAATTATTTCTGAATTGCCAATGAACCATTGTCGACATCACATAACTTCAACTTCAACTTCAACTTTATTCCGAGGGTAGAGGAGACTGTGTTTATCTCTTTTTTAGGAAAAAATGTCATTAATTTAAATCGTATTAAAAAAGAACTATTTTTACTATTTTTACATATAACATTTAGTCTTGCATAAATCATGAAAATACTTACTTTAAGCATACAGAAAACTGTACCTACTATTCATCTACATACTTAACATTAATTGTATCCAAAGTTAGACAAATACCACATTAAAAATATGCAATAAAAGACACCTATAGTAAATTAACAAGTATAATATACCTATATAGTAATTGAAATATTATCTAATCTATATTAACCTATATATTTATATTATTATTCGAAATATCAGGGGAATGGGAGAAAGGAAACTGAGAAACTGAAAAACTGGTAAATGTCAACATCAATGCATTTTTGGGGCGTTTTCTTTTTTTCCATTTGTAGAGAGTATGACATCGTTATGATATTCGTCTTATAAATCCTTTTGATTTCTAATTGTTTCTTGGGAGATTATTACATATAATAATAATACGAGTATAATAGGTTATTACAATTTATTTGTATTTAGTTTTTTTTTTACTATAGTACATTTAAATATTTTCATTATCATATTAATTTTTAATATTTATTCGTTTGTAATGTACATATTTTCATAAATAAGATGCATTATAAACTATTAACCAGGTAGATAATATGGAACATTTTTTATTTTATAAGTTTAAAATATATTTTACATTATATTTTCATTTTAAATTAGCAATTTAAATTTTAAACTTTAAATTCTCATTTACTTTTTCTATAGTAATTACCAATAATAGGTATTATTTTTTTTTCTTTGATGTGGACATATAATGATTTATGTATGTGCAGTGATTGATCTTCTTGGGAAAAGGTGCGTGGTCAGGTGGTCAACTGACCCAATCATTAATGTTTTCTGATGAAATTGACCCTTTTTTTACCTTTTTTTTCCCTTTTTTTTTTTTTTTTTTTTTGACCCTTTTTATATATATTTACAGCTACATCGAAAACCAATGCCATGCAAATTTACAAGTATGATTACAATGTGAATATTAGAAATTCATCAATGTCAAGAAAATCAGTATTTTTGTTTTATTTTTCTGCATTTTTCGTAATCCTAAAAAACCGGTCTCTCGCGTAACCGGTTAGCCCTCGAATTTTCAGTCAACTCTGCAACCATTACTGTATTTTGATGTTTGTGTGTGTGTGTGTGTGTGTATAGGTACATTATACCTAGGTATATTTATTATTTATAATAAAATAATATTATCACGTGAAATACTATTATTAAAGAATATAGTATCTAAACGGAGAATTATAATAAAAACAAACATACAGCACAGCATGTGATAGATGAAATTTCTGTCTGGAAACG